GGACACAGCGATGGATCAATCAACACGGGTTGGGTCGGGACGGTCGGACGTACGGAAGAACTTCTGGATGGCACCGCCCTCCTCGACGATCTCGACGAGACCGGGCTTGAGCTGCTCAATGGAGGGAACGTGGTTGGCGAGGACACCCATCTCACCGGACTCGGCGGGGATGTTGACCTGGACACTGGATTGAAAAGGCGCGTAAGTATGGGGTGGGCGTCAAGGGGTGGTACGACGGTCGCGGCGTTCTGCGGTTGGGGGGATGAGGGTCGGAAGGCACGTACACGCCAGTGGACTTGAAGATGGTCTATATGGGGGATTATCTGTTAGTCCAAGAAAGGGTGGTGGTCAAGGGGTCCGAAGGGGTCGGAGCCGTACCTGGTGAGGGAGGGCCAGAGAAAGCTTGATCTTGTCGTTGACGGCCTCAGCGTAACCTCTGCGCTGGAGAGGAACGCGAAGGGCGGAGGGGCGAGCCCGGAAAGCAGCGCGAGCGAAGCGAAGAGAGCTCATCTTTGCAGCGAGGAGTGGTGGAAGGGGGACGGTGATGAAGGGCAAGTATATCCGGCTGGAAGTGAAGTGCAAAGGTCGACGTTCGGATGCCGGTTGTTCCCTAGCGTGCACGTGATCTGCGAAGTTAACAGCCCGCCTACCATGTATAGTCTACATCAGCTGTGTACTCAATGGAATTGTGTGGATTGATGCTCTTTATAGTATCTATCTGTAGATTTGAAGGAGTCCGTTCAATGTCTTTTGGACCTGTGTGGTGGTTATACTCCTCCAAATCCCTATTATCACGTGATATCTGCTTCTCAGGCACATCTTACACTTATCCAGATCTCCGGGAAAGACATCTATGTTACAAATACAGGGATAAGGTGCCTACTTAAGCGGTAGAATGGCTCTGATTGTCGGCGTCCGCTTTGAACAGTCCATCTGACTGCTCTCAGACCTGGATTATGGAGTCGGCAAGAGCGTATGTCATGTGATATAGCCCGACACGACCTACTCCGTGCGAATCACTTCGCCCAGTCTTTTGTATACTGGCACGTAGAAGATGGTGATATCTGCTGGATAAACTGCATAGCCTTGAGAGGCATCGATATCTACTCGTACGTACTTAGGTATACGTATGCGGAGAGTACCTTCCTCCGGTCTACTCTTGTAGGAACATGATCACATGACCACTAGGCCCGGCGCGGTAAGCGAAATCCCACACAAAACCAAATCCTGCCGCGGAGCCCTAGCCGAGTCGGTCCTTGTTCAGTCAGGATAACCTCACTCGCCCACTCCTCGTCAACCGTCTCCCCAGTTGCGACAGATCCGACAAGATGGCCAGTACGTACACCTTTCCGCCGCGGTTTTGGTCGTCCCCTCGCTGGATGTTATTTTCGCGAACACGACCGCCATGTCGAATTATCGCTGACAGATTTGTCTTCCAGAGTCTAAGAACGCCTCTCAGCACCACAACAGCCAGAAGGCTCACCGTAACGGGTGCGTACTACCGATTTTTCCTACCTTGCTCTACTCGAGGGATGCCATGATGGAGGATGTTGCGTGGCTCGGATATGGAGCGTGAGACGGTGGCAGATCGGACAGCGAATCCTATCCGGACAGACAACACACCATCCATCTGAACCTCGAGGCCCGCTAGAGACACCCTGCAGGACATTGCTAACGCCGTCTCTTCCTCCGCACAGTATCAAGAAGCCCAAGACTCACCGTTACCCCTCCCTCAAGGGTGTTGACCCCAAGTTCCGCCGCAACCACCGTCACGCTCTCCACGGCACCATGAAGGCCCTGGTACGTCCGTCCCGTCCGCCGACACCATGAACCGTCGGTGGTTTTGATCCACGGCCGCCGGGAGAATGGCACACTAACAACCCCTACAGAAGGAGCGCAACCAGGGCAAGCGCGAGGTCGCCTAAATCAACTAATACCACGGAAACGAAAAACAACAAAACGGGAGCGATTTGAGTTGGTGTTTTCAACGTGCAATGACACAAGATACGTCATGTCGGAGAGCCTGGCTGGTTCCGCGCGACGGGTTGTTAAATAAAGCAATTTGATTCGATTCCACGACATGGCCCGAAGCTCTCTATATATCTTGTTTCTTGCAGCTGCCCTCCGGTAGATTCGATTCCCTCCCATCTCTCCGCTGACGCTCGCCTTTGGATTTCTCCCTGCGTTGTCCCGAGACCGTCCCGATAGCTTAGGTAGCCCAGGCATATGTGTGTACAGCTTCGTGCGATTTTTCCGTGCGCGTTTGCTGAAGGATTTTTCTACGTGCCGAGAAGATACTGCCCTCCTATTACCAAACACCCTTTCCCTTGCTTTCCGTGGAGAAAGGGTGCATGGACGGAGGGCTACATCCGTAGCCTTAGCTTAGTGATTAATAGATTTGAATTTGAAGTTTTCGTCTTATCTACTGCAGAGGAGTGTACTAAGACCAGAGAAAGGGCTCAAATGTAAAACGCCAAAAGCAGGGTAGTTGAATTAAATACATGACACAACCTCCCAGTCCCAGTCCTTATTCATTGCAAGACCTCCAACTCATTTTTACCACACGTGCAGATCTCTGCTATAGACATAAAGCAAATGGGGAAGATTTAAATCACAAACGCTGGCATCATAACAACCATGTCATCAACGGAAACATCACAAAGTAGGTCACATACATAACAGCGGGTAAAGGTGGAAAGGCAAAGGGGAATATATCACATCGAAAAATCAGGGGATGTTCTATACACAAAGGATACGACGGGCATTGGGAGAGTACACAGCATTTAGGTAAACTCCACGCTATGCTGCTGTCTCTCTCGTGCTCGAGCCCGCTCTGCTCGTCTGCGTCGCCGGTTGCTGGCATAATCTCCACTGGCTTCGGTTCCGGTGAACGTTCCGGGGGAGGTGATGCTGCCGGCTCCGTAGGGCAAGCTGGATGGCACATGCGGTGGCGGCGGAGGAGCCATGTGGCTCATATTCGGAGGCGAGACAAACGATGGAGGCGGCATGCTGCCAGTAGGAGCAGCAGAGGCTGCAGCTGTGGCCGCCGCCGCAGCCTTTTCGCGCTCAATCTGCTCGTGCTGTTGGCGTTCGAGCTCTTCGACCCGGCGCCATCGGTCGTAGCTCCCTTCATTGCCTGAAAGAGAACTTGCGCTTCCAGCGCGGCGACGGGAGTGTCTTCGTTCACGGCGTTTGGCCTCGCGGCTCGCAGCGGCTTCTTCCTCGGTCAGTCTCCTCAATGTGATGTGCCGCCCGTCGTCGTGCATTTTGACTTTCACGGATACAGGGGGAGATTCCACGTGGTCGTCGCGGTGTCTGCTGCTGCTCCGACGTCGATGATGCGAGGGACCCGCGGCTCCTGCCGCGGCTCCGGCGGCCATTCCGGCAGTGAAATCAGAGGCATCAAGGCGAGAGGGGTCTGGTCCTGGCATGTCTGAAAATCCATCGTGATGTGCCGGCGGAACGGGCGGAATACTGGAGTGTGGAGCATTGACGGCACCTGACGCGACAGGATCTCCGGTGAGAGCGGACTCTCCATGAGAAGGCCCTCGCGGTGGTCGAGTCATATCAGTCGAGGACATATCGGTATACGACGCGGATCTCCTCTGTCGGGGGTAATAGCCATCACCAGTATAGCGGCGCTTGCTGTTTGCCCGCTGAAGTCTCTCGTCCTCCATTTCCTGTCGACGGATCTCCTCCAACCGACGATCGTCATCGTCTCCCTTGCGGCGCGAGAAGAATCCTTTGATAGCGGCCAAAGCACCCGCGCCCAGAAATGCGTTTCGAACGCCATGGGACTTTCCTTGATCGTGGTCCGTCAAATAGGTGGTATTGTAGTAATAAGAGGAACCCGGACTTTGCGGTCTGCTTGGCGGTCGATTGAGAGGGGCGTGGTAACTTGGCTCTGGTCGTCGCCCATCTTCCATACGGCTCATTGTTGCTTCGGTCATGCTGTCACTTCGAGTATGAGCACGGCTGTATCGCCCGGACTCCGTGTCGTTGTCCCGGTTACGTCTTCGGTCAAAGAGCTTTTTGGCTAGGAGTGCACCACCACCAATACCGGCGATTTTGAGCAGCTTGCTGCCCCAGCCACCGTGGCGGGATTCCTCGTCAGAATACTTCTCCGTGTAGGAATCATGGGATTCATCATATTCCTCATCATCGCGTCTCTTATCCTGCGAGCGACGTTTCCACAGTGCTGCGAGACCCGCTCCTGCAGCGCCCGCTGCAGCCATGCGGCCGAAGCTGCTATGACGACGATTATCCGGACCAGGAGGTCCCGAGACGTAGCTATGCCGGCTATCGTAATCGCTGCCCATGTGGTAACCTTGTGTATCGTACATGTATGACAACACAAAGAAGGCTACAAGAAGTGCGAAAGCCGCGAGCGAGTACAAGATGAAGAGCACCTTAGGGGAGCCGTAGAGGGTAAGCCCCAAAGGGATTTGAACGAGACCGAGGATGGCGATTGCACGTCCGAGCCATCGGTGGATCTACAAAAATAAAACCGTATCTATTAGTGAGTTGAACATGGAGGCCGTGGTTGGAACACTCACGACTAGCTTGAATGGAACATGATATCGTTGTCGTTTACTCTCGACTTTATGAAGCATCCAGCCCCAGAACACCTGGAAGACGACCATGACGTAGATCGCAAGGCCAATTCCATGATGGGGATTTGTCAGTTTCCGTTCAGGACCGACGGCAAACCAGCCGAGGACGAATACGACGGTGGTGAGTAATAAAGTCAAGACTTGACACCAGACATGCAGTTTGAAAGCCCAGAATGGACTCCATCGGGAATAGTATCGGATAATTAGGATGGATATCGGAACAAGGCCTAGGAACACGATTGTTGCGATGACGCCGTGGGCAATGATAATTGTATGGTACTGGGGCATATCGCGGAATCGGTTTCCCATTCCTGATCGCACGACAGTTGTCAGCCGCTCACTCTCGGTAGATTGATGTGGGATCCACTCACCATTGTATCGCATTGTATCAAAGTTCACCCCCATTAGGTTGGGAAGAAGGAATGTGTCACGCCCCGAGTCCCATGTTCCGTCACCGACATGCAAAGTATCCGAGGCATAGGTGCTGCTCCCCGGAGGAGAGAGGTCTGAATTGGACGGCATTGTCGCCGATGCCGGTGAGTGGCAATCTCCGACTGGTTCGTATTATCTTCCCTTCCACAGTAATCTGGAAGCTCTGCGATAGAATGTCGAAACTGCCGATGGAGATCTAATAGATCCCCCACTCGGAGGAATGTACCATGCGTCAACAAGGCAAGTGGATCGAATTCGCCTGGGTCAGGACCGCATAGACAGGAATGTCAGCGCCGATGTATTCAGGGATTGTAGATGGAAGGTTTCGATTGAAGTGGTGCGTTGACGCGATGTTTATGGTAGACTGCGATAACCGGCGGTGAAGGCTGTATACTCGATCGAGTGTAGTAAAGAGCGGGCGGGGTCACCAGAGACAACAAGGTCGACAACGAGATACCCTAGCACGAAGAATAAACAAAGGTGGATTTAGGCACCGTCAGGGACTCGTCTAGACACAATCGAACACCGAAGCGCCGGGGGAGAGGGGGTTGGATGCGATGAGATGCGAGCTGAAGTTACCCTCATCAACGGTTTGCCGTTTGGGGTTTAGCGTGCCAGCGCATATCCGGGACAACCAGTAGCTGACTCATCACTTTCCACCGCCTGCCGGAAGCGGAGAGTATCGCGTGCTCCACTGTGACGATTATCTTATCAGTCGCGATGCACGCAACAACAATGACTGAGTGTCTTCAACCTCCGTCTCCTTTCTGCATGCCGAGATCAGAGGTCCCTCTTGCCACTCAACTTAGATTACGTTGGTTATGATGGATCCGCAGTTGGAGGTCTTTCTCAAGGCGTTGTCGCGGTATGTTGGACTCTGACATCCTTCCGATCCCTGGAGGTGGACCTGTGGAGGCTATGCTGACCTCGATGCTGTAACCCAGCCTGTTAGGATGGATCTAGTATGTTGTCCCCCGATTACGACGCTCTTGAAACCTGGTCAATGTTGATTTCCTTAATAGCACGTTTTGTTGGTCCGCCTCCTTCTATCCCCAGCCTATCAGCAACTATAGACGCCGTTCCACCACGGGCTTAGCCATCGACTTTCCTACGATCAATGTCCTCGGCTTTGTTTGCTATACCGCATACACCTCGGCGTTTCTGTGGTCTCCCGTCATCCGTAGTCAATACGCCGCTCGTCATCCCGTTTCCCCGGAGCCTACGGTGCGCTTCAACGACTTTGCGTTTGCCATCCATGCTGTGGTGCTCAGCGCGATCGTGTATTCACAATTTTGGCCGTTCATCTGGGGTTTCAAGGTTTCGCGGTTCCAGCGAGTCAGCAAGCCTGTGGCGGGGCTTTTCTGGGGTTCTATTTTAGCTGTGGCTGTTGTCTCGTGGATCGTGCTCGCCAAGAGTCCAAACAATGGATACGATCCGTTCACTTGGGCCTGGATCGACGTGGTAAGCTCGGCCCCAAAGCGACTCCAGCCATGTCTCTGTGTGACTAATGCCGGGGTGTTGGTTGTCTCAGATCTACGCCTTGTCCTATGTGAAACTGGTTATCACGGTGGTGAAATACGTCCCACAAGCATGGGTCAACTACAAGCGCAAGTCCACCGTGGGATGGAGTATCGTGCAAATCCTTTTCGATCTGTCGGGCGGAATCCTCTCGCTCATTCAGCTGGTCGTCGATTCCAGCATGCAGCAAGATTGGAGCGGCATCATGGGCAACCCCGTCAAATTCCTCCTATCCAACGTCACCATCGTATTCGACTTGGTGTTTGTCATCCAACATTATATTCTCTATCGGGATTCCGCCGAGGACAAGGACAAGCGACGGAACCCTGGCCTTGTAACGCCGCTGTTGTCAAGCTCGGGCGATGCGGCCCGGGCAGCTAGCGTGTAGAGAGTTGCATGGCGGAATAGACCCGCTATCTTGGATCCATCTATCTATTTTTGCAATATTATTATCATTTTGGAACTATATACCACCGTTACATTGTGTTGGACTGGTCTGGCCTGCCTAAACATGGCGAAGCTTTTGGATCGCCCCATGGTCAGAGCCGCATCTCCACAACGGTAGAGACAGCTGTCGGTCAGTGCTGAAGGGTCGACAGATTTCGGTCAAGTCCGTCTATTCATCCCGATCGTCCATGATAGACCGCATTCCGACGGTCTGGAAGAGCGCGCAAGCTTCAGGGTAGGCACAGGGCTGCCCATGTGCGCAACACCCGACACCGCTCTTTTGCCGGTGACTGACCCCCCTATGCTGTGTGCACGGCTGCGATCTCCACTCGCTAAAACGGCCCCGGAGAGACGCCTATTCGACGCCACGTTGCCCAAAGGACGGGGTTCCCTCCATGATTGGCCTGTTCCGCTGACTGGGCTTGATTTGGATTCCTTGGGCAGCCCCATGGCGCAGGACGCCTGACGGTGCAGAGCGTTCTTGATCCGCCTTTTCAACGGTGAGAGCCAGCTCGGTCTTCTCTTTCGCTGCAAATCTCTTTCCTCCCCGGGTCCGCGGGCTGAGGCTCTCACTCTGCAGACCAACCAGATCCCTGCCCTAACAATCCCGAGGACGGAGACGGGAGCGCACATGCTTCTGTGCTGCATTCGCCCGCTGGAACTCCTCTCCTCCTCGTCCTGTCAGTGCAGAACCTCGTCCCCGGGCTCTGCTTCGGGCTTAGTGAGGTGCCCGGTGCCATACCCAATACTGACCGTATGCTGCGCGTTCCTCTCGGCGTTCCCGTAGGACTTCAGCCCTACCAGGGATCCAGTCTTTCCAGCAAGGTGGGAAAGGAATGAGACGTTTATTTCTCCCGCACTAGCGGTGGAGAGGTACGAATGGCGCAGCACATAGGCGAGGCCTCTGACGGCCTCGCTTGCGACAGTCATTGGTCTTTCGGAGTTCCCAGCAGACTAGAAATAATCCTCGTCCTGAGAAATCATCGCATGCCAACAATACCGTTATCCGCCCAGCGCGCCGTTGTCATGGGGCCGATGCCTGTATAAGCGACGTGAGCCCTTGTCTCAGCTGTCATCGCTGATAAATCTCCTTCTCATTCCGCAACTATTTGTCATCTGTTCCTTTGCTTTCTTTCTAATACGTTACATTGACCTACGAGTCCCGATGCTACCTATCTGAGTACGTTCCGATCCTTCAGGCTGTGCATCCCGGGGGCCCTTCACCCGGATGACAGCGCATCCCCAGATGTCATTGGGGGCTACAAAATCAATGACTCGGTGTTGTTGATAAACGACCAGATCGAGAATCGATTTGGAATTTCCCTGACCGTCCAGCGTCAGCTTCGAAGAAAAGAAAGTGCATAGCCACGTCTGACGAGTGAAACTGACCTGCGTCATCGCTTGGGTCAAGCCCCTGTTGCTTATTTTATACATCCAGCCCTACACAAAAGCGCATAAGGCTTGATATATAAAACAATCTACCGAGGCCCGCCACTATCGCTGAAGGAACAATAGCCCTCTCTTAGTTCCATATACTGGCTTTACTTCAAGTCCCTCTTCCGTGACTTGTCCCCCGGACTATGAAAAATATCGAATCATGATAATTATGACCATGAACCCAAACGACTCGTTGGCTCATGCCTACCCAGCCCGTCGTGGACAGACATCCCGCCAGCCGCAGCGTCCGCAGCGTCCTGGTATGGACACCATCCCGTCCAAACAGCAGATGCTGCTCGACCCAGGGCACCTCATCGAGACCGGTCGGACCTACTCCGCCGTTTCCCCAGCATGTGCAGCCGGCGCATACGGAGGCACTGCGTCTATGTACAGTCAATCCAGCTTTCCGCCCGCGCGGTCTCTCGCGGACGGCGGACAGCAGACTGTCTCATCCGCCTGCTATCCCAGCTACTCGGCTGCGACCGCGGCCTTCTCCAATATCCCAGATGTACACATCCCTGATGTCTCTTCCTACGCATACGACGCCGAACCGAGCGACCTGCACATGGGCAACTTCTTCCTCCCAGACCAACACCACCCCATGATCTCGCCGTCGCTCCTGTCATGCCCCGACCAGAGCCACGACACCTTCGACACGCAATCCGTCTTCGCCAGCTCCGTCGACTCGTTCGATCCCATCCTCTCCTCCGCCGCCACCACCACCTCCGCCAACACCCCGTTCTTCCCTCCCCTCGACGAGCAATGGATTCCTCCCCCGCCCGCAGACTACTTCTTCGACGCCCACATGCACACCCCCTTCCACGGCGGCAGCCCCCATGCGCCCCTCGCGACCCCCAGCCCGCTGCCCCAGCCCGCCCCCACCACCCAAGCCTCCTCGCCCAGCGGCCCCAAAGAGAAAGACCTCTCCCACTACGGCGTGCAGAACCCCGACGGCTCCTGGCGCTGCGCCTACCCCAGCTGCACGTCGCAGACCGTCTTCCGCCGCGGCTGCGACCTGCGCAAGCACTACAACCGCCACCGGAAACATCTCTTCTGCCGCCACAAGAGCTGTCCGCAGGCCGTGCAGGGCGGCTTCTCCAGCAAGAAGGACCGCGACCGCCACGAGACGAAACACAACCCCGGCGTGCCGTGCGAGTGGGCCGGCTGTCCGCGGATGTTTAGTCGCGTCGACAACATGAAGGATCATGTGCGGCGGATCCATCGGCGGAAGGAGTAGCGTGGCTTTTTCTTGTTTATATGCGTGTGCTTTTAAAAAGATGGAATGGCGCATGGTTTGTCGGATTTGGCTTAAGGATTGGTTTATTGGGTTCTTGCACCTGCTGCGCGGGGGATGCAAACGACGTATACGGATGAAGGGACGATACACTGTACTATATTATGAAATGCCTTGAGCGACCGGATCTTTTGAATGCATTCATTCCCTTACTCAACGACGCCAGAACTTCCTATATGGACACGCTGCAATCATGACAAGAACAAAGCCAGAGCACAAAGTCAGATGGCGGCAAGCAGGCAAGTAGGTAGGTAGGTAGGTAGGTAGATACGTATGGTCAATGGCTAAATCACGCAATCCCAAACGCCTCTCGTCCTCGCGTGTACAGAGCAGATGGATGGATGGATTCACGCTTCGCACGCAACACAACACAACGGACTATATGCAAGCAAGCCGAACGAATGACCAAGGGGGGAAAGAAACAACTCAACTCTAGCATCTGGTATCATAAACAGACAGACAAGGCAAGACAATGAAAACAAGCACAACGGTATGCAAAACGGGACTTCATAATGCATGGGCAGGAGCAGTGTACAAGCGAAAGCACCCGCGCGTCAGACGGCCGCGTGATTCTCGGAAGAAAGCCATCTCGCCGCGAGGCCAATAGACTGCGATGGAAGAATGCAACGGTGCTGGTGGATGTACGAGAGATTATCCCGGCTGAGGCTAGGGCACGTTGGCGCGGCGACGGCGGCCACGCGTGCTGCCTTCGGGTCGCTGGGCCAGGACCTGGCGGAGGAGCGGGTCGTCTTTGCTTTTGTCGACGTGGTGGACGCGGACGTGTCTGGAGAGTCAGTATGGTGGCCGGGAGAAGATAGATTGGGTAAGGGGTGGCTAGGGGAGGGAAGTGAAGCAACGCACCGCTGGAGATTGTCCGGGCGCGGGTATTTGTGCTGTTGGTCCGGACAGAACGGACATACGTATCCCGGGGAGTTGTGGACGAGCCCGTGACGGATCATTTCGTTCTTGCGTTTGAAACCTTTGCCGCCGAAGCCGCGGGGGCAGCCCTCCACGGGACAGAAGTGCGGGCGGTCCTGGGAGTGGACTTTGGCGTGGGAGCTGTGTCGGTTAGCCCGGGGCGCTAGTTGATTGACAAGAGGAAGACGGCTCACTTGAGAAGGTACTGCGTTTGGAACGGGGCGGCGTTGCACCCCGGGTGGCTGCATTTATATGTGCCGGCGGGGGCGACTGTCGGCTGGGAGGATTGACTGTACGGGGTCCGGTCGCAGGGTCCCGAGGGCGTCTGGTGGTCGATCGGGGTGGGATAGCTGGTTGCGGGGCTCTTGGCCGAGTGCGTGGCCTCGTACGGACTGCTGAGGTAGGGGATGTCGGCTTTCAGGGGTCGACGGTAGGAATGGTGGGATACCGGCGATGACACGGCGGAGAGGTCGGTGGCGCTGGCCGGCGAGTAGTGCGAGTAGGGACTCGGGGGCACCTGTGGCGAGGGGCCGAACTGCGCCGGCCGTTGGAGATCCCAAACCGGGTCCGTCCTCAGTCCGGGTGGGGAGGTGGCGGTGACCGAGGGCAGCGAGTACGGAGAGGATCCCGGAATGCGGGGATGAGGCTCTCCCGACATGGTGGTGGTGATGCCGCTGAGGGCCGCCTGGAGCGGCGGGAGGGTGTGCGAGTTGTCCGGGGAGTGGAGGGCCGGGAGCAGATCCTTGGAGGGGCCTTGAGGATTGGGGATCATGTACTTGCTCAGCTTGTCTTCGTGCGCGGCCGTTGTCTCCGGGGTGGGCAAGACGACCACAGGACGGGTAGGCTCCTCTTTTAGTGACGGCGGTGCCTTGGGCTCCTCCTGGGGGGTTTTGTATATTGGGGGCGGCGACGGTGGTTCATTCTTCTGGAGGAGAAGTTGGAGGGCCGTGCTCGCTTTGCATTTGAGATCCTTGTCCTTGGGAGATGCGGGAGACTCTGGCGGATGTGCCGGTGGAGGGCCCGGTGGAGGGCCCGGCGGCGGCACGCCGACAGTGGTTGGGACAGGGCCCGAGATTGGGACAGCGATGGGCTCCCTTTTGGCCGGACTCCAATCGGACGAATCGTCCCGGAGATGGTCAATCTTGAGCGGATGCAGCTGTTCGTGATAGGCAATGTCAGGTCGGTTGGGTTCTAGACTCCTGATCAGCACCGAGTTGCCCTCCGCGGATCCAGGCAAGGAGGAGTAATGCTGGTGCTTACGGGAACAGTTTAATGTTCCCTCCCCTCGGGGTGATTTAGCAGCAGCATCGCGCTTGGCGGCGGAGGCATCTACAAAAGGCGGAGGGGTTTCCTCGCGCGGGGCATAGTTGATTTTGAGGGCCTCCAGGCCGGGCGAATGCCGGTCGTCGGGGTCGTGATCAGACATGGAGGCGGTGGTGGTTTGAGACGCATCAGGTGCGTCGGGGGAGTAGATCGGTGTTCCGTTGGAGCCAGGAGGCAACGGAGGAAGTTATGGGGTGGCGCGGGCAGACCCCGGTCTGGTGGAGGTTAGCAGGGGCATGGATATTATCATTATCAGAAGCGACAGGGGAGGGAGGTGGAGAGGGAAGAGAGGTCAAGTGAAGTGAAGTTGGATGTACACCCGAAAAGGAACGAATGGAGCCGCGTGGGATCAGGTGATCGGGGGCCAATGAGGGCGGGTTCCGTGTTGCGGCATCCAGAAACACTCGAATGCGGGGTATAAAGTAGAGATGGAAGAGAAAAGAAAACAAGGGAGGAAGAAGAAGAAGAAGAAGAGAAGGAGAGAGAAAGGAAGGGGGAAAAAAAATAAAGGAAGAAAGAAAGAGGATGATAGAGGGTAAAGATCTCACCTGGTCGGCATGAGGCTGTCCGGCAGGTCAGGCGGCTGTGGAATGAGGCTCAACGGGGGGCCCGTCCGGAGTGATTACGCACGGGGTCGAGGGGCGACTCGACGGGTGACACAACACGCAAGGAGGCGACAATGCGGGGCGGGGGTCGACTATGATGGAGGATGATGATGGTGGAGATGGCGAGTGGAGAGAGGAAGAGAGTAGTGAGAGTTGGGGAGTGAGGGAGGGAATGAGAGGGTGTCGAGAGAAAGAGTGAGAGTGATCTGACAGCCGTGTTGGAGGCACAGAATCAGGTGGATGACTGGGTTGGTGTAATCGTCAGGCATCGGCCATGGCTCCACGGGTGACACCGTTGCGACCGGGAAGGGGCAGCGCACGAACGGGTCGGGGGCAAAGAAAGCAGAGGGAGAGGGCGCGAGGGAGAGAGAGGTGAGAAAAGAAGAGGAGAATAGGGTGTGTGGATATGTCCTTGGCAGAGAGAGACGTGGAGCAGCGGTCAGGGATTGACTGAGTGGGAACAAATAAATCCTAGACTGGGACTAGGTGGGAGGGAGGGAGGGAGTTAGTGTGAATGATTCTTCTTCTAATCGGAATCAGTCAGCTAGATGGATTAGGTACCTTTTGAAATCAGATGGAACGGCGGATTGTCAGGAACTCCGTTGGACTTGGAGGGCATCGGAGGCACCAAAGGAGTAAAGAGTCAAAACACGAGGCATGCGGGCCCGATGAGGCTCTCGGTAGCGTTGACGGACGTGGTGGAGAGGCTGAAGAGAAGAAGATTTGTCGAACGTCATGGAACCATCTCTTCTATATCTCCTTCTATCTATTTTCTCCGTAGACCTACGAACAACAAGATCACCTATATCATATAGTAGAGGTAGGAGGGAAATTCCTCCGACTCTAGATAGCAGATGATCTAAATCCATTTACTGTCTCGCTGTCTTTTCCTGAGGGCATCCCAAACCCTCTAGGGGACCTCTAAAGTACCCTGGTTTAGTCTACTTCGGAGTAAAGAACCAAAAAACAAAACAAAAACAAAGGCCCGACCACCCTCCCTATTGCCTCCCCTCGATCCCTCCAGGACGCAGGATACCGCGGTGGCCGTAGAACAGGGCATGCCGACCCCCTCCACCCTCCACCTGGTCGGTCGAGCCTCAACCCTGTTCGTCCTCGTCCTCCTCGGTTGTTATTTCCGGCCATACTCCCGGACATCGACGATCGCGGTGATTGTCCGGGCTGATTTTCCACTCGGTCATCACTTCAGTTCTTGCGTTCATATCAAACATCGGAAGATTTTCTTATTTGTCTCGATGATTCAACCAGAATGACAAACAGACAAACACCTCTGCGGAGGATCCGTCGTGGACCGAATAATCCATCCATCCATCCATCCATGAATGGTGGCCCCACGTTGCTTCCCCTCTCCACTGACTGACTTTCTTCCCGTGTCCAGCCGTGTCCACAACCTTGGAGTGCCATGACAGACACTCACAGACCCGAGGAACCAGAGTCAAATATCCAAGTGTACATTACGGAGTATATACCTAGGAGTAACAATAGTATACAACAGTATATCTCTACCTCGTAGTATACTATATATATATAATATAGATCATATCATGATACAAATCGGTGAATCGACCATCATGGCTAATGCGCTGTACTAAGCGGCCCGCCCCGAGAGAATTTTCCATCTCCCAAAGACCAAGGTACGGTCGAGCAGTCAGACTAGAACCAATCCTGCAGCCAATCGTAATCCCATTGCGCTCCATCCCCGCCGACTATCCTTGTTTTTTTTTTTTTTTTTTGCTCGGAGAGTAGATTTGCTCCGAGGGTCTCCTCGTCATCCTCATCCGGAGAATTCCCGCTGACTGATTGCAAATCATACTCATAATGTAGTATATAAATATAGATAATATAGAATAATGAAGGATAATTCGAATACATAGCGTACATAGAATACATAATAAATAATGAATCATAATGAATCAATTAATTCTAGAAAATACTTCCACTGTATTGTACTTCCAATGAGCCGCACCCAATTACCACCACGTCCGGATACGAGCCTCGTCACGCCTCATTCTTCCCGTCCAATTGCCAACTGGCATCTCATGCATGTACGGAGTAGGCAGAGATGGATAGATCCATTCAACTAACAAATCTACAATCGCCCTCTCATCGCCGCCTGCAACTTCTCCACCCGCTCCCACGCCGCCAGCGCCATCGGCACCATTCTCTCCGCATACTCGTGAGCCCGCGCACTGCTCGCCTGCCGCAACGCATACCGCGCCTTGATGCCCTGCATGATCACCGAGCTCCGCCACGACATGAACGCATCCCCCCACACGATATCCGCCGACACGTCGTACCCGGAGAACTCGGCGTACCAGCGCATCAGCTCGTCGCGCGTCGGCAGCCCCGGCGTCACCCCGGGCCGGAACTGCGCCGTCGTCGCCCCCGTCAAGTCCATAAAGTACGGGCTGGTCAGGTTGCAGTAGTCCGACAGCGGGTGGCCCACCGTCGCCATCTCCCAGTCCAGGATGCCGATCACGCGCGGCTCCGTCTTGTGGAACACCATGTTGTCGATCTTGTAGTCGCCGTGCACGAGCGTGCCGCGGTCGCGCGGCTGCGTCGCCTTGTTCGAGAAGAACCGCACCATGTCTGCGAAATGCGGCAGGTCGCCCACGGGCTCCTGGCTCTCCACGTCCACCGCCTGCGCCTGCGCCTGCGAGATCGTCTTAAACGTCGCGATCTGCCGGTCGTAGAACCCGCTGGGCTTGCCGAAGCTCTCCAGCCCGACCTCCCGCGGCACCACCCGGTGGAACTTGGCCAGCGTGCGCACCGCGTCTTTCCATCTGCAACTGTTAGAAAGGATAAGTTCAAATGGGAGGTGACGTACAGAGCAGTCCGCTCTTCGGGCCCGACCTCCGGCATGGCCGGGTCGGTGAAGATGCGCCCGTCCAGAAACTCCATGATGTAAAAAGGCGTGCCGATCACGCTGCTGTCCTCGCACAGACAGTACGCCTTGGGCACCGGCACGTCCGTCTTCTCCAGCGCGTGGATGATCTTGTACTCGCGCTCGACCTTGTGCGCCGTCTTGGACAGTAGCTTGCCGGGCGGCTTCTTGCGCATCACGTATTTCTGGCCATTGACGCCCGTGAGCTGGTACGTGGGGTTGGATTGACCGAAGCCGAACTGCACATCATCAGTATCGTCATCTCCCCTTGGTGGCTAAAGCTATGGAGGTGACTACCTGCTTCACATCAATCGGGGTCTGGATCTCCGGCACATGCTGGCTGATGTACCGTTCCAGGGCCGGAATATCGATGGGTTGGCGCACTGCTCCCGCCATGGTTGCACCGGTGAAGTAGTAAGAGGGACTATGTGGTCAGAGAGGGCAATGGGAGAGAGAAAATCATCTCGCCAGGCGTCGGGTTATGAGTGCTGAGCCAGCCCGAGCGAGGCTGGAGACGAGCAACGGACCGAGGCTAAACAGCGCTGCCTTTGCGGGGTGGCTCTCCCTAACCCGAGTTGTGCTGCACAGCTGACTCATCCCTTCACAAAAAAATCACTTAACGCGTCCGCGTCCCACTCACCGCCAGACGCGTTCCCAAACTCAACCCACCCATGGCCCTACACCGACTCGTCCTCCTCCTTCGTCCCCTTCGCTCTCTCTCCCCTCGACACTTCTCCTCTCCCACTTCCCTCCGGACCATGACCAAAGAGACCACCCCTCCTCCCACGACCTCCTCTTCCACCGTCCCCATCGCCCACCACCCCCCGTCCCTCCCCGCCTCCCCCGCCGCCAAACGCTCCAAACCCAACACCACCACCACAATGGCCATCCCACAGTCTCTCCCGCCGCTCCAGGTGAAGAAGCTCACCGAGTCCGGGCGCGCCCCGACGCGCGGCTCCGCCTTCGCCGCCGGCTACGACATGTACAGCGCCAAGGACACCGTCATCCCGGCCAAGGGCAAGGCGCTGGTCGACACGGGCATTGCCATTGCCGTGCCTGAAGGGACCTGTAAGCCCCTCCTCTGGATAGAGTGCAGAAGCATGAGCTGACAGAATGATGAATAGACGGCCGCATCGCCCCCCGCAGCGGGCTCGCCTCGAAGCACTTCATCGACACCGGCGCCGGTGTGATCGACGCCGACTACCGCGGCGAAGTCAAGGTGCTACTGTTTAATTTTTCGGACGTGGATTTCACCGTCAAGGAGGGGGATCGCGTGGCGCAGCTCGTGCTGGAGCGCATCTATACGCCGGAGGTTGTGGTTGTGGAGGAGCTGGAGGAGAGTGTGCGCGGCGCGGGTGGTTTTGGTAGTACCGGGAACTAGGGTGGATTATCTAGGTATACATGGGTTTAAACGACGGGCGTTGGATATAAAGGACAGGCATGAATGAATGAATGATTCTTCCAGGACCGATCTAGCTGTATAATGCTCCCGTACTGTATGTCTATTCTATTGTAGTTCCACCGGCAGATCCTGCTTGTTCCACTCCATCGCCTGGAACTCCACCTCCGGCTCGCGGAGGTACCGTGCATTCCGCACCAGCCGCACCTCCGCCGCCTTCGTCCGCCGCAGATGCTCCTGCTTCGCCGTGTCCTCGTCGCTCGGCGTCCCGTTCGCCGCGGCAGCCGCCGCCGTCAGGCGCAGCTCCGCGTCCCGCGCCTCCAACGTCTTCTCCAGCACGCTGTGCATGCTCGCCAGCACCTTGACCGTCGCGCGCGCGAGGGGCAGCTCCGTGGCCGGCACGTCGTCGGGGGACACCCACGAGCGCGTGGCGGCGAGTGCCGGGTCCGCGGCGGCCACGGCCTCGCGCAGCCGCGCGACCGTCAGCGCCGCGAACATGTCGCCCGTGCCGCTGAAGAAGCAGTCCAGCGCGGGGACGTCGATGCGGAAGAGCCGCGGGGAGCCATCGGAGCGGGTGGTCGAGCCGATGATGGTGAGCGTGCGCGGGGTTGGAGTTGAGTCGCTGGGTGGGGTGGGCAGCTTGCTCAGGTCGACGGAGGTGATGATGACGTGGGGGACGTTGTAGGTGGCGTGGATGGCGGTGATGGCGGAGGCGAGGGTGCTGAGCGAGGTGATTTTGATGCCGGAGAGGACTCTGGTTTTGTTAGTTGTGTGGGTTGGATGGGGTAGGGAGGGGGCTGGCTACTCGGCTTCGAATTGGTTGGGGAGGATCAGGTCTGCGTGCTGGATGATCTTTTTGTAGGCCGGGACGACGTCGTCGTTGACGTAGAGACGGCCCTGGTCGCCCATGACCGGGTCGAGGACTGTAGGTGTCAGTTGATGCGGGGGGGGAGAGGGGACCGGGGAGGCGTACCCCAGAAGAAAGACCCGGGTTTACTTGCGGCTTTGCGCTGGAGGTCGAGGCCGATGGCGCCGACGGCCTCGACAGCGGCGGCACTCGGGGCGTACCCCGAGAGCATGACGTCGAAGTCTGTGAGATGGCTTTGGCAGAGGCCCTCGTAAAGGGCGGTGATTTCATCGGCTGTGGCTCTCGTGCCTTTGAACTGTCGGTAGCCGGTGTGGTTGCCTGGATGGTAAGTCGGTGTATACCGCATAGACGGGGAGATGACTCACTGAAGTGGACGGTGTTGAGGGCGGCGACGTCGCAGCCGAGAGCCTGCATGGCTATCGTGGCCATCTTGTTGCCGACGTAGCTGCATGTGTCAGATCAATGACTCCAGTCTGGTGTGTCCCGGTTCACGAGTGCTCCAGGACATCGTCGCTTAGTAGGCACGTACCCATAGACAACCTAGAGTTGAGTCAGTTGCTGTATAACGCATGATTTGATTGTGCGCTCACGTACATGGCTGGCAATGGCCAGGACCCGAGTCTCGGGGACGAGAGAATCAGACATGGCGGGGTAGCGGGAGCGATCCCGGAGACAGAAAAGAGTTCTTCCAATGATACCAATGAGGGACAATGCGGGGGAAGTGAGCGACCTCAATACAAATGTACAAGATAACGACCGAGCGTGGCGGACAGGGGGACAGGGGGAGAAGAATATCAGGTTGGATGGAAATGGAATCATTCTGGACGCTCGGGGAATCTTGGACGAACCCGCGCTAACCCGAATGGGTCATTGCGGAGGGAACTGTCGCCATCACTGATTGGCTGTCGGGGCCGTCAGTTCTTTTCGCTATCGATAAGCCTCTTATCGGCTGATAAGGTACAATGTCCAACCATTGCTTGCTCCAACCAGGAATCTTGATCTCGCTCTCCAGGTACTACGAGAAGCCTGTGCTGGATATCGAGGATGCCGGACTTTCCGCTAGTGCTGCTGATGGTTCGGAGGAAGCGACCTCTGGTTCTCCTGCGTGCGCGGAAGTGAATCACATCTCCCTGGACTGGGACGGCTTCTTCCCCTGGAGTGCACATCCCGTCTGTGCCGATTGCGGCACGCTATATGACTTCCGATATATATCTCGCAGGAAACGGGCTGCATGGGCGGTGTCCAAGGAGCTCCGCGCCCAGTTCAAGGGGCGATGGACACCGCCGGGTTGAAGGACAAAAACAGAGAATCTCGAGCCAGATGCTGGCTGCTTCGACAACATCACAAGCTACATGCACGCTCACTGATGCGTCTTCATCGTGCTGCGCGCAAGAATATGAACGCACAAAGCAAAAATTCCGATAGGGGGAATCGAACCCCCGGCTGCCGTGTGAGAGACGGCGATGTTAGCCACTACACCATATCGGATGCTGATTGGTGGAAAAACTAACAAAATTACGATCTATAAGCGAGTTCAACAGGGAATCGTTTAAGAGAACGATCCTAGGTAGTTGGGAAGAGAATCCTTCCTATACATCAAGAACGCCCCGATCCGAAAACCCCAACTGTAACTCCTCCGCAATCACACGCGTATAGTTCAAGCACCAGTCACTGTACCCAGCGCCTCCATCACGACACTCAATCTCACACGACTCCGCAAACAAGACAAACCCCTTTCCCTTTCTCCCCTCCTCGCAGCGAAACAGCGTCTCGTGCATATTCCATCTATTAACCGGCAGATCCTGCACCGCGAGCGTGGCGCTGATATCCGCTGCGTAGGGTCCTGTTCGGGTCAGACGGATTCTCCAAAGGAAAAGAAAGTCCGTTGTGGACCTATCGATGCTCACCCAGTTGTAGCAGATTGAAGCCGCAGTAGTTGAGCCCGGGCTCGCAGGACGTGGCTTTGGGGAATGGACGCAGCGCGAGCTCGACCGCGAGCGACCAGATTCGGGGGAATATCATGGCTGTTGTTCAGAAGATTGTAGGGTGGGGGGTGGATGAGGGTGGGCTGGAGTGGTGTGAGGTTTTGTTCTGGGGGGTAGAGTGGAAATTCTGCGTTGTCGACGTTGTTGATACATGAGAGTGTCGTCATTGCGTACCACGGTAGAACTCCATATAGAGAGTGTATGATGACTCGAAAGGGACAGATACTGGAGCCGGCATCACTATGATGCTTGTAGCAGAGCGATAAATGTAGTGCATTTGTATAGGTTGTGCTTTAATATATTATCATTCTCGTTGGAAGGGAACTGTTTAGAAACACACCTTTCAAGTCCAGTATGTGAATTCAGTATGCACCTGGCGAACGGTCGGAAGAATAAGCGAGGCTTTTTATTGTTTCAGCCCAGAGCTTGATCATGGAACAATTATATAAGTTTGATTAGTTATATATAAACATTACGCTAAATGCAAGCACATGAGAAAGACAATCGCTGTCGTTGCCCATAACCATAACCAAGCGGTTAGTCAGTAAAGAATAAATGAGTTAAGGAGGGATATAAAGCATCTCGAACGCAGTAAAAGATAAACAAAACCAGATCCCGACGACTAGAACAGTCCGAAGAGGGTGACGACAAACAACGCCAACACAGAGCCGAAAAGAGATCCGCTAGGCGTCAGTCGCAAACCAGCCGACACGGCCTTCTCAACAGCCACAGTGACGTTCGCGTCGACAAATCCACTCCCGCATTTGGAATTGATGCCCTGCGCTGAAGACAGGTAGGAGCTGGCAAGTGGCTGGTCCGCGACTTTGGCATACGTGGCGAAGACGCGCATAGTAGCCTGGAGACACGCATTGCACGTGGGATATGGCGCACTACTCAGGGTGCTGCCAAAAGCCACAGAGTAGACGTTGTAATCAGCGGGGTTGGTGGTGTTGGTGACGGCATCAACGAAGCAATAATCGTTCGTCGTGGGGCTTGTGAGACAGGTTGCGCGGTAGACGGGCATGTATGTGATGAAATCGGTGTAGGCGTCCGTTACGACCGGATTACCGAGACGGTAGTCTTTCCCGCAGTTGCTGTCTTTGATCAGACTCGAGGCAAGCTCGGACATTTTCTTGTTGCATTTGTCGGAATCGGCGGCACAGGCGAGATCCAAGAGATGGGATGTGGCGGGCGCGGAACGGAGGGTGTAGAAGAAGGAATTGGAGTCGCGCAGAAGACAGGAGAGAGCGTAGCAGTCCGTGAAGGCGGAATCGGCGAGGAACTGTTTGAAGAAACTGGGGCAGGATTTGCTGGTAAAGTTGTTCGATATGCTGGTGTCGAAGGGCGTGGGGAGATCATCTGAGGTGTCGGCTCGGCGAGTCAAAGCGCCCTGGGCGTCGAAGATAATGGGCAGTGACGAAGTTGACTCCTCATCATCGCTAGTGTTCGGCAAAGCGATGTTGGACGAGGATGGTCGATCTTCTGGTGCACGTTCCTGAGCACGTTCCTGGGGTGGAGAAGCACGAGATACTGTTGGATCACTGCCGACGATCTCTCCACTTGGGACCGACGGGAAGGAGATCGCGGATGGGAGATCTTGGGCAAGCACGGATGCTGCAAGGGAGAGCATGGACTCCGACAGGAGGAGCGATATTATGAATAGCGAGAGGCGCGAGTGGAAATGCATGTTGTTGTTGTTGTTGTAGTGGGGATGGTGGTCGAGGATTGACGGAGATGTCGAATCCAGCGGTTCGCTAACGAGTGAAGGCCACAATATGAGCGGAAGAGAATCACAAGAGACGGTGGGAAAGAAAGATGAGCATTTCAATACATGTGGCCGGCAAAAGAGCGATTATGGGAAGTGAGACAGCATGACACGACGGGAGCCGATGAGGCACGGCGAGTAAGGGAAGGGAATGCGCAAGAGACGAGGAATCAAGACGTTAGAAGGGAGTGAGAGAACGAGAAGGAATGTATGAGCATGATAGATGAGTCGCTTGAGATGAAGAGAGCGTATGAGTGAGTGAATGAGTTGAGGTGTTGTTGAAGTGTGAAGAGAGTCTGGAGAGCGAAAAGGGGAAGCCGGAAAAAGGTGAGACAGCCGGACGGTCTAGACCCACCGATTCCTCCTCTTTCATTTTGACTCTGTACAACAAAGAACTTGCAGTAGGGGTACTCTGCTATAGTCGACGATAGATTAAATGTTCGCCAGGTTGCAATTTAAGCTTGGAATGCCGAGTCTATTCGGACATTCCAACCCGTGGCATGGAATGCCGGATACATTCTCCCTCCATATGGTAGTAAGAGACCTCCCGGACTGTACCTCAGGGTCAGGGTATATATATGGGAGATCGCCCATGAGTCCACGGACCTTTATGCATACCGCGCCCTGGCAAAGCTCTGATAGGAGATATTCTTCCATACTCTGACAGCAGACACTCTCGTGCCATTAGAAATACGATATTTAGCCTATTTCCTTCCTACGACTTTACGCAGCAAGGGTAGGGTTTGTTAGGGTTTATTAGATGACTGCCCTAGAATCACCCGCACATGACTCATTCATGCATCGGTGATTGTCACTGTTTCCTTTTGCTTGAAGATCTTCAGACAGAGATTAGACCTTATGAACCAAGCTAATACGTAATAGGACCAGGTGTTAAAACACAAGCTTGTGCTGAGCGCATGTGGATTCGGCCGAGGCGAAAAGTCCATGTTCCTAACAAAGCAGATTGCATGATCTGTGGCGTTGTGCAGCCCTGTCAATCACTTCTTCAAGATGTTTGTGTTCATTTCAATTGCTTCTACCGATTGGCCGTGTACTGGGCTACTCCGGCCTCCTCGGTCCTTGGCGTGGCGGGGTTCGGCACGATCTGGGGGGCGCGGCGCCCAGAGATCAACCGAGATCCTACTATGAGTGATGGCAGCGAGTGATGCTTTGTGGGAGTAGGAGGACCCTTAGCCTTCTTTCACCAACTCCTGAACGACTACAGAGAAAGCTGAGGCTTTTCCTCCCTCAGTCTCAATGCTGTCACGCTATAACCCCACCGGCGAGTCCCTTTGCTTGCCCGGCCCTGAAACATATCCAGATTGACATGCCCAGCCTTTCAAGCCGATAATAGACCGAGATGACCAATTCCATTTGTGCCTATACAACGATCGACATTCGAAAACTGCTATTCTGTCCATATCCCCGAGATCCTCAGTCCCCGCCAATTGCAGGAACCTAACTGAAAGCATGTGCTATGTTGAGGGAATCTCCGGGGATGCCTGGACATGGTATGCCAGCGTGGTATAAAAGGAGGCCCATTCCTCTGTCAACATGCCATCAATCACCGCCACTCAGCTGCCGCTCTCTTCCCTCAGTTTTACTCGTCGCTTGATGGAATCATGAAGCTATCCCGCGCCCTGACAGTCTTCCTCCTCCACCTTACGTCCACTGCATTGGCAGCGGATGTCAACGCATGGAAGTCTCGCAATATTTACTTTGCTTTGACGGATCGCATTGCCCGCAGTAGCGATGATGCTGGTGGAAGTGCTTGCAGTAACCTTGGAGACTACTGCGGCGGGACCTTCCAAGGCTTGCAGTCCAAGCTTGACTACATCAAGGGGATGGGGTTCGATGCTATCTGGATCACTCCCGTGGTAGCTAGTCAGTTTACAGGATCCCTCAGACTGTTCCTGATGACACGGTTTAGCTGACCACCATCCTTTCTCCAGATGCTCCGGGTGGTTATCATGGTTATTGGGCACAGGATCTCTATAGTATCAACTCCAACTATGGCACCGCTGATGACCTCAAAAGCCTGGTCAATGCTGCTCATGAGAAGGCAAGTCTAGTCTGTTCTGATTGACCAACTTGAAAAGCACTGAATGGCTTACAAATATATAGGGAATGTATGTCATGGCGGACGTAGTGGCCAACCACATGGGAAGTCCCATCAGCGATAACAAGCCCGAGCCACTGAACCAGGAGAGCTCTTACCATTCATCCTGCACAATTGACTACTCAGACCAGAGTAGCATTGAAGATTGCCGTATCGCATCAGACCTGCCCGATGTCAACACAGAAAGTTCCGAAATTCGGACCCTCTTCCAGGAGTGGATCAGCTGGCTGGTGAAGGAATACCAGTTTGACGGGCTGCGTATCGACACGGTCAAGCATGTTGAAAAAGACTTCTGGCCGGGCTTCTGCTCTGCCGCCGGCGTCTACACCATCGGCGAAGTCTGGGACGGCGACCCAAACTACCTTGCTGGATACGCAAACAGTATGGACGCTGTGCTCAACTACGCAATCTACTATCCCATGAACCGATTCTACCAGCAACAGGGGTCCTCCGCCGACATCGTCAGCATGCACGATCAAATAACTTCCCTGTTCCCCAACCCAAGCGCCCTCGGCACGTTCCTGGACAACCACGACAACGCCCGTTGGCTGAGCCAGAAGAACGACGTCTCCCTGCTGAAGAACGCCCTCGCCTATGTCATTCTCGCCCGCGGCATCCCCATCGTGTACTACGGCACGGAGCAGGGCTACGCGGGCGGCAATGACCCCGCAAACCGCGAGGACCTATGGCGCAGCAACTTCGACACCGACGCCGACTTGTATCAGGCCATATCCCGGCTCTCGGCGGCGAGGGCATCATTTGGCGGGCTTGCGGATGACGACCATGTCCATCTGTATGTCGCTGATACGGCGTACGCGTGGAGCAGGGCCGGTGGGGACCTGATTGTCCTCACATCTAATAGTGGATCTGGCTCTGAGTCTCAGTACTGCTTCAATTCAAAGAAGCCTGGTGGATCATGGAACAACACCTTTGGAACGGGAACATATACTGCTGATGGTGACGGGCAACTCTGCGTCACCACCTCGAATGGTGAACCCGTGGTGCTGGTTGCAGATGTGTAGATCAGGAAATCCGGTTCTCAAGCCTGGATGATCGAGGATACGGATTCAACATCGGCACTCTTCGTTGCGCCAGTATCGATTGTATTTCCTATTTTGTTATCCTATCCTGCTCCAATCTTAAATTGGCCAAAAATGTTCACTAGTTAAAAAGCAGCCTTATGGATGATCTTTTTGATTAATTATTAGAGTATAGTAGGATTCAGCGACCAAATTAATCTTTTTTAAGAGGGAGAGTTGATGGCATAATAAAAGCCAAAAAAAAAAGGAATTCCGGTGCGGGGAATCGAACCCCGATCTCCTGTGTGAAAGACAGGTATGATAGCCGTTACACTACACCGGAGTGCTTATATCAGATCCGTCTTTTTAAAAATATAAGAGCAGCTACACCATAATCAAGAGGAACCACCTCCGTCCCTTCAGCATCTCCCGATGATCCATAACTCGAATCTACTGGCAGACTGACTATACACCCATGTCATCCCCCATTCAACATGGCGCATTCTTCTCTGACCACCTTCCGGATCAAGCCCTGGTCCTGGAAGCCAGGATACCTCTCGACTGCCGTCTCACATTCTCACCGGTCTTCAATAATTCATCAAAACAGGTCATGCTATTCCTCGCTGACAAAATCACCGTGTGAGAATGCCCGTGAGGGACGTCGCTTCGAGTACAACTGGATCGACGGTACAGAGACCCTTGAAAAATACAAGCCAGGCGGGTATCATCCCATCATGATTGGCGATGTACTGCACAGTCGATAAGCTGGCCTATGGGGGTTATTCGACCGTTTGGCTTGCCCATGACGCTTTCTCCAAGCGCTATGTGGCTGTTAAAGTCGGCATTGCCGGTGCATTTTCTAATGAGACAAAAGTTTTACAAGCACTTGCCCAGCAGCACGCCTCATCTGGTGAGCATCCAGGTCGCGATGCAGTATCTCTCCCTCTGGACGAATTTGAAACCAGTGGCCCGAACGGAACACACCAATGCTACACCATGCCTCCTGCACAATGCAGTCTGAGAGATGTCTCCTTCTGCCACCTCTTTCCTCATGAAGTCACCCGTGCCCTGGCCTATCACCTGACTCTGGCTATTGCATACACGCATTCACAAGGCTATGTTCATGGAGGTCTGTCACCACATGTAGAATCCGCCAGCCAATTATCCATTGCTAACCTGGATCTGGCCTAATCAGATGTGCATCTTCGCAATATCCTGGTTCAACTGCGATCTCCACTCGACCATCTCTCAATTGAACAATTTTACAAGACCTACGGCGAGCCCGAGACTATCCAAATCACACACAGAGATGGAAAGCCGCTTCCCTTCCAACATCCCAGCAAGAGCCGTCCTCCCGCTGTCCCTTGGGAAAGCGGCGGAAGAATTTATCCTCACCGATGCTCGTGTGCTGCTGAGCGATTTTGGCGAACCATTCAACCCAACCGACAACCCTCGAAGAAGCGAAGATTGTCACACGCCGCTAGCCTCCCGGCCACCCGAAGCGCTCTTCCAGCCAAAGGCGCCCCTCTCATTCTCGGCCGACATTTGGAGTCTTGCTACGTCTATCTGGGAGATCCTTGGTATGAAGGCTATCTTCAGCGGTGAATATTCCTCGGCAGAGGAGTTGGCTTCTCAGCATATCGACGTACTGGGCCCTGTGCCCAAAGACTGGTGGGAGCAGTGGGACGAACGAGGTGAGTTCTTTGATGTGGATGGCCGTCCAGCGCAGGGTCGCTACGTGTGGCCTCCCATCGTGCAGGCCTGAGTATGAGCGGAGTTTGCATACAGGCAGGTAAGTGGATATATATATTCTGTGACTTGCGTCTGTTGGAAGTGGATACATACGCGCACCCTAGCTCTAGACAGTCAGACCCTAAACTGGAGCGGCTCCACCCTGGTGATCCGATATGGTGTAGTGGCTAACATCGCCGTCTTTCACACGGCAGCCACGGGTTCGATTCCCGTTATCGGAAGTTTGTTTTGTTTTTGCCTCTTATGTGTATCCTTTGTCGGTTTATCGTCCAGAAGTGATTGCTTTACCAATCCAAAGAGATAGGTGGTATATAATGTCCCGTTGGACACGGCTCATTTATTTTTAAGCATCGCCAACAATACATGCTCATGAATATAATGCTATCTGTCGTCATCATGATACCTGCATCTAAATATGGCAGGAGTTTGTCCAAAATCAACATAAACAAAGACGAACCTAACTTGTCCTCGATCCAGTTCCCATCGCCACGCCCACCAGGCTCTGGGATGATTCGCCCAGTGCGGCCCCAGGACTCCCCACAGGGCTATGTACCGCATCTCGCTCGCGTTTGACGCGAAAGTACGCCAGCTTCACGAATCGGCTCAGCTGTGCCCAGAAGTGTCGCCCAGCCGGGTGGATGGCTATTCGTTCGAGAAGGTCCACGGTCGCTTCACGCACGGTCTGATCCGGGTGGAAGAGGCCCATGCTGAGGTAGAATAGGCCAGCTTGGTTCTCGGGCGTAACTGTCAACAGTTGGCAGATTCCGGCGTAGTCCTTGACTGCGTGAGAAATCGCCTGGTAAATGGCCCCCGCCTCGGCGGGTGAGAGCTTCAGATTTCGTAAGCGGTCGTGATGATGGTGAAGGTCGGGTTTTTGAATGGGTCGGGATGGGTAGTACATCGTGGCGATGTCCTGGATAAATGAATAGTAGGAGCGCGTCGTGCGCCAGCCTTCAATTCTGGAGACGGAGGCCATCAACTCTCGTTGCTTGGTGGCTTCATCCGGCCAGACGTATCCGTGCCCGCGGAGTGTGGTTGGATCAAGAGGGTCGGCTTGGAGGCCGCTTGGACTCTCCGGCGACAGTTCCTCATTGGGCCCGATGATGTAGAGATTGGACGCCCCGTACACGGTCTCCTCAAACGCAGCCGCGACGCGCGTGAATTTGGTGATGTAGGCACGGCATTTGGCTCGGATGGCGTTCTCACCGTACCGGTTGGCGATGCTGCGCTGGACATCCTCCATGAACAGGTTGTCTCCGGTGGGGTCCGAGTTCGCATGTGAATGGTGACCATGATTCAATGCGTTCTGTTGTTGGAAGAACAGAAATCCTTCAGTCACGGGCGCCGGTTCGATATGACTACTGATCTTGATGCGACCGGTAGGAAGGTCACAAAGAAGATCCCACCACTCTGGATGGTTGGCAAACGTGGGATTGGTCACGCCCGCGATGAAACCGGGAACTTTCAGAAGGTCATCAATTTTCGTCAAGTCAGTGTACGGGAAGGCATGACGGGTGAAACCACGCAGAATACCGCCCGACGCCAGTGCGCAAGCAGCAAGAACCGCCTCCGCGACCTCACCCGACGGCCGATTGTGACCCAGAAACACGACTCGCTTCTGCGTCAGCATCGCATTGATGAGGACGATGATGGGGTGCGTATAAGGTCCGCTAGTGGTCAGGTGGGGATGGATGGGGAAGGCCTGTGGTGAGGCTGCATGGGGCCCCGAGAAGATCTGAATAAGTTTGATGAGGGAAAAGTCGCCCACGACTTCCGGCCATATTACGGTGGGCACTTTCACCGGGATGGGGATATCATGATACACAACCCGCGATTCGAACTCGTGGGTGTCTCGGGGCAGGAAATATCGAGGAGCTGCCTTCTTCGGGGACGGTGGGCACTCCTGGTCCGTCGGTTCCCCCTCATCCGCCATCCGTTGCTGGATCATTTGCTCGAACTTCTCAATAAACATGTCTTTGCTGTTACTCGCCTGGAGAATCTGACGTTCCAGGAGCGACAACTTCGGTAGTAATGATAGGTCCATGGCGTTGACAGCCTCGTATAGGGACGCGAGGGTTTCCGGATAGGGTGACTTGAAGTAATCTTCGAGAGCCAAGAGCAGCAAAGGCTATCATTGTTGGTCAGCATCGTCCGTTTCGTCGAAAAAGGAAGAACCCACTTTATATATATGAAGGAAAGAATGTCGTGTACAGATCGCCATGGCCTTAACCACTGCTCCCCTGAGTTGGTCAGTTACAACATCCTGTCTGGGTTGCGGAAGACATACCGTTTGACCGTGTTATCTTGTTTGGTGTTGACCAGATTCAACACGTACATCAATGGCGGACCCTCTCCTCCCTCGTCCTCGTCATCACTGCTCTCCTCGCTCAAACCCTCTCCATCGTCATCCTCCGGATTGCCCTCGGGGTCCTCACCGTCCGAGGATACTTCGGCTCGCTTTTTCTTCTTCTTCTTGCCTCTGACAGACTCGTCATCTTCATCCTCGCCACTGGTGTCTTTGTGCAAAAAGAAGATAGTCCAATCCTGACTGCGAACATGCGTCTGGTCCGGAAGCATGAGCTCGGCCAGCATGCTTTCGTCACCGCTGATGGGAGCGGGGTACTGATGTTCCATGATCGGACCCCGATCGATATGGAAGGAGGCGACGAGGATGTATTCGACATGGCGTTCGGGAGAGTCTCGAGGGTATTGCGACTTGTGTCGACGGCGTTTGGAGCCCGTGATCTGTTCGATGGAGCGACGACGCACGGACACGTGGGAGCTGCTAGGGGAGCGATTGTGGACGAAGGAGGGTGAGGGAGACAATCGGGGAAGACTGCTGGATTTGGAGAGATTGGACGTATCGTCCGACGGTCGGAAAGGAAGACTGAGGGACATGGTGCAGTGTGTGGCAGGCGGAGCACTTGGCGGAGGGGAGTATCGGTTCGAGAGCGGGAGAGTGACCGCCAGATGGGGGATTATATAAGGACGCAGAAATTATACGGAACGAAAGAGCTAGAGGCGTAGATGCATCGTTCCATGCAGACTGCAGACGGGCTGGATCATGGTCGGTCCAGGAGGGGAGGTCGGAAGAATGGCGGCTGGAGAAGAATAATAATAACAAAGGACATGAAGCACGAACGGGACCGTCCGTCGATGCGGGATCCGTCAGGGGCGAGAGAATTAAGGAGGGAGAGAAAGCGGCCGGATGGAGCTAAACCCAAAGTGGTAGTACGGAACCAGCGATGGTGATCTCCACAGCGGGGAACCATTATTATCATGTTGTGGTTGATATGGATGTTGGATCGAGAGTCCTTGATAGACAGACGTCGGACGAGGAGCGCACAATAAGCTTCCCCGCGAGGAATTCTGCAGGCGGGAGAATGTTCATGGGGAATGCCGTCCGAGGCATTCTTCGAGAATGTTTTGTAGAAGCGAAAGCAACCATCGAAGGCGGAGAAAAGATCCCCGCACGTGCTTCGGGCCGACTGTTGATCCCGGGTTGGTTTTGTTTGTTTGTCCGACCGCCTTTTTCCCTATGCGGCAATCTGCTTACTTCTGCATAGTTACTCTTGTACTTGCATCCATTGTTTCCTCATCATTGATCTTTTACTGCTTCCAGGTGGCATCGCTCTCGGAATCATGGTACGTCAGGTCTCTATTACATCGGCTGTCATCTAACCCCTCCAGGTCTCCAACACCCCCTTCAAACCGTCGCCGTTGTCCTTCGGCTCCCCCCGTGCTTCTCCCTTTCGTCGACCTTCAACTCCCAATTCCCCGCCCTCGAATATCCGGCCGACAACCCCCGGAAGCTCCCCCAGTCGGGGATATACCCCCGTTGTATCCCCCAGCAAGCTCAACCAGTCATATACGATCGAAGAGGACGATGATGCGGCTGTCAACAAACCCCGCGAGCCGGTACCCCAACCGCGATTCACCAAGGAGATCCCTCCCTCTCCGACGCGGGGAGCCAATATGTCGGACCATTCGCCCATGATGGGGCAAACAAGAGGAGCAATGATGGCGACGTCGACCGATGCAGCCGCAAAATTGTCCCCGGCCCAACTACGAGAGATCCGCGAGGCATTTCAAGTTCTGGATCGGGACAATGACGGGTCGGTGAACAAGGAGGATGTTGCTGATGCGCTGGTAAATATTGGTAAGGTCCCCGGTTCTTTGACCATCTCGACCTAATACTGATTCTATGTTCCAGGCCAGGACCCCTCGACGTTATCGCGATTCTTCCCTCCGGGGCCTTCCCAGACCATCAATTTCCCTACCTTCCTGAGCATCCTATCCGAACTCCTAGCCCCTCTCTCTTCTCGCCAAGAGTTGATGAACGCTCTGGCTGCGTTCGACGAGGACGATAGTGGTCAGATCGACGTGGCCGAGCTGCGAGATGCGCTGCTGCACACAGCGCCTGATGAGGGTGGACATACACTGTCCGAACGAGAGATTAATGAGGTCCTCGGTGGATACACAGGCCGACGGGTGTTTGGTGGACGACCCGCGAAGATGACGGGTGCAGGCAAACGAGGCGAGGTATTCCGATACCAGGAGTTTGTCGAAGGGATTATGGGAGGGAGTGAGAATGGAACGGGTAATGGACGACGAGAGAATTGATGAGCTACCCAGGTAACTAGTTAGCTGGATCCTCTGGGGTTGTGGCGTTTCGGATTGGTGTTGCTGCATCCATCTATCCATCCGGCTCTGGAAGCTGCATGGAGGGATGATGTGTGGTATTGCGGGAATTATTTAGGGAGGCTAAATGTGCTATCACATCTACACGTACTTATTGGATATCCACATCAATAAAAGACATGATAATATAGTACAGAGAGAGCCACTACTACAACTTCTACTGCGACTAGTTGCTGGATGCTCCACCAGCACCATAGCAACTCTGCCAACGGACTAACTAGCGACGGGAGCACTAAATTAACCTCCTCCTCCTCCTTCAACCACCACTTTTTCCTCTCGCGAACTCCCTTCACGCGTCCCCGCATTCCACAACGACCAGCCATCGCAACGAGGAGTAATCCCCTGACAAACCCTCTCCCTGGTCCTTCGTGATCTTGCTCTTCGTCCTCCGTCAATTCGGGACCAGGAAGATGGTTTGTTCCTAATCTACATACGCCATCTGCATACGCTAAACCTTCGCCATGTCCGCCTCGCATCCCACCCAAGCCCAGCTGAATCTGGCCGCCCTGGCCAGCTCGCCGTCGCCCCGGACCATGCGAACCCTGCGCAAGATCCAGTCCCACCAAGTTCTCTCGTCGAATCCTTCCGCTGCGATCTTGAGTCCCCCGCCGTCGCACCCATCGACCGCCCGCTCGTCGGCCGGACCCGATGAGCTCACCCACCATGCCCAGCTGGATTCGCCCGTGCGGCTGCGCACGCATCGGCGCGCGCGATCAAACAGTGATGCCGGGTCTCGCGAGGCTCCCACGATGATAACCCGGGGACGGTCAGCGAGGAAGACGGGCTCCGGCGTCGGCGTTAAACGATCGATCTTGGAGTCCCTGTTGCGTGACGGCCCGCAGCACGGAGATGCGGCGGAGGGCCTGCAGGAGCTGCGATATTTGGTCCTCTCAACTAGGGTGGACGCTGACGGAGACGGAATGGTGAGTGTTTGAACCTTTTCCTTTATTTAAACCGAAGGACTCTACTAACTCGCGCCCGGCTAGTCCGCATATCGCATATACCTGTGGCTGGTCCTCCTGGACATACCCCCCGTTCCTACGGACGACTACCTCTCCCTCATCCACCGCGGCCGCTCGCCGGCGTACACGAAGATTCGCAACGACACGTTCCGCACCCTGGCAACCGACCCGCTGTTCAAGCGTCGCGTCACCGAAGCCAGCCTGATCCGGCTGCTCAACGCGATCGCCTGGAAAATCCACGACGCCAAGACGAAACACCGACCCAAGTCGCGTCCGTCCTCGTCTCGACGACGGGAGATGGAGCTCCTGATCAACACGCCTCCCAGCATCGCCGAGGAGGTCGAAGACCGACCCACGCCCAGCAGCAGCCGCAGCTACAACAGCAGCAATAACATCACGAGCGACTCGGCGATCTACGTGCAGGGCATGAACGTGCTCTGCGCGCCGTTCCTCTACGCCGCCCGCAGCGAAGTCGAGGCCTTTGCCCTGTTCCACTCGTTCATCACCCGCGAGTGCCCCGGGTACATCCGCGGCGCGATGGACGGGGTGCACCGCGGACTGCGACTGGTCGACCGGTGTCTGGAGATCGTCGAGCCGAAGCTGGCCGCGTACCTGTTTTCCAAGGGCATGCAGGCAGAGCTGTACGCGTTCCCGTCGGTCTTGACCATGTGCGCGTGTACGCCGCCCTTGCCCGAGGTATTGCATCTGTGGGACTTTCTCTTTGCGTATGGGCCGCACCTGAACATCTTGTGTATTGTGGCGCAGCTTATCCGGATGAGGGATACGATTCTGGAAAGCCCCAGGTATGTTTTTCTTTTTTTCTCGTGCGGAAAATGATACATCCTCCTGGTCTATGACATATCATTCTGACATCTCTCCAGCCCCAACAAGATCCTGCGATCCTTCCCACCGCTCGACGCCAAGGAGATCATCGCGCTTACCGTGCTGATTGTGCGGAAGATCCCCGAACCACTGTATGCCGAGTTGATCGAGCATGCCAAATAGAGTTAACTTGCGATGGACTGACGGTGTGTATTATTTACTTATTTGATTTCTATTTCTGCATGGGACTTACGAAGGGGCTATGGCGTTTGTGATGACTGCTGGATGACTACATGAGAGCGATGATGTATGCACGTACCTATACGAATATGACCTTACTTGATGCACATGTCACCTCTACAACAATGGTTGATATTAACCTACCACCCACATCTACCAGTACGCCCAGACACTACTCAACAGAACCGTAGTAAATCACAAAAAAACCAAACACTTTTCACCTCCAACACCCAATCAAGTCACCACCGCCCTCGGCCCAACCCCCGACCCATTGACAACCAACGGCCCGCACCGATCCACGGGCTTCTTCTTCGGCAACGACGGCCGACTCGCGCGCGCGTCCTCCACATCCGAAGACGCAGCACTCGCCGCCCCCGACAACGGCGGCGTATGCACCGGTGCGCCCTCCTGGGGCGGCCCGCCAACGGCCGGCGTATACGCAACCTGGATACTACGGTCGATCTTGACGCGGATCTTCGAGCCCAGAAACACGGCGTTGTTGAAGAGGGCGACGGCGCGCTTGGCCTCGTCGCCGGTGCGGAAGCTCACGCGCGCAAAGCCCTTGCAGCGGGCGGAGTCGCGGTCGGCGGGCATCTCGCAGTGGTCGATGGTGCCGGCGTCGGAGAGCAGGCTGCGCAGGGCCCTGGGCGTGGTGGCGGGGCTGAGGTTCTGGATGAAGAGGGTGCGGCGGTGGGGCGGGCGGGTGGCGGACGCTGCTGTTGTTGTTGTTGTTGTTGCAGCTGGGGCGTAGGGCAGGGGAGCTGCGTAGTAGGTGTATGTGGACTTTGGGTGGTGGGCGCGACGTGGGTGGTGGTACATGCCCATGGCGTAGGGAGCGTACATGGGGCTGGGGGGTGCGGGCGTGGTTGTGCCTGCGCTGGGAGGGATCTGGCAGACGAGCGGGTCGGGGAAGACGGGGATGAAGGCCTGGGGTAGGCCCATGGGGCTCAGTAGGGGGCCGTATTCGGGGCCGTGGTAGGTGGTGCTGGAGGGGATGACGGGTCTAAGGCTGTCAGCGGATGGGAAACGAGGCTGGCGAGGATGGTGGGAGGCATACTCTGGGGAGATGGGCGACGGCGGTACGGCCATAGACTGCGGCACCTGGGGCGGCGTGGAGTAGTTGGCGACGTAGGTTGGCGAGACGACGCAGGGTGTAGGGCTTTTGGTTGGACCGGCGATGGGACAGGTGGGAGCGCTGGTGCGAGCCAGCGTAACGACGAGACTCTGGCCTTCCCAGCCGTTGGTGGAGAGACGGTCTAACCATGCATGGTCTTGTCAGTAGGCTGTTTCTGGGGGAGATGTCGAGGACACGCACGGTAGGTCCGCCAGGCTTCGTCCTCGTTCTTTACGATGATCTGGCCCAGCCCCGTGGGAAAGCCGTGGTGGTCGTCGTAGACGACGGCCTGGCGAATGTGTAGGGCCGTCTGGCGCACCAGATCCTTGAGTTCCTGCCAGCGACAATGCGCTGGGATCTGTCGTCGCATGTCAGACGGGGCATACTGCGGGTGATCGATCTCGATGGACTCACCCCCTGGAGGAAGAGGACGAATTCCTCCTCCGAGCCGCGGGGCCTTGATGCTCGACCCTTCGTCGGAGACGGCATGGTGTGCAGAAGGCAGCTGGGCGATTCGTGGGAGGTGACGGCGGATGATATGGCTCTGGAATTGCTGGCGGAGTTAGGGCTGAGATGGTCAGGTCAGCTTAGGCAGGCATGGGGCAGCTGGGATTCAACGGCGGCCTCAATGTCAGCTTACCTGGCAAGTCTCGGACTGTAATAGACAGAAATATCCGTGACTCGTGACTGTCATGGAAATTTCTCTCCTTAATATCTCCAGGGACACGGTCGCGAGATCCACACAAGTGCGTCGATTGCAGAGAATGGATTCCCAAAGCGGACTTTGGAGGACGCTCCCAACGGCAAGGGCAACACGAACTAGGATCGAACTGATCGAAATCGATCTACATCGTACATTTGGCGAGATTCAGTCCCACCGAAGGCGACGAGCCGGGCGAGAGATCCCCAGACGACGGCAGAAGTATCGTGAACGGCCGAAGGTGGGAGAGCCAGAGCGACCGGAATAGCACCACCGCCACAGCTGGGCTGGCTGACGAATGATTCCACCGCGTCTGCAGCAGGCTGTATGGAATGCCGATGCTGGGATGTGTCAATTTGCCTCTGCCGTGATGGACGCAGCGGTGGAGCGGCCTGATATGTCATGCGTCCGATTCTAGCCCAGGGAACAATGCTCGGATTTGGGTATAAGATGACATTATTTGCTTTTCCACTCTCACACCCGTAACAACAACCGACGAAAGGATCTCACGGAACTCGATGCATCCAGCCATCGGGGTGTTACGACCCCATTCTATGCCCGAGCAGAGCGATACGGATAGAGACATGGGAGCCAGACAGTACAGTCAATACGCACCGTCAGGCTGGCCAGGTTACACCGCCAGATCTCAGGACAGCCACCAGAGACCAGAGGCGAAGGGTTTTGTTCTGGTGGAGCCTCAGCCCTGCGTTCAGCTGCTCGTCGAGAGCGGTCCATATGGATGGCAGAGGCCAGTTGCATTGTTGAAGTCGGAGAAAGGGATGCCTTGCTACGGGATGGCCGAGATTGCAGGGTGCATTGAGGGTAGTAGGTACTCTGTATGTGAGAAGACAGCAGGAGCCACTGCTGGTAAGCCTCACTGCTTGCTAACACTGTAACAGAGACAATCCTAAACAATCCTGAGGCGTGGGATGGGTCTTGATGCCAAACAATAGGTTGGTGTCTGGCAGCGACTCCATCCACCATCATTCACTGAATCGGGCCTCGACCGTCAGCATTACCCTGCATCTCCTGACGGAGAGAACAGTTCACCCCTTGATTCATTTCCAGTTGGTCCGGTTACCCGGGATGATCCTAGTCGTCCTCCTGCATATGAGCTATCAACTTTTCATCCCAACGCGGTCCAATCTCAATCTGGATCGGCGTCTGTCCGGCGATCGCAGAATCTCCACCACCAACAAGAGTCGATCTATTGGCGATAGTGTAAGACGATATGGAGTGAGTGTAGGTAACGGGGACGACGTGGTTGTGTGTGGTATCAAGACGATAGTCCTAGTGCACGAGAACCTCCAATTTTAATGCCTTGTCAACTTCTTGTAAGTCGCGGCCTTGCAGCGCAGTGGACTGCTCCGGATGTTTTAAAGAGGTATGAGTTTGAGAAACAGTTCGATAGAAGCTGTTGATCATTCTGACTTTGCTGAACCCGTCCAACGGGGACCCTCTTGATACCTTCATGAGCTTGAGCAGTCCCGTTTAACAAGAACTTGGGACCGCTTGTCGGACAGTAAAATTACCCTTCTTTTCAATCCCAGGGAGCGAGAGGAGGATATGGTCTTGGGTGCGAAAGTCTGAGTACTCTATTCCGAAGCTCAGCACATCTTTCCATAAAAGTGAAAAAGTTGTTAATCTTTGGCAGGGATCAGGTATAGGCCAGGTTGGCCTGCTGTTCATGCATTGATTTCTGACTCGTGTGTAATGCTTGCATATCACCGTTGACTCGGCAGTCTATCTGGCGGACAAGAGGTTGAGTATATCCAGGAGGGGTGTTCAAGAAGCTCAATACTTTGCGTCCCTTCTCAGATTCGTTTGCAATCCGCAGCGATCTGTTTCTCATTATTTCAACTTATAATTGTGCAAAACAGACACTACTGCAACCGCAGATTCTATCATACTCAGATTCAGGATCGATACTGCGTGGGTTCACTCGCATGGCGCACATCGGGCCGATGTAGGTACCCATTCCGACACCTTGCCGCCTGATACCCATATTGCTGGCAGTACGGCAGCACGATCATTGATTAAGGTAGAGGTACGTTAGTCTAGGACCACTGTCTCAAATTTATATAAATCCTATACGGCATTTGGTTACTTCGGGATAGGGAACCCTAGTGGTTATTAACGCAGACTTCTTCGCTGGCACAATATAGGTATTCCATTCTCCTGCTGTTGCATATGGACAGTATTCCCAAGATCATAGCCAGATGCCCCAAGGTCGGTAGTGATGAACAAGGTCAGAGAATGGAGAGTGAGGTGTGCCTCAGTATGTTACATTCAGCATGACATCCTGCAAGTAGCAATTGAGTCACACACGCTGGTCGGAATCCACACTAGCACTGCCCTCGTGCTTATCTTCCACCAACACCTCTGGTCAATTTTCCAGGATCATCGCTGAAGGCCTCCGAAACGCTATCGCTGCCACGCGCAGCATGACCGCCTTCCACCTGTTCCCCCGTCTTCCCTTCGAGCTTCGCGCTCAAATCTGGCAGCTGACAGTCGAGCCGCGGACGGTCGAGGTCCGCGTGAAGAAAGACAACGGATTATGGGGCCAGACTCTGCATGTCACCTCGTCGACACCGGCGCCTGCGGTTCTTCAGGTCTGCTATGAAGTTCGAAACCAGGGCCTGTACCAACCGGCCTTCAAGTTCCTCATGAGGCTGAGCCGCGGTATGTCTGGGTGAACTTTGAGACGGACATGATCTCAATCGGGCATACTGGCTTAGGTTTGAGCGCGAGAATGATGAATCCTTTTTTCACTTTCAATCTGGCGAGCTGGAATTGTATCCTAATGTGGAGGAAATCCATGTCATCTGTGAAGATGGCCTGATGGCATGGCACGACGCCTGGGAATATGTCTATTGGCCGTGTCCAAAAGAGAACCTGAGGTTCATTGACAAGGAGACGGGGCAGATTGCGTTGGGCGAGGATCTGGATAGTATGGTAGATGAATGGATGGCGTCTCTGCCTAATTACCCTGGAGGATGATTCTATCCACAATGCCGCATACACACTGAAAGACTCTGAGGCTTCCAGGAAGGACATTGGTGAGGAGTATGGTATTGAGGAATCACGGGTCAAGTTTGGGAGGAGGCTCAGTACGCCGGCGAGGGTGTCTTGGACTGCATTGATAAGCAGGACCATTGCAATACTCATATACATCTCAATAGTTTGTACGCATGAATTTATCTACTAAGGTTGCTAGGCCCTGGTTCTAGCGAATCACCCGAGCTGTGGCTTGTGCATCCATCAGTGTATCTTGCTTGCTCTTGATACATCGTTCCAGTTCAGAACAGGACATAATGCCCGATAGAGTTGAGCATGGCACCAGACGCCAAGGAATTGCTTGCGGCGTGCCTATGTTATAGGGACAAATAAAGATCAGCTAGGTAGTTTTGTGTATAACAGTCTTCATCGGGCGATACCTTAGTACTGCTATTTCTGTGGTATTACCTTTACAGAGAACTGACCATCCAACAGGCATAACACGATGATTGTACTACATTCGGTAACGCCGAGATTTCCACGAGTCAGTTGTGCATCAACTGGAGGAATTGTCATTCTCGTCCGAGTGCCCTGTAGTGAGATGCGGTCTTGGTTTGGAATATTCTTCCAGGAAGAAAGAAACTGCTGACTGACTAGGAGTAAGGGGATTTCTAGAATACTACCGGTGCTGCCAGTATGACTCGCCGGCAGGATGATTCCTTCCAGGCAACAACATGTCTATAAATGAAACAAGTCCCTTCGGAGTAATGGCAGAAACGAGGCAGTGTCTCCCCACAGGGGGAGAACCCTTTCGAGAACTCCGAGCCCTTGACGATGATGGATGCCTGCGCCTGCTATACTTAGATACTGCCTCATGGTTGGATTGACGGCCTGATGGACGGAGGGGTATCGCATTGCCGAGACAGCCAAGTGGAGTCGCGTTGGCGGAGAGATTCCTTCCATCACATCGACCATCACCACCGGCCAGCAATTATCCAGTCACTGTATAGTCTAGCAGCCATCCATCAAGAGCTCCGAGTGCTCTGCTTCTCCTGCTGGCATCATTCTGGCGGAGATTTTGCTGCCTAAGCTCAGATCCCGGTGGAAGAGAACGAGAAGCCCTACCAAGAGCAGTTTGATTACCCCGACGATCAACATCCTCCCCCCAGCACAACCCAGGGAAGCGGCTAGACTAGTTGGCTCGCCCGGCATACTCCGCCACAGGGTCTCGCGATGGATCATGGCCGCATTGGGCTTGCCGAGAGTCGACCAGGCAGGTGTGGTTGAGTACTTAGCGTAGGGGTCTCCTCATGCACGCGGACGTGTGAATTGAATCGTATCATTGCTCCTCGTCGTCCCAATTTAGACATTCATTTGGTTTTTATTTTGGGTTCCACCGACAGAATCAAACATTGAATTGATTTGTCTCCAGGCGAATGAAATCCTCCCGACTCTTGGGCATCGGGTTGGTGGCCGCCCGCGCCGCCGCGCAGTGTATGTATACCCATCCCGCCCGATTCCATCTTCAGGCTCTCAGACGACTCATTCTCCAGGCTCCGGTCAAATCAGCATCGCCAGCCAAAGCGACGCCGATGCGCTCTCCGACTGCGACACCATCAAAGGCGACCTCACCGTGTCTAGCGATGCCACCGGCACCATCGATCTCAAAGACCTCGAAGAGGTCCGCGGCAGCCTGACCGTCCAAGGCGCATCGAACCTCAATGCGCTGCGCGCAAATGACCTGGAAAGCGTCTCGGGCCCGATAACAATCAAGGATAACACCAACTTGAACGATGTGTCGATGAGCGGGCTATCGAATCTCGGAGGCGATTTGCGCGTCGAGGGCAACAACAATCTGAAGAACTTTGCTCTCAACGACCTGGAAAACGTGAACGGGGCAATCACCTTGAACGGGGCTTTTGACCAGTGAGTCGCCTCGTCTGATGTACACAAGCCCCGGGGCCCATCGCTGATTACGCTTACAGGCTGTCGTTCTCCAAAATCCGTCAAGTCAATGGACAGACCAGCATCCGCAGCACCGGAAGCTTCTCCTGCGGCAGTCTCCAGTCGTCTGACGGCGACGACAATAATAGCGGACGGAGCGTCTTCAGCGGCTCGTCGTTCTCCTGCACGACAGGGGCGGCGGCCACCTCGACCAGCACAGCGAGCTCGACCTCGACCAACAAGCCGGACTCGGGGTCGAGCCTGAGCGGCGGCGCAATCGCAGGCATTGTCATCGCCGTCGTGGTCGTCGTCATCCTCATCCTGCTCCTACTTTGGTTGTTCATGCGCCGTCGCAGAAAGCACGCCGGGCTGCCGGCGCCCACCACGACCAACAACACCAGCAAGGACACCGAAAAGCCCCCGATGGCCGCGCCCCCAGAAGGACCCAACACCCAGCCGCCAGAACAGGGCGAAATTCTCTCCGACAAGAACGTGGCGCGCAAGCCCTTATCCCCGCCTCAGTCGCTGCAGAACCGGCTGTCCGGAATGGAAACAGGAACGACGTCGACGTCGCCGCCGGTCCCTGCGGCGCTGATGGCCGGCGACCGGTCGTCGATGCTGCCGCACAACCCGGACGAGGCGTCCCTGTTTCTGCATCCGATCCCCCTTCGGCGGCCGTCGGAGACGGACGTGCCCATGCTGGATAGCGGGCATGTGCACGAGGTGCCGGCTGAGCCGGACCGGCCGAATGCGATTTACGAGTTGGATGCTGGCGCAGTCAGTGCGCATCAGCAGCCGATCAACCGGAGTTGATAGTTGGCCGGTGGTGGATTGACTGTGATAAGTGACGTGCGACGACCGATGATACCATGTTCTAGTACCTAGCTAAACGACTGAATGAACGTAATCACAATGGCCCTATATCCCATCCACACAGCTGCACCTAGGATAAAAATCCTATAACTTGCCGTATGGAGCTTGCACTAGACCTTCGCCCATCGCAACAGCACCGCCGCAAAAATAACAGGCAAAACACTAACCAGCTCCCCCAACCCGGCATATTCAGGCGGAATCCGCGCATTCACAAACGCGCCGGCGCCAAGCAACACCGCGAACAGGTTATACACAAAGCTCCACCCGAAATTAAACTTGATCCGTCGCACCGCCTTCTCGCTGATACTGATCATGGTCAGAATGCCGCGCACGCTGGGCCGCATAAGCACGACATCCGCGGCGGACTTAGCCACGTCGCTGCCGGTGTCCTCATTCATGTGCACGCCGATCGTGGCGGTGGCGAGGGCGACGGCGTCGTTGGTGCCGTCGCCGACGAAGATAGTTGTCGGACTCTTCGTGTGCACGGGTTGCTGTGCTGGCGTCATGAGAGCTTGGATGTAGGCTTGCTTGTCGGCGGGAGTGCAGCGCGAGCGGACGTTCTGCGCTGCGATCCCGAGCTGGCGTGCGGTGGCGTGCACGCTGCCTTCGTCGTCGCCGGAGAGAAGATGTACGGCTATCCGACGCTCTTGGAGCTTGGTGACGGCGTCGATGGCGTCGGGGCGGAGGGAGTCTTCCAGGCCGAAGACCGCGGCGAGGGTGTCGTTGACCGTGAAACAGAATGCTGTGTAGCCTTGTTCGAGGACGGATTGGACTTGCGGATTGGACGAGAGGTTAAGCCATCGTGAGTTTCCTGCACGGAGGATATAGCCCGATGCTGAGCTTTCGAGACCCTTGCCGGTGAGCACCTTTGCGTCGGTGACGATAGACGCCGATATGCCTTTGGCTTTGAGATGCGCGGCCACGGCAGCCGAGATTGGGTGCTTGTTGCTCCCGATCAGACCCAAGAGGAGAGACATGGAATTCCTCGTGGTGTCGATGTGTTCCACAGCAACGGTCAGCTTGCCTTGGGTCATGGTCCCGGTCTTGTCGAATACGACGTGGGAGGCCTTGTAGGCGACTTCGATGCTGTCCGCGGCTTTGAAGACGACGCCTCGCTCGGCGGCGACGCCGCTGGCAATGACGATGACCATGGGTACGGCCAGGCCGATGGCGCACGGACAGGAGACGATCAATACGGTGATAGCATAGGTGATTGCCTCTGTGGTAGCGCGAGAACCAGACTGGTTGCGCACTGCAATGCCCACGGCAATCCAGATTACGAATGTGATGATGGTCAGAGCGACTACCACTGGGACGAAGTAGCTTGCCACGCGGTCTGCGATGTCCTGGATCTTTACTTTGGAGAGCTTTGCCTGGTCGACCATCCCTGCAATCACAGAGACGGTGTTATCAACCGGGAGACGGGTCAACCGGACGACCAACACTCCAGAACCATTCACGGATCCCGCGATAACGGCAGACCCAGGCGTCTTGTCTACCGGTATCGACTCTCCGGTGATCATTGACTCATTGACCTCGGACGATCCTGCAATGACTGTACCGTCGGTAGGAATCCGCGAGTCTGGCAGAACCTTGAAGACGTCCCCATACTGGAGGAGCCTGACATCGATCTCTTTTTCATCGGTCCCAGAGTCGTCCACAAGAATAGCTGTAGGCGTCTGCAGTGACCGAACCGAAATAGATTCGACAGCTTTCTGACGAGCCAGTGCGGCCACGTACCGGCCCACCATGATCAGAGTAACAAGTAGCGTGCTGGTCTCGAAGAATTCACCAGTAGAAAGTGGCTGGCCCGTGACGAGATAGCCAAATGAGACCACCGAGAAGATGTAGGCTGCGCTCGTGCTCAGTACAATAAGCAGGTCCATTTCGATTATCCTTGAAAATACCAAGGCTTTCACAGCCTTTGGATAGAAGGGACCAGCAATGACAACCTGCACAATCGTCGCCAGCGCCAGCGATACAGAGCCATAGGTGATTTTCCTCTCTGGAAGCGGAGCCCAAGCTAGGACTAAGACGGGCACGGTTAGGATAATGGATAGAATGGTCATCCACCCCATATGGCGCACATGTTTGCTCCCAGCGTGCAGCGTTGGATCAGGTCGAGTAGCCAGGCTAAGCGGTCTGTCCCAGCCACGCTCAACCAGATCTCTCGCACCGGTGACCTTAGCATCGAAGGCGACAGTGACTGTTTCATTGTCAACGGGAGTCATCTCGGTCACACCGCGAGGCCAGTCTTGCTTCATGAACTCGGTGGCGTTGGAAACGATAACATCGACGCGAGATCCCCGATCTGTGATCCGTTCATACTTGAACTCGGTTGTCTTTTCCAAGTGCTTGAACACTTGATCGACCGACTGGATCCTAACGTCGAGATCGAATTCTGCTCGAGAAAGCACCAAGCTGGTTTTGAGGTTCTGGACGGATTGCAAAGTGCCCAGAGTTCGCTGGAGCTTTGTTTCACATCCGGTACAAGTCATTCCAGATATACTCAAAACGACATGTTCCTTGCCAGAGAGTCCTTTTTCGAGGTCCGGGGAAGGGGAGACCGGGACCACCTCAATGAGGTCGCTAGATTTGTCTTTAGATGGTACCGGTTTACCGCAGCAACCAGCTGAACAGCTATCACGCTTCGGTCTTGTCAAGGCATCAGACGACTCTTCTGCCTTGCTACAACAGCCGGTCGAGCACGTATCGAGATTGTCTCGCTTTTCTTCAGCGGACGCACAGGGAGCCGCCTTGGGAGCACAGGATGAATCGATTGAGCCGCAATGGCCAGAGTTTATCTTCTTCAACGAGGATTGCCCGTCATTCGGAGCCTGGTCGACATTCGGCTTACCGCAACAGCCCTTGGAGCAGGTTTTGGTATCGCTGGCTTCACTCTTTGTAGCGGGACTGTGCGGTTTGACCAAGCCAGACTTCTCAGGACTGCAGCAGCCTCCAGATTTGGCATCCTTGCCAGTCGGAGCACACTGCCTGGCGGCTTTAGGACGCTCCAACGAACCACAACAGCCCTTGGAGCAAGCCGCGGTATCGCTGATGTCGCTCTTTGTAACAGAGGCGTGCTGCTTGGATAATGAAATCAATTTCCGCCTTACTGCAGCAGCCTTCAGAGTTGGCAACTTCCTTGCTAGTCGGAGCACACTGCTTAGCGACTTTAGGACGCTCCAAAGAACTGCAACAGCCGCTGGAGCACGCCTCTCCTTTACCCCTTCGACTAGCGCTGCGGTGTCCCCCTGACTCCCGACTAGCCTCTGCGCAGCAAGAGCCGAGCGAAGCGCGAACAGACCGGGACGAGTCGACAGAGCGACGCTCTTTAACAAGGGAGGCGCGTGTTGGCGATGCGCAGCAGGATTCCTGTCCGAGGGCTATCAAAGCACGGCAAATGCAGCCCAGCGCTTCGAGCCTGGCTGCGTATTTGGCACGCGCCGAGAGACGGTGTTTGTCGCATGGCTCACCATTGGGACTTTGACAGCCACGGTTCGGAGCTACGGGTGTTAATGCAACCTGGGCTGAAGTCGCGAGTCGAGGTGAACTTACTCGAGGATCCCCCTTCAGAAGTGGATGGAGTCCGTCCTTGGTTGCATCCGCGGAGGGCGATGCGATCCAGGCAAGAGACATCGCAGCAAGGAGAGGGCTTATCTTTGCAGCAGCTGGGGATGTCCGATTCCTCTTCCTGTGGATGAACCCCGGACGGTATCTCCTTGCGTTGTCCACAGCAGGAATCAGCGTCGCAGGCCATGGTAGAAGCTTGTCGTTTGATACAGGATGGAAATGGAGAGGGACGGTCGATGGAGTCGAACGTGTAGATGGAAGTTGACTTGCAGGAAGAAACTTGCCCCGCTTTGAGGGCCGCCAAGTAAGCCATGGATGGTTTTACCCTTTTAGTCCAGTGATACTTGAAGTGAATAACATCTCATTCACATTCTTCCTTATTCCATCTACTTCCTTCAAGTAACTTCCTGTCGCTTCTCTAAGTCTTTCACTAACTTCAGCAATATGAGTGATTCGAGGCTGTTCGAAGAGGTATAAAAACCCTGAAAGTGTCGCCCATACCTCCCGGGTTCAACAACCTGTTGACAGTACTAGATATTGACCTTGAAGAAGGATCATTGGTTATTATTGACCAAAATGATCACTACTCCACCAGTGTGCCCAGTCACCTAATATACGGATGGTGTGATATGAAAGTCTTCTCTCAGGCTGTCCGACATTGCTGCATTGACAACACCTTCAATATCTCTGCCAGAAGCAAGCGCACAGTCGAAGAGCAGCATCGCCTGCTGTCAAGATGCAGGAAGCATCCCAGATCATTGCGTGGGTGAGAGAATATCCAAGTCATGATCTTCAATGAATCGTCCACGCAATATTCAGGAGGCCTAGTGCGCTGACCGAGCTCTGGTATCAGCTCCAAGACTTTCCAGCTTTCAATGGCCAACACAGGTCACTTGTTCCCCTCTGTCCTTCAACACGTCCAGCTAATATATCATGGTAGAGACAATGGAAAGTGTCCTCTGACAGGAAGGAACCGATAAAGATAGCCCACATATCTCCCTTTTCTTTAGGTACTATAGATGGCAAGAAGAGACGGTAACTGCTTTGGCCCAATCTTGGACTCTTCTTGTTACAAGAGATTGAATGCTGGAAAGCGGTGGTTACAGGGCCTGAAGGCACAGGGACAAAGCCGCCTTGACCCGTTCTGCAGACGCTCAGAAGCTATGGGACAAGGCTCGATTTGCATTCAAACCAGTTCCCATCCTCACGGAACGTACTGATCTTGTCGTCAAATGCTACTAGCTCCCATTTTCCAAATGGCGTTACTTTGCCGGCTGTTTCCCGCATCAGATGCCGGCCAGCTCTCGCGAGGAATGACATGGACAGCAATAATCCAGTCGACATCCTCGACGAGGCGAGCTTTTTCAGACACCCTGAATAACTGTTGTACGCACTTTATACTCTCCCCAGCGCCAATAGAGTTGTCATAGTGGGAGCCTACATGCAACTCTGCCCACCAGATGTGGTGTATCTCCGCCTTTGAGCGGCTCGATGTCGCTGGATACCCGTCGGTGCTGTTAGACGTCCAATATCGCGCTCATGCTCGCCTATACGCTCTTACCTCTGAGATTTCTACAAGGCGCAGGTCCGGTCAGCTCCGTGATTTTGATGCTCTGAACAAGAGTGGTGAGCATGTTGACGCTGATGCCGACTGGGCATGGCTCAACAATAGATCGTCTCTGCGGTTTATGGGGTATAAAAAGGTGATCTCAACAGCGTGTGATGCATTTTGTACTACTCATACAAATGATAGCGATAAGTAGAAGTAGTGATAATGTCTGATATACACCTAGTCGATGCAACCTTGGTTCACTGCTAGTTAGCCTCGGAGCTAATCCAATATCCGATACACCCTGTCTATCACCGTGGTAATGTACAACAGAAGGACCAACACTCCAAACCCTGAAATACTCTATTTCTTTGGGCTCTGGACTCGCACTGCCTGCAGTGTCTCGCCCGACGCCAACGGCCCACACCAACCATATGTATCACACCGGCATTGTTCGAACCGGGGACAGCTGCTTAATTAGCCTTTGCACTCGCAAACACGCAGGTAATACGCAGAGGAACCTACTATATCTCCTCCATCCCGAAAATAATATGCCACACCTTCTCAAACACCCACCCCACCCCAAAACTGTCCGTCAGCTCCGTCTCCGCGGCCCACTGCAACATGCGCTCGTAGTCCGCCAGCGGCCGCTCCCGAATGCGCGCCCGACTCACGGCGAACTGCCCGCAGCACACATTGCCGATGTGGTCGGGCACCTTCTCGGGGCCGACGTTAAACAGCGTCTGGTACACCTGCGGGAAGAAGGCGCGGATGTCGTCCTTTTCGATGTCGTACTGCGTCGGCTCCCACGGGTGCACGCTCGTCGGACAGCCCGGGTTGTGCTGGCAGCGGAGGTTGACGTAGCCGCGCGCGTCGACGGCCTCGAGGCGCAGGTTCTCCAGCGCCGGGGTGGTATGCGGGCCGAAGAGGTCGTTGTGCCACTGGTCGATGTTGGCGTGGACGAAGATGGAGTAGGGCGGGAGCCGGTCGTAGTAGTCGACGATGTAGGACAGGTAGGCGGCGGTTTCGCGGCCGCGGATGGTGCGCGGGGTGAGGAGTCTGGGGTCAGGGTCTTCGTCGATCATGTAGATGAAGGGGGTGGTGTCGCTGGAAGGTGCGCAGGTCAGTAGTTGTCGCGGGAGACGAGGTCTGGAGTAGTGGGTGGGACAGTGAAACGCACGGGTGATGAGTACAGTAGTCGAGCACCCAGTGGAGATCCTCGAACTTGGGCGTGGCCAGCACAAGCCCGATGTCGCGGTCATTGCGGTATGTGTTGGTGATGGCCGATAGGTTGCGAATGACCTGGTCGTGGGTCGAGTCGTACTCTGGGGTTGTGTGTAAGCCATGATATCATACGCGCCCGTCGCGACGGCGTGCGGACATACTGAGGATTGGGTCGAAAGAGCCGTTCAGAAGCAGGAGAATGGAAGTAATCGTGGCGAAGATCAGGGCCAGGAATCCTAATCCGGCGGTTCGGCGGGCAGGCCAACGGAACGCCCGCCGTATCGGCATGGAGGCGGAGCTACGTCAGGAGTTGACCTGGAGCAGAAAAGGGGAAGAGGGGAGATGGAGAGATGTCGCGGGAAAAAGGCAGCCTAATCCAGACGTGCAGGTATCATGGAGAGCATGCGTTGTCAGTCAAAGTCATGATGCGGTGGCTTGGAGCGGATGAGGTGTTGTGAGGTGAAGGAATTGCCAGCAAAGAATCTTGGAACCTGATATGCATGATGATCAAATCAATCAAAAAAAGAGATTTAATAATTTTACGTTAATAAGAATCGCCCCGTCCTAAACCTAATCCTGGCGCAGATCTGCATGATGGCACCCAATCATCACTGCGTCTGGAGCGCCCCAAGGCTTGGTATTGGCACTGAAGCCCGACTGATTGGCTGGATACAGCTACTGTGGGGCTATGCCACTTCGTCGCCTTCCTGTTTGGGAAAAAGTCACCAATCCGACCTATCGCACATGTTGTTGAATGTGTACAAGAACGCCATCAACACTGGGCAGTCAAGGAAGGAATCTAAGGCTGCAACTTTCTCAAAACAGCCGCCAGTCGAATCACTCCCTCCGTCAGGCGGTCCTCGTCAATTCTTGAGAAACATAACCGGATCATGTCCTCATATCCGCCACATCGCTCATTGCCTTCGGGAAGTGCAGACAATTGTCCCATTCCAAAGCGAAGATTCTCCTCCCTCGCTGCAGCTTCAGACACCTGCGCTGCTGTCAGAGGCGAGGGTAGCTGCAGCCAGAGAAAGAACCCTCCTGCTGAGGATCTCGAGTTTTGTACAGGGCTGAAGGTGACACCAAGAGGCAGGAGATGTGTACGGACAGCGGATTCTAGGATAGAATACCGGCGCTTGTAGGTTGGAAGGAGGTTCGAGGCGATGTTGGTTGAGACAAAGTCCTTGATGAGAAGCTCATTCACAAAGGTGGACATGAGATGCGAGGGAGCTCCTCCTGAGCGAGTGGAACCACTAGACACAAATAAGCATGGCCTCAGACAGATCGCGATCTGAAGGGAGATAACGTACGCTTGGGACAGGCCATAGGTGAACTTTGGAGTCCCCTCAGCCCAGCCGACACGACAGCCCGGTCCAAGGATCTTACTAAAACTGCCGTTGCTGACACAGTTTCCGAATTCGTCTTGAGGACCGCCATCCAAAATCATATCAAGATCAACGAAGCGGGGTTGGATGGCTTTCAGGCTGGCGCGGCCGGTGGTAGGCTCAGCCGACGAATCTGCATCCCAATGGACAAAATCATACACATCATCGCTGATGATTAGGGCATCATACTTCCGTGCCAGTCGAAGAAGCGCTTCCCGTCGAGCGCGAGTCATGACGGCGCCCGAGGGGTTTGCAAAAGTTGGTACACAGTAGATGACATGGGAATAGCTCTTGCGGTAGGGATACGGGGGTTTAAACTCCTGCCAGACCAAGTCAGATTTCCCATCCGCACGACTCTTGAAAGATACTCACAGGTTGGTTCGTGGTTTGAGAAGCACGGAAAGCTTTCTCATCCGCCTCTAGAGCCCTCTCCAAGAAAGCAATATCCACTCCCTCCATATCCTCTGGGACCCCATAGAACCGCCCATGGAAACCTGCATCCTCGAAGATGCGGAATGCAAGATAGTAGGAGGGCTCGACCACCCAGATCTTCCGTGTCTTGATCGGATCAGTGAACACCTGCAAGATACAAGCCAAGTTCTGACTGGCACCGCCAGTGATGCAAATGCGGTCCGCGGAAACCTCATGCTGCGGGGCGTAGAACTCTGCCAGCCATTTGGCGATATTCTCTCGAAGAGGGAAATATCCAGGATCGGCGCCATAAACCATTCCATCCTCCCAGACTACCGGGTTGGAGAGGGCTAACGTTGCCGCCTCTTTCAACGGTTCCGCTGGGAGGAGGCTGTTGGCGGGGAAGCCAGTCGCAAGGTCTATGCAAGGCTTGGACGCCATCAGTGATGAGTGTCTGAAATGATTGATGATTGTGTGGTGTCGTTGAAGCGAGGACCCCCGAGGGATTTTATCATGGTTTGAATGCACTCATGTTCCTCCATCCGATGGAATCGTGATGACCCGATTGGGAAAGGCAGGCGATCCGACCAATAAGAAGCGTCGATTGACTGGATCTCAAGGATGTTCCTGTCGAAAGCGCGTGAATGATTTCTAATCGCAAATGATCATTTCCTGGGCGTGTTCTGTTCAATTCTAGGATTGGTAATAGTGATTAGGTGTAGAACGGAGAGATAGGCGTGTTATGGGTACATACATGTAGTACGGAGTACGGAGTAGTGATTGCCTCCCCAGGACAGACCTAACCTTATCTATGCTGAAGTGATGTATGCAAGGGATTGTCAAACATGTGTAGAATCAGCAGATTAAGTACTACCTAGGTAACTACGCTAACGCCAGACAGTCAGGGGTATGATGTGCGACAGATATAACTACCACTTGGTATCTAGGACCATCTGCTACCGGAGCACACCCCCAAATCCACAATGTGTCACTTCTCATGGCTGTTGATACTACCCTGCTTCGTAATCCATCAATCTCCAGGGAAGAATCTAGAATACCCACACTATCCCCAGTCAGATACACTAACCTCGGCGTCTGAGACGACCTGGAAACTCTCCGGACCGCTAAATGTTTCTCCCGCAGCTAGACCTGGGGTACAGTGCCGACCGACGAGTGGCAAGCATGACAGACGCCGAGCGAACCAACACGGGTCCGGGGAAGAGACAGGGGCATGAAAAGAGGCCGCAATGATGGACCATCAGCAGCCGAATTAACCGGGGGAAACCGACGGCGTGATTGGGCTGGCGGCGGAAAAAGAGAATTATCCGAGAAAAGTCGGGTAAATTCCCGGTGGCTGAGTCAGCAACCCCGTCGGAGGAATGTCTGCCGATGTCGACGTCATCACCACTGGTCTATTTACTCCGTCAACAACATCGTGTACAGAGATACGTTTACACTGAGGGAAGATGGTAGACTTCACTAACTCTGTAAAGCTCTCTCAATCTGTCTCTTTATATCTAAATAAGATCTTGGTATGCTTCTATCTCTCATGTCAACTCTCCTGAATCTGTACAATCCCACGCTGCCCCACCGAGGGGTTCTGGCGGGGTAGCATCTCCAACAACTACGGTAGCACTGTTATTGTCACCTAACAATATTGTTCTCCTGCTTCAGGTACCTGAATATTAATAATAATGGCGCTCTTTGACCCTGATTAGCTCATCCTCTGCCTCCCTCCCCCGCCGGAGAACCCAAGGTTTCGACCACTCTGTACCACTCCGTTAAATTCCACCTCCTTCCCTCTTCTCTCCTCCTTCCTTCATATACCCTCTGCATACCTCTTCTCCTCGTTCCCTTCTCACCCATAATCTAGACTCAATCCTCCCATCACAATGTCTCTCGGCAAGAAGGTTACCCTGAACTCCGGTGCTCAGATCCCGTATGTCCCTCATCACCGCATAACATTCATGGTGACCAAAACTAACCCAAACTAGCCAGCTGGGCTTCGGTACCTGGCAGTCTGCCCCCGGCCAGGTCGGTGAGGCTGTCTATCAGGCTCTGAAGGCTGGTTACCGCCACCTGGTCCGTATCAGTCTTGTCCCTTCCTCCAGAACCTCATCTAACGGACCGACAGGATCTCGCTACCATCTACCAGAACCAGCGCGAGGTCGCCGAGGGCATCAAGCGTGCCTACAAGGACGTCCCCGGCCTCAAGCGTGAGGACCTCTTCATCGTATGTTCATGATCCCTCCTCCCGAACCAATGGAGCAGCTCCTAATCCCATCAGACCTCCAAGCTCTGGAACAGCCAGCACCACCCCGATGTCGTTGAGAAGGCCCTCGACGAGTGTCTTGCCGAGCTCGAGCTCGACTACCTTGACCTGTACCTCGTCCACTGGCCCGTCGCCTTCAAGACCGGCAAGGAGCTCTTCCCCCTCAAGGCCGGCAGCAACGTCGAGGGCGGTGACTGCGACATTGACGACAGCATCTCCATCGTCGACACCTGGAAGGCCATGACCAAGCTCCCCAAGACCAAGGCCCGCACCATCGGTGTGTCCAACCACACGATCGAGCACGTACGTCTCCCTGGACTCTTGCGCACTATCAGCCACATCTAACACCCTCCAGCTCGAGGCCCTCATCAACGCCACCGGCGTCACCCCCGCCGTGAACCAGATCGAGCGTCACCCCGTCCTCCAGAGCCCTGAGCTCGTCGACTACTGCGCCAAGAAGGGCATCCACATCACCGCCTACTCCGCCTTCGGTAACAACATGATCGGCGTTCCCCTCCTCGTCACCCGTCCTGAGGTCAAGGAGGTCGCCGAGTCCGCCTCCAAGCGTCTCGGCACCGAGGTCACCCCCGCCCAGGTCATCCTCGCCTGGTCCCAGGTCGGTGGCCACAGCGTCATTCCCAAGTCCGTCACGCCCTCTCGTATCGTCGAGAACTTCAAGGAGATCGAGCTCACTGCCGACGAGGTCGCCAAGATCTCTGAGCTGGGCAAGGAGCGCCGCCGCTACAACACTCCTCTCGTGGCGAACAAGCCCCGGTGGGATATCAACATCTTCGGCGAGCCCGAGGAGGCTCCTGCCACCCACAAGGTCATTGTGTAATGCGATGCTGGTCACGTTTTCATGATGATATATGTTCGTGGATAGATAGTTAAATAAAAGCATGATGTATGATCGTACTGTTTTCGCGGATATTGGTTTCGTAGTGATTCTATTAATCACTATCGGATATCCTGATTGAGCATACCTCAAGGATAAATGCCGTCGACCTTTAGAATCCCGCCGCGGCCTTGATAGCCTGATGCGGTTAACTCGCTGCAGGATATGTGGAGTGGCAGGGTGACAGCATCCGTCCGAAGATCCCTGATATAATAAACCAGCCGGCGTTATGATGTATTGCCTTGTATCAATTGATCAACCCCCACGCGGTCCGAGCATACCATTATGAACGCTATTTCCCCTTCACTCCCCGGTCCAACTCGGCGATCCTCTTGAACGCGCGCGTAATCTCCGTGGCGCTCTGATACACATAATCTGTAGAAGTGAGTAAGCACCAACCCCGCGACTCTTCAATTCAGAGCAGAGGGATACGCACACGACCCAATCACCATCCAAATGGCATTGAAGAAGAAGTAGTAGAACCAGAAGTAATACCCCTCCGGCCGACAGAACGACACCCCGTGGAACCAGTCGCCGAACATGCTCGTGGCGTAGTACAAGACGTCTCCGTAGACCTGGCCCAGCGACATGATCAACTGCAAGGCGTGGCGGGCGGGGTGCTGGACGGCAATGCAGTATGCGATGAAGAAGGCGAGGGGGCCCCAGCAGAACTGTCCAGGGTTATCACTCTAGTCGACAGTGGCTGAATTCAGGATGCACATACCGCCGTGATAGCCTCCATAGAGACGAGGAATGAATCCGAGGTCAGATACCGCGAGTCGGAGAGCGAGTATTCTTTCCAGAGCTGGCCGAATAGCTCCTGCGACCCTGCCAGGGATCTATGGTGGACGACAAAGTAGGCTTCGAAGAAGAGATGGACGAATCCGGCTGTAGAGGGCATCCGCATCAGTACCTAGGTAGTTGTCTGTCGACCGCTCCGAGGACTTACTCAAACACATCCAGACAAAGGCGAGCTGGTCGGATCGACTCGCCGTAGGCCGTACATTGCGAATGACTAGAAAAGCTATGCCTATCACTGCAGCCCAGAGAAATGCGAATTGAGAGATCAACGAGAGAACCTGGCTCGCATTTGTCACGTAGTGCGGCAGTTGGATCGTAGGAGGGTAGAAGGGATGCGGGATGAAGGTGATATTCGTCATCTTCCGTAGTTTTTGGCTCAATTGGACTGGAAAATGATAATAAGTGCAGTAATCTACCTCTACAGATATGCTGCTTATGCTTCGATATTTATATGGATGGTCTTGGCCTGCATGCTCTCCTCGGTCTCCGCGGAATCCGCATCAGTCTCGGATATTGCGATTCCATCTCAGGCCACCGATGCATAGGAGAAAGCGCTCTCTTGAGCATAATAGGGAGAAGTGCGAGCCATGTTTTGGTTATTTCTATGCCATAAGACTGGCTATGCCTCTTTAGTGTGTTCATTTACGGACCACATAGAGCGGATAGACATATACATTCCACATTAGGAAACCCGCGAATACGACTTCAGTCGCAAACTAGAAAGTATCACTGTACACTGTACAACACGAACCACTGCATAAACACGCCGGATCCTTCAGGGAGTTCATTCTCTCCTGATCTGCTTCCTTCCACTTCTTCAATCGTTCCTCATCTTCTTTATCCCACTTCTTCTTCCTTTCTCTGTCGGCCTCGTCCAGTCTCTGCCTCCGGTCTTCATCTTCTTTCTCCAGCCTTTGTCGTCTCTCCTCGTCCTCCTTGTCCCATTTCTCCTTCCTTTCTCTGTCCCCTTCGTCTTGTCTCTTCTTCCTTTCTTCGTCTTCTCTCTCCAGCCTTTTCCGTCTCTCATCGTCTTCCTTATCCCACTTCTTTTTCCTTTCTTCGTCCTCCTTGTCCCGTTTCTCCTTCCTTTGTCTGTCTTCTTCGTCCTGTCTCTTCTTCCTTTCTTCGTCGCTGCAGCTGGGCTTGGAATCACCTGTGGAAGGCTTCACCCGCTGATCCTCAAAGGGATTACTGTTTGGCTTCCCCTTTTCCTTCTGGTCAGAGGGATCGCGGTTGCTAGGCTTCGAGTCCTGCGACAAGGGTTTCACCCTCTGATCCTCGAAAGGATTTCCATTGGGCTTTCCCTTCTGTTTCTCACCCGAGTCATTGCTGCTGAGCACAACTTGATCATCAAAAGGATTGCCGCCAGACTGCTCCTTTGGCTGTTCAGCTTGATTGTCCTTGTTCTTCTTCACTGTTTGATCCTCAAAAGGATTGCGATTGGCCTGCTCCTCCGGCTTTTGGACATGGTCCTTTGAGGCTTGCACTCTTTGATCGTCAAACGGGTTGGATTGAGCGTGAACGATTGATGTAGAGATCAGAAATATGCATATTGCAATGGCAACGAGGGTCCGTATTCGTATCAGCATATCCGGAATGGGTCGGTCGATCACGTTTGTCTTTCAGCTAGGAATCGTACGCTCTGTTGTTGATGTTGGTGCGGATCGGTTGTAGGTGTTCAAACAAGATGGGGGATGTCAAGCTGAGTGCTTGTTTGTGGTACGACCATTGAAAAGGCAAATGCACGTTCAATGCTTTCCGGCCACCTCCACGCTTCCCTTGGCCTTAACCGGATATAGCGTCTGCTCCTAGCTTATGATGGCATGACTCTGGCTCAAGATACAACCATGGGCCTTGCTCGTTCTCTTCTCCGTCCAGACGTTACATAGATCTCTCGTTCACGTCAGCACATTGGCTCAAACTGTATCAGCAGTTCGGAGGGAAGCAGTCCTCATCTATCCTCTCACTTTTGGCCTTCTCTTCGCCGTGCTCTCCGCTTTGTGGAGCTCCAAATCCATGCTACCGTTATCATCACGAGCTGAACCATGTCGATGATGCCATAGTCAAGTCAGTCTCTTACATACATCTCTTATGGTCCAATCTCAATGTTGCATTTCCCAGATAGACTATATCACTTGCTAGACGTATACTCAACCCGATTTCACTAACGTCATCGTGATGCATGCTCACTCCCTCTAGTCAAAGAATGGAGGGCGATTTGAACCAGACTGCCAATCGGTCCGTCGTCCGATACGAGCTCCATGAGAGGATAGATGGTAATCTGCTCATCGATGCGGCTTTTGGGGGTACAGAGGTTATGTGCATGAGCTGAGAGGTCCAAGTCTAAATCATGACCCTATATGCAATAACATACGCTGTTGTGAACAAGACACGGTTAAGGAGGAGTCTGTAGGATGTACTACAGTGAAAAGTCACGTCCATCGATTAGAAAATCACCGACTGTGCTGATTCAGCTCCCAACTCAACGTCCTCAAACCTGAACCAGAGAGCCCCCAAAACTCGAAGATGATTCATCCACCGGCTCACCTCGTGCAGTATGTAGAATACACCGAGAGCTTCCGTCTTCTTCGAGATAAAAGTTAACAGCGACACATTTGGGCCACGTAGAACATTCATTTCCGCAGTCGCTAAGGCTTTTAAGGCCTGTCTTCTTGGCGACATCTTCGGATCTGTATGCTTGCTTGCAATTGAGCATGTAGGTGCGACCATTGTACTTTTGTGTTGCTCCATGCATCGCAGGGCAGGAACACCTGCATGGATTCTCCAGCTCCTGCATTACGGGCTTTTGATCGCCCTGACACAGGCAGGCTGAGACGTGCGTGTCGGCTATGACGGCAGCTGTGTCAGTCCGGAGGCTCGTTCAAATTTGTCTGGCAATTGCACTTACTGTTTTGCAGTTTATTGGGTTTCTTATCATCTGGCTTCTTGTCCGGATCTTTGTTCCCCCCATTATCGGGCTTCTTCTCATCAGGATCCTTATTCCCTCCGTTGTCGGGCTTTTTCTTGTCAGGATCTTTGTTCCCCCCATTGTCGGGCTTCTTCTTGTCAGGGTCCTTATCCCCAGTATCCGGTTTGGTCGTGTTTGAACAGGAACAGCATTTACTGCAATCGCAGCCCCAGCCCTCGTACTTGGTATGGCAACTTTCCGATATAATCTTTCCTTCGTGATCGTATGTCGCGACATACAATTCACATTTCTGTGAATTGCTCGGATCTTTCTCGCTGGATAGTCGTTTGTCATTGGGGGCCCGGCAATATTCTTTCCGATAGCACTTTCCAGTCGGGGGACCGGACTGCACACCGGATTGCGCACCGGACTGCATTTGCCCCATGGCAAGCGTCACGAGCAACGTCCAGAGCACAAGAATTGCCCTCATCATGTTGGTTGGTGTATTTTGAGACGACAACGAACGTGGGACTGGGCGGCGAGCGGAAAGTGATCGTTTGTTGATATGCGTTTAAGTGCCCTGGATTCCAGTCTTGTTCTCGGGCTTCCTCCGTTCCTGAATAGTGTAGCACGCCGCCATCAATCGATGACCAGTATATCGCTTCGCAGCTGGTATCCTATGGTGGAGTCTGCATGAGGTGTCCCGGGGGACCATACCTCGCATGTAGCAGCTGCACTGGAGCTTACGGCGCATCGTTAGGTAGTAATCGCCTGTATCCTTCTGAATCCGAGTTGAAAGGCACCCATAAGTTAGTAGTAATGACGTGAACGAGTAGCTATTCGTCTTCGAGGTGCTACATGCGACCTCAACAGGTCATGAAAGTGCCGGAAATGGGGCGGAACTAGACGATGATCGCCATGATCTGCTGAAACCCACTCGCGTCCGTCTCCTGCTATGCGCGACTTCCTTGTTAGGCCTTGACTCAGCTAGTCACTGACTGCCAAATGCTCTATGAGACGTAATGGATGCAGAGGCATGTGGAGACATGTCTTGGAATGCGTGGTCGACATTCCCGAGTCCAGTCGTCCAGTCCTACCTGGACCCTCATTCTTCTGTAACCATCGGTGCAGAAGGACTTATGTAACCGTAATATTTTCTTTTCTTTCATTTTATTCCTCTTTTTCTGATTTTTTAGTCCACGCGACATGGCTTGCCCGAAGGCAGCTTCTCATGGCTGCTGACTCGTGGACCGTGACATTACCGTTGGCGTCGATCATCCCTAGGAGGCCGCTGGTTAGCTGCGTGACAGTGAATCATCATAGACATGGCCGGAAGATTAGAAGTCATTCTTAGTCTGGTTCAATCTCCGCTGTGAAGGCACATGCCATCCGTGGAAGGTAGACAGACTATCCTATACATCCGCATCCTTTCTACTCATCTACACTTCACACCTACTACATACAAAGCGAACCAGCGAACGCCGTGAAACGCCGCTTAGAGCAAAATGTCCGGTCTTACCAGCAACATCACAGACACGGCCACGGGCGCGACCTCGGGAGCAGGTAATCCCACCGGGCTTGCTTCAAATGTGACAAACACAACATCATCTACTGGGGCCGGGGGCATAGCATCAAACGCAACCCAGAGCAGTAACGCCACTGAGTCCGCCCTTCCACCCGGACAATTAGATATTATCAAGGGGGTTGCCGGCCTGAACACGAACCACAAGGGCGTAAGTGCCATCCTCCCCTCACATCCCGCGTAACAAGGCGCTGATGGCGGTTTAGGAGGTCATTGGCCTGGGCAGGGATGACAACAATGCTCTGATTAACCTCCTGGCGAGGGAGAAGATGAAGAAGGACAAGGGGACTAGTGACGAAGAATTAGACAAGATGAGCCAGGAGGATATCCTGAAACAGTCCGGCCTGAACCATGCAAGCAAAGAGGAGATCGAAGAGCTTTCTAAGAAGGATTCGGTCCAGAAGTTCAAGCAGGAGGCGCAGAAAAAGACTGTCTCGTCCGGAGTCTTCTACGCTTATGGCGTCCAGAAGGTCGGCGGGCTGACCAAGCGGTTCCTCTACACGTTCGCCAATGCCTCCGTTGCAAATCAGTACATTCAGAAGTTGCAGGATACCTATGGAGCAGCTGTCAAGCGTAAGTCACCGTGCAGGAACCCACTCTCCTTGTTCTGATGATGGCTAATGACTGCCACAGGCCACGGCTCCCAGTTCTTCACTCTCCCCGACACTCCGAACCCATTTACCATTGCAGAGAGCCAGGAGTTCAAGCAGTTCGAGCAGAAGTATATCGTCGAAGAAGCCCAGGCTCCCCAGCCCATCATCCCTCCGATGGATGCGGCAGGATACTCGAACACTCGAGGGTAGGGCGCAGGCACCCAAAGAAAGCGTCACACTTGTGCTAATCTTTGGAGGTGCCGGTAGACTTGGCTGTGACTGCACTTGCGGGAAAGCTTCAGAGACAAAAGGCTCGGGGAACACAAGCGGAAACTCCAATGTCAAGCCATCGAACAATAGTAAGTCGTTCAAGCGAGGCATTTGAAGTTTTCGAAGGCTAACGGAAGTCTAGCTGGCGACAATTCTGCTGCAAACACAAATACCACCAACAACAAAGGAAGCAGTAAGAACATAGCTGCGCTGTGCGAGGTGCCCGAACTAATCAGCGTCTAGATAACAACACAACCGGAGGCAACAGCAGTACTTCGGAAACGAACAAACACCAGTCGAGCGGAGGGAACTGTCACCACCATTGCTGCGGATGTCACGGTTCAGGATGTGTAAGTAGAGACGTCCGATCGATCTAACACAGGACAATCGTGCTTCGGAGCCAGACTGATGCGGGTGAATTGCAGGGCACCTCTGATGCCGAGTTGATCCGGGTTGCTTCAAAGATAGCAGACGAGAAGAAGGCGAAAGGCGATACGCGCAGCTACGCGGACATCTTCGCCGAGGCGTTCAACGAGCTGAAGTCCACCACCAAAAGCAAGTGACGGTGTTGCGGCCACACCTGCCACTCCCATAGCACCTCCTCCATACCCTGTGTGGCAGATAGATTTCGCTCCTGTTGGTGCCGCATGAGAGGAAGAATCTGCTGCTGGAGACATAGGGTTTGTTCCACTGGGAATCAACTGATCTCAAACTGCACGCGCACGGATATTATGAACCTCTTGATGGCGATGCAGGTTCTTCTCATGTTCTGGATGCTTTTCTCGTGCTGCGCAGGATCTAGAGGTAAGGGAGAGGCCTCTTCGAACAAAGGGGGCTCAACTATTGGCGATCTCTTTGGAGCGCTGGGGTTGAGTTGGGTGTGGCTAAGACTGAGAGAATGGCTGTGTCTGTTTCTCAAACAGCTGGCAAGTAGTATGTTGCTACATTGCTGTGATCTACCAGCCATGACAAACTCCACCGTCAGTGGCAGCAGTCGTGGGTTCCAGATGCCACAGTCAAGTTCTGGTGTTGAATATTGTGTTGGGCCGGGAGTCGATTGCTAATGGCATGTCGTGGTGTATGATTTTGGAATAAAACGATGTTAATAGCAGCTTCTTACGTTCCTTGCGTTGCATACTTTTGAACTACAATGAGTGGTATGGAGTCTGGAAGCCAAACGTATTGATTCAGGCCTACATCATCAACGGCAATCTAACACAGCTCCCACACCTCGCCTCCTTCAAACAGTTCGTCACAAACGACAGGAACCAGGGTCTCCTGCTCGTTCGACTCTTTCGCGCCTTCCTTTTCCTGCACCGCAATCCCAAATCGGCCAGTGAATAGATCTCCCAGTTTGAAGTAGAAAGGATTGCGAACATATCCAGTCTTAGCCGCCAAGGACCCATCATCCTTCATCGTAATCGGGTACTCTCCGTGCGCCTGGTCCTGGTCACTGGCCTGTCTCATGAGCTTGAGCTGGACGTCATCCCAGGGCACCATGAGCGGATTTTCGACGTTGGGCTTTCCTTTGATTTCAATTCGAAACTTGGCCCGCTTGATGGTCGAGATCACAATCGCACCCTTGGTATCGCTGGACCAGAATCGCTGGGGAACGCGCTTGTTCCGGATGCAGAAGATCTTGCCGTGGATGTGGTCGGCCACATCGAGATCGGGCAGGATAGGATAGATTCTGGCCGAGTTGTCCCAGTTACCGAGGCCCTGGAAGAACACCTGCCCTCGGATCCGCCTGGACACGTCGTGCGGAAGATTGGCTTTGCCGAGATTGACGTTCTCGATGAAGTTGTACAGCGCCCGGTCACTTTCGCCGCACCACGACCACATCTGCGGCGACATGCGTTTGAGCTCATGGAAGTCGGCTTTGCGATTGACAGGGTCTGACCGTTCTTGGAGGAGACGAAAGAGATAATCGGCCACTCCGCGGTTGGCTGCTATGATCAAGTAGCGATTGTCTCGGCCGCCGCCGCTATCCCAGTGGTCTCCACGGAAGAAGGCGAGGTTGTAAAAGACCATGCTGACGAGATGGCGTTAGAGCGATAGTCCTGTAAACGCAGCGACCCGGCTACTGAGTGACCTACTCCCAGACCCGAGAGATATGATGTCAGCTTTAAAGCGCATGCTGGGATATACTGCTCATCATCCAACGTCATCTATCCAATGCGTGCGTAGCTTCGGACATCTCGGGCATATCGAATCCCACGAAAGGAAATGTAACTGTGGATCTATACCCGAACTACGGCGTCTTTTGTATTCGTCATGGAGTCCAGCCCGACGGAGAGCACAACCTTGCGCTTGCATTAGTCGACACAGAGCCAGTGGAGTGGAGTTGTGGATCTACAGTTTGTTGCATTCTTCGGCTTGCGCGGGAAGTCAATAGTTCCACATACCGTTCGGTCCGGATTAAGCTTGGTTGACTGAAAACGCTGCCGTGTGAGTCTCTTGCTACTGATCCAGTAACCTGTGATACAGGATTTCGCATATGAACTACAAGGAAGATCTATTGAATGATGTTACGAACATTGAAAAACCATACCAGGGTGCAGTCGTTGCCGAAATCTTCTAAACATGAGGCAGACGATATCTCTCTCCTCCAAGTCAGATCAGCGGCAGCTCAGCGGTATTGACATAGTCGATATTATCCGCGCGTGCCTCCAGACGAGGCAGGCATGTGCCGAACAGACGATCCCAAACGCGGGTCTGCTTCCCATAGTTATAACTCGACTTCCAGCCCTTACGATGGTGAAGATCGTGATCCTCGAGCATCAATTCCATGCCAAAGAGTTTCAACAGCCATGTCCACGGGTTCACTGCGGTGACTGCAATGCGCAGACCACTGTGGCCCAGGATCTCCGTAAAGACGACATACTCCTGGCACACCCACCACTCATAGAATCCCAGCGGGAATCCAAGCAGCTTCATAGTGCCGTACGTCATCATGGGAACCCCGACAATGTCGAAAAACTCCTGCACGCGGTCCGCGTATGCGGTCAGAAGCGGGTTCGGATGTTTGGTCAGGTGGTGGGTGCGATGGAACTGCCACAGGCGATCGGACTCGTGCACGGACCGGTGGAACAGGTAGTACCAAAAGTCCAGCACCAGGGCATACACGCCGGTTTCAAAGACGAGCCACCCCCATCGGATGGATGATGGCGCTTCATCTGGGCGGTAGGCGAAGAAGACGGTGAATAGCGGACGGAGGATGACCACGCTCAAGAGGGACTGCACTGTCGTCCCTACCCCAACGTCCGGTACACCGTCCCGGGGGTGCTTGTCGCCGTCGAAGAACCCGTAGCGGTGGCCCAGACGGCGGAGGATGTGGACTTCGTGGATCGCAATGGCTTGCAGGGCCATGCTGTAGAACCAAAAGGCTAGCCATGGGGGGAGGTTGGAACCGGTGTACTGGACGTAGAGCTGGTGGAGGAGCAGCGGGATACCGGCGTAGATGATCACGTAACGATGAAAGTGCCATTCCTTTGCATGAGGCACTTTGTCGGTCTTTGGATGGACTGGGACACTTTTGTCGAGATCCACGTGGTGCACATTGAGGATGTCGAGGAACCAGTGGCCTCCATTCCACTTGGTGTGGTCCCACGAACGCCATGTGGACTTCATCGAGTCCTTCGGGTTGCGAGGAGGGGGCGGCATCTTCAGTTGTAAGAAAGGATGCGGCAAAAAATGGATGTATAGAGACTGAATGGTTTATCCTGGCAACGAGAGACATCGTTGGTGGCCACCCCGCCGTTTAAGACTGATATCTGGCATCCAGCATGTGAAGCTCCGTTGTCGAGCTATGTCTGAGACGGTCTAGTTCGACCCCAACGTTCTCGGGATCAGCGCTGTTTGCAGATTAGTGATCGTGTGGCATCGATTACTTGTGTTGTCAGTCATCTCGGGGATACGGCTGATCATGGGGTGTGTCGTATGTTTACCCGCGCTAGTCCGAGCAGCCATTGAGGGACTCCAAGACACCAGCATACCTGTTTAGTTCGTGAGCATCATCATCATAATCACATGGAATTGTATCCATCAATGTGGATCACACATGCGAGATCGAACACATCCATGGACACTGCGGAGTATGTAAATCCCCACGAGAATCCCAGAAAACTGGAGAACTCCACATGCTCGGTTAGTCTGCAAAGCATACTCGATCGGGTATCCTTTGCGAACAACATCGGCCCTTCGACGAACTCATAGAATGATCTAGTTCCTAACCTGCAGTCTTTGTTAATAATAATGAAAAAGGGCTGTTAGGTGTATAAGCGTCGGGATCTTCTTAATGCATGTCGTCATTGAAACCCTGTAGAATGCCCACGACAGCAGACACCACCAAGACCAGAAGATCAACCATCATTAGAAAGATAGATGAGATTGTAGCGAATATAGGGCCAAGACGATGTAGGATTGAAGGAACCTCCTGTCTCTAGACAATGGGATTCAGAGGATAGACTTTGCCACATGCGCTGTCAACCATGGCACCCCGTCGATGATGATGACAACACCACAATCGGGAGCTTTCAAAGAATGAAGGACGAGGCATTCTCTTTGTCTCGCCCCAGCATTCCATTGTGTAGGTATTGGCAACTGATTAAAACCCCGGCCATGGAGCGAACCGCCATCGCAGACACCAGGGAATTCGTCCTCTGTTTCGACGGCACCGGATATAAGTTCCGAGGAGATGACGCAGACAGTAATGTCCTCAAGATTTATCGAGTAAGTAGCCAAATTGGGACTTTCGGGCTCCACAAAGCAGCCTGACACCAATGGAAGATGCTTGATCGCAACGACGCTCGCCAATTTCACTATTACCAGCCGGGATTCGGGACGTACACCACCTTAACTTGGCAGTCGCATGACACAAACCAGAATCGTCTCAAGAGATGGATCTCAAATGCGAGAGACGCCGCCGCAGGCACGACCTTCGACGATCACGTCATGGACGCGTATCGATTCCTGATGCGCTTCTACTGCCCCGGCGACAGGATCTACCTCTTCGGCTTCAGCCGTGGCGCGTACGTTGCACGCATGCTGGCCGAAATGCTAGATCATATCGGCATGTTAGAGCCCGGCAACGAAGGGAAAGTCCACTATGTCTGGTCAATCTTCTCCAAATGGGCGAAACGCATCAACAGCGTCGACGCAGAACAGAAAGAAAAAGACGCCCTGTACGGATTCATGAAAGCGCTCCGCGAGACGTTCTGTCGCCCGGTGTCGCAGATCCGATTTCTGGGGCTGTTTGACACCGTCAACAGTATCCCACGGTTCGAGGTGAATCGCGATAAGTTCATGTTTCCCTATACGGCCAAGACATCGGCCAAAGTCATTCGGCATGCCGTCGCTATCGACGAACATCGGGCGAAGTTTCGACAGGATTTGATCTCCGATGCCAATCCAAATGCTCTATCGACGCAGCGCAAATCCCGCGGCCAGCCGGCGCGACAGGGGCCTCTTCCGCAAGGGCGTTGCACAGGCGAGGCGTTCTATCGGCCCGCTCCTCCGGTCCGTCCGCAAGAGGGTGGCCGTCTCGAGGAAGATCACGATACGCACCAGGACATTGAGGAGGTGTGGTTCGCCGGATGTCATGCTGATATTGGTGGTGGATTGAAGTTGGATAAAGGTGAAGACCTGGCGCTGAGCCATGTGCCATTGGTATGGATGGTGCATGAGGCGCAGCGTGCGGGACTGAAATTTGATCCTGAGAAAATGAAGCTCTTCCGCTGCTTTGAAGAATCAATGAGTAATGGTGGTCTTTCAACTGGCGACCCGGAAAAGGACAACCAACGGCATGGGACAGATGAGGAATCCGAATTTGAAACGGCGCTGTGGACAGCGTCGATCCATGGCCATATCCATGACTTCCTACAATATGGCCATGGTGAGCCATGGCCTACCGTTTTATCCTGGAAAGTCGTGGAGTATCTTCCGTTCCGGAGGATGGGCTTGCAACCTGATGGATCTTGGAAACCCACTCGATGGCCTCTCCCTCTTGGGGAGAGACGGGATGTTCCTAAGGACGCGAAGATTCACGTATCAGCCATTCGACGCATGAAGATCAATCCACAATACAGGCCGAAAAATCTGCTCAGAGATGGAAAAGGGAAGAATGGACCCCCTTTAGAGCATGGAATCGACACGTGGGAGGTGCACGCTCATCCAGGCTGCCCAGTGCGAGAAACATACCGCCGGAAGGTGAACGAAACCAGCAGCTAGACAGGATCTCTTGATGTATATCACCCGATAGAAGTTCTCGCTTACACCAGAAATTCCGAACCATTTCTAATACAGAAAATCAGGAAGGGTCTGCTATTCCCAATTTATTTTCAACAGGATAGATACTGTAACAATAGGGACACTTTGGTGATTCTGACGTTCTCCTTGGAACCCTTTAACCAGAATTGATATGATCACCTCTCGGAACACCTTTCACCTTCCACGACTATACACTTTCTGCCACCAATCGCCGTTGGTTTCTAGAGGGCCGCCGCTCTGTCATCGGGCACGATGCGACGATCTCGAACACGAGGATGTGGCCAGTGGCCTGCAGCAGAAGAAACCGCAGCCGATTCGGCGTGCGTACTGGCGCTAAGGCTTGTCCGTTGGCATCGAGCGGGCGGATCTCCTCAATCCCCTCCTTGTAATCGCAGTCCATCTTAAGGAACTGCGTCCATAATTCAAAAGAGACATGCTCAGGCGGAATCGGTTCGTTGTGGGCGAGCGGTATCCCCGGACTAACAAGGAGTCGAGATAGAGTCTCCCCAATGATTTCGAGGCTACCTGCCCGCCGCACTTGGATAATGACATTGGGGATTGAGTTCCCCATCGCGGGGGTCAGAGGAGACGGGTCCGCCACTGGTGCTGGTGATGGCGGTTGTTGGGGGCTCGAGAGTTGTTCGGGATGGCTAGAGACAGTTTCATCAAACGCGAGGCCAAGTTGCTTCGGAGTTTAATGTATGCCTGATAGAGGGCATTCAGGGCAGCATCGGGGCCATCCTCGTAGCCATAGCGGACGAATGGGGGGAATTGGTATTCTTCGATAGCCTCCGTCAGAATCCGAATGATCTCATCCCTGCCGCTGCGAGTACTGGGCTGTCTCATGCCCGGATACAGCTCATGTAGACGCAAGAGAGTCTCTCGGGCGAGTTGGCGATCAGATTCACTATGGGGCGGGAATGATTCCCATTGATAGTGCTCGCCCTTTGAGGGATAACTTCTGCGTCGCATGGTGGATGGGAAAGGTAGAGACGAGGTGAAAGGCGGATAGGGAAGAGAGGAGTCGAATATCGATCGAGGGTGGAAAAGTGGAAGAGCAAGAATGAGAAGGCTGGAGTGTGGTAAAGAGCTCTACATTCACTGCCGTCTTCTGTTTCTGTTACAGAAAGGAACGTCCATCCCTCCTTGGCTTCTTTTACCCTCCCCCTTTGTACTGTAAAATAGGGTGTTTTTACGAAGAATTCGTCTTCATCATTCTAGTGGGACTTAATGGGCAGTCAGTGATGGCCTAGATGACTGCTGTTCTTATAACAGTGGCTCAATAGGGTTAACGGTATACCTATGTTCAGTGGTGAGTCTACCTAATAATATGTACTCGGTAATAGCTAGATAATAAGCACCTGAAGCGGGCTATCGGTTTTTGTTATTGTATAAGTATAGTTATAAGCGGAGTTGCAAGTGACTTGTTGAAAGAGCTGCGATATGTATACCTATCTACGGAGTATAGAAGTATGGACAACTCTATACATCTTCTACCACTGGCGGTAACCTCGCATTCTCTTACAAACATCTCCATACCCCTAGTTATAGATAAAGCAGCAAAAACGTTGCTCATCAGTCATATTGACGAAGATGACTGTACATGAGAATGCGTTCTATCTTTAGATCGATCAATACGAGCTTCATCTTTACCCAAACAGGAAAATGAGCAACACCCGCCCATTTCGCCCCATAAACCACCCGTCCAGCTCCAATCAAGCCTGTCTAAGCGTTCTTAGATGTCTTCAGCCTTGCGCTCCTCGTATATCTCCACCAGGGCACATATAAGAGCCTCCCTTTCCCAATACTCCATACACTTCCATCTCCATTCTACACCCTCTCTATACATCCCACACACGTCAACCCAGTCCATCATCCAAAACAACCAAAATGAAACTGAACATCCTCCTCTCCACCGCACCCCTCGCCCTATCCGCAGCAGCAGCAGCCGCGTCCCTCAACACCCGCGACGACGCCGCGCTGGCCGCCCGCGCCGCCACCCTCTGCGGCTCCGGCTACAAGCTCGACCGGGCCATCCCGCTGCCCAAGGGCACAGAGCCGAGCCAGCGCCTCGCGACGCTGTACTCGTACATCGGCGACCACGGCTGTCTCATCCTCGACAACAACGTCGGCAAGGCGCAGTACATGGATCTGAAGTTGTGCGAGTGGGACGGCACCAACTGCAAGAGGGACACGGGGCATTATAGCCAGTATGCGGGGCCGGTGTATCTGGATAATTTTGCGTGTGCGAAGGTGACGGCGCGCATGGGGAGCAGCTCGGGGAGCTTATATGTGGATTATAAGAGTGATACGGTGTTTCCGTGTGAGTAGGAGATAGATATTATCTGTCTTGTACGATGCTGTCTGAGATCGTACCGTCATCAGAGCATTGCCAATTACATACATGCATACATACATCATCGCTACATGCTCATAAACACATCCAGCAACTTGGGGTAGTTCGGGGTCCCCAATCCGGTGACTGGATCCCACCCCTTGGCGGCGGAGAATCCCTTGGTCCCGCAGCCCTCGTTATTGCCAGACGTCACGTCGAAGAAGGCCTCCGGATGCGCGTACAGCACCGGGTTCACAAACCCGACGGTCGACTTGCCCGCCGCCAGCCGCTCCTCGTTGATGCGCGTCAAAAGCGCGGCGAACACCGGTGCCGCCGCCGACGTGCCCCCGATCAACTGCGGCGTCCCACTAGTGAAGACGAGCACGTTGTCGCCGATGGCGGCGACGTCGGGGTACCCGCGGCCGATGCGGTTGTAGATGCCGCCGTTGGCGGCGAAGCTGGCGTTGTTGACCGTCTCGTAGTACGGGTAGCCCGGGTCCGCGGTCTGGAAGTACTGCTCGACGGCATCCTTCTGGTAGTCCGGGCGCTCGTAGATGTTGCTGAACCCGCCGCCCGACGCGAAGCTGCTCGTCGCGACCTCCTGGTGGTCCTCGGCGTTGCTGCCCGACGGGATCACCGTGCTGCCGGCCGTCGTGAGGTACGGACATGTCGCGGGGAAGCCCGGCGCGAACACCTTGTTGTCCGTGCCGAGACAGTTGCCCGGGGTGGGCGCGCCGTTGCGGCCCGCCACGCCCGAGTCGCCGCTGGCCACCACCACCGAGACGCCCTGCAGACCGAGCTTCATCCACTCCTGGCACTGGCGCCGCTGGTACTGGATCGGCAGGCTGGCCTCCCAGCCGCCGTACGAGATCGAGATCACGTTGGTCGGCTTGTACACGCCGCACTGCAGCTGGCCCTTGTAGCCGCCCTCGGCCGGGTCCGGGTACGACGGGTCCAGCGGCGAGGTCTCGCCGCAGTAGGAGCCGTCGATCGCGTAAAGGAAGTTGTTCAGGAACCCCTCAAAGGTGTAGTTGTTTTGGTACACCGTGTCGTCGGTCTGGAAGAGGACCGAGTTCTGGGGCCAGATCAGAGGGTACGAGATCTGGAAGTCCAGGTTGGATTCGGGGCCAGCGCTCAGCACATTCGTGGGAGCCTTGGCACCATCAATCGCCCGGAGTTCAGGGTGTGTGCCGTCGGGAATATCGCTGCGCTGGTTAGCGGGCGTGTGTGGACAGGAGAGGTCAGCCGGGTAGCACATACTGCGCAACACTCGCAAAGAACAGATCGAGATCGTCCTGCGAGTAGACATCGCCCAGACTCTCAAAAATACCCAGCTCATTGCCCTTGGTAGACTTGGTACCATCACTGACATTGTACATGGCTGGAAAGTCAGCACGGGAAAGACTAGATAAAGTGGGGACGAGACATACTCTTGATGCAATCAGGCGTCACGACAACATCACAGAACGACAGCATATCTCCCAGGAGAAGATCCAAAGACATGGTCACCGGGCGGAGGATAGGAGGAAGAACGCCAAACAGGTCCTTGTCGACACTGCGCTTATCCACGCGAGACACATCACGGACTTCCAGCTCTTTGATACCGGGCGTGATGTAGTCGATGTGGTGCTGGATTGACTCAGGAACGTGGTACCTACATCTCCGTTAGTGCCCGGTCATGCAACGAAACTAAGGCGTGCTCACTCTCGACAAGCTACGTGCGAGCGACCAGTGCCCGAATGCGAGTAGAGATAGTACTTGGTGCGGAAGAGTTTCTCTACCTCCGCCGCATCGGCGTCGAACTGCAACCACTGTTTGTTGACGGACTGGGAGATCCGATCGGCCGAGATGCCCGCCGACTCCAGCCAGGCGCGGACATCGTCCACGCTCTTTTGCGATGGCGCGAACAGCTCATGGACCTCTTCCGCAGAGAGGTGTTGACCGTACCGAGCAGACTCGGGGTGGGACCTAGACAGTCAGCGACATACCATCAGGGGAATAGAAACGACATACACTTCCATGAGAAGGTCATGGCCACGGTCAAGATTGGACTGGCTCAGACCGATGCGCATGGGCAGGATGGTACTCCCATCCAAGGGCTTCTCCGCACCCCATTCAGCAGGAAGGAAATCACGGCGTTCATGGACGACATAGTCCAAAGGGGCGGGAGCAGCGAGCACGCTGGCGGCGATAGCTCCCAGAAAAAGAAATGAGCGCCTCATTCTCTCTGCTAGGTCTGATCAGTGGCAAAGAGATAAGGGTCAGATTGAGACCAGCAGGGGATACCTGCGTCTCATATACCCCATCCCCGGTCCATCCTCGCACAACTCCCGTTCCCCGCTCAGGAGATGCAAGCAAGAACAAGTGATCATGCAAGAAAATCACTATCTGAGCGTAGTGTCTAGTACAACAAGCCAGTGGAGCTAGAGCCGAAAAAGGGACAGGCGAGCTTATCCTTGCCGTCGTCCGGGGTGCGATCTACCCGCGAGACTACCATGATTGGGTCACTAAGTCGGGCTGGCTGGGGTCTTCGAGTGGGTATGAGGGAAACTATTTGGAGTTATGCCACCAACGGAGTCGGCTCAATCCAGTAGGAAACTGCCGCCTAGCCACAGATGATCCAAACAAGACCATCTGTGTAACACGGAGATTGTTCGGTGTGACACTGATTGAATCTCTCCAGGAACCACGATTCAGGCACCAGCCAGGAACTGAATAGCTTACCGGGGTCCGTGGGGGAGACCTCGGAGCTGCCGACATGAACCACGAGAAGACCATGTGAAGCCGCAACTTAAGCTTTGGGGATAGACTTGGACTGCGGGGGAAAGGAGGAGATATGACGGATTGTCCTCTCTCTCGGCGCCAGCCCGTGGATGAGCCGGTGGGACTTGTGTTCTTTGTCGATTATCCCAATTTCTCACCTCGAACCTATCGTCATCATCAACCCGACTGTCGACACCGGGGGATAACGGGCGCTCACCGACTCATCACGGCGGACGGGCAGACCCCCTGATAGCGCTATGATAACAACGTTGGCAACGGACGAACCCCACCGACGATCGGGAGGAGAACGAGGTGATCAGCCTCGTGGGATCATCCGTCCCTGTTCTCCTGAATGGATCCTCTGTAGAAAATGCCGGCTGAGGCGTTGTTTTGGTCGAACCGGCACATGGCTGCAGGCAAATAACTCTATCTCTCGGGTGCACAGGCTGGATTATCGCCTATATCTTGCTTACATAGTCGACAGGGATGTTTGGAGGAGAATAATTTCTTCGATTGATGAAGTCCTGGTACATGTTTGTGGACGTAGGACGAGGCTATCGGAGGTAGCTCTCGCCGTCTATAGTCAGGTAGTATCAGATAATACACTGTTGCGGGGGTTCCGTGCCCCGTCAATCATCCAAAAAGGCCTGCTGTCCAGGAATTGGTAAATGTCGGGTACGCTGTCGATGCATATCAACGCGTTGTATCAACTTGGTGGGAGATCGTCGCAGTGTCTGCCGTCCCATCCCAAGTCTGTTGAGTTTTCTAACCTCGGCATAGAGGTCGCTCGAATGTGAATCCAGTAACTGTAATGTTAGTCCCAACTCACGTCCCTATCCATTTCAGCAGCACCCGTAAAAGGGCGCTGCGATGGACCGGCTTTGCGATATAATCATTCATCCCCTTGGCCAGATACAGTTCCGCATCGCCCTTCAGCGCATTCCCCGTGAGCGCAATAATCGGCACATCCGCATTGATGCGGCGAATCCGCGATGTCGCCTCCATCCCATCCATGACAGGCATGTTGATATCCATCAGCACGGCGTTAAACGACAGCGGCGTCTGCTGGATCAGTCGCACTGCCTCGGCGCCATCCCACGCCGCATCGATCCGCTCAAATCCAAAGCTCTGCAGCAATTTCAGCATCACCATGTGGTTGACCAGGTTATCCTCGACCAGGAGGATATGTTTACGGGGCGCGATCTCCCGTATCGCCGCCGTAAGGTCTGCCCCGTCAGACAGCGGTGGACGGGGATTCGGGCGTTCCAGTTTCCCTGACGCGCTGGGCTCTATGGCACTCATCGTCGCGGTGAACCAAAACATGCTCCCTGGGCCTTCTGGGTTTGGCTGGTATCCCACCGTGCCGTCCATCAACTCCGCTAGGCTCTTGCAGATCGAGAGCCCCAATCCAGTGCCTTGATAGTGACGCACGCTGGCGTCAGCAAATCGTGTGAACGGCGTGAAGAGCGTGTTGATTGCGGTGTCTGGGACACCGACACCAGAATCGGTCACTTCAGTCCGAATACGATATGCGGATGGGATCTTCTCGTTGTCACTGTCGTCGCTGGTCTTGTCCTTCGTGTCGGTGTCGTCGTCTTCGACTGCAGTATATGATAAGGAAAGTTTGATATAACCTTTCTCAGTGAATTTCACAGCGTTACCCAGCAGGTTCTGCAGCACCTGGCGGAAGCGCAAGGGGTCCCCCTGGAGGTTAGTCGGAAATCCCGGTTGGAACGAGCATGTCAGCTCGACATCTGGGTTCAGACCGGAGCGACAATTTCGCACAACAGCGTCCACAATTGTTTCCGCCTTCACCACGTCGGAATTGAGCGAGAACGACCCCGACGACAGCTTGGAGTAGTCCAACACGTCGTTAATTACCTGCAACAGGATGGACGTCGAGTCTTCCATGATGGCGGCGTACTCGCGCTGCTGGTCGGTCAACTCCGTCCCAGTCAGCATCGTCAGAGCCAACAGCATGCCGTTCATGGGCGTGCGAATCTCATGGCTCATATTCGCGAGGAAATCCGTCTTCATCTTGGACGATTCCTCAAACGCGGCGATCATACGCGCCTCCGCGGCCTTCCGCTCAGTCAGGTCACGTGTCACCTTCACGAAGCCAACATGTCGACCAAACTGGTAGATCGGCGTGATCATGACGTTCGCCCAGAATCGCGACCCATCCTGGCGATAGCGCCAGCCCTCATCCTCCATCTTCCCCTCGCGCAGGCACACGGCCAACCCGCGGCCTGGTTTGCCATTGCGACGGTCCTCGGGGCCGTAGAAGACGGAAAAATGACGACCGATGATCTCGGGGGCGGTGTATCCTTTCAGAATGGCGGCACCTGAATTCCAGGTGACGATGTTGCCCTTGGTATCCAGCATGAAGATGGCGTAATCCTTGACGGTGTCGACGAGGATCTTGTAGGTCTCGTTGACGTAGGCGTGCTGGTGGTCCGCCGCATGTAGGTGGTCCATGGTGATGTTGTTGGCCTCCAGGATGATATAGAGAAGCTCGGACTCGTCGAAGATGGGTATGACGCGCAGGCGGAAGAAGGCCCCGATCTCGCCGCAGTGAATGTCTTCGACCGTCTGGATGTCTTTCGTGGCGACTGCGGCGTGTAGGGCCCCGTAGATGGTCGCGATATCGGGGACGGGAATGGCGTGGGGAGGCAGGTCGCTAATGCAGGCGTGCAACAAGCCATCCCTGGATTGTCCGGAAAAGGCCAGATGGCTGTTTGAAACCTCGACGATACACCAGGAGGGGTCCAAAACAATAGTGGGAATGGGAGTGTAGCGATAGATGCGACTGAGGGCGGGATCATAGCTGTTCTTCGAGCGGAGTTTGTCGACCTCGCGCGCAAGCTGTTTCAGATTCAGCTCCTCGTCGGCAGGAGGCGTGGTGACGAGCGCTGCGGAGGCTTCCTTATTGGAGCCCAGCATGATGCCTGACTGCTGAGGGGATGGTGGGATGGAGAGAGAAGGACGGATCTCGCCATGGGAGAGAAGGGGTTGAGGATGTGTAGTGTTTTCTCCGGGAGGACCAGAAGGGCCTGGACGTGGTGCACCCATGGACAGACGACCGAGAGAGAGGGTCAAGCGACGTCATTCGAGTGACTTCGACCATGGTGGTGGGCTCACGCTGTTGCAGGTATCTCCTGTGTTTCTCGTTGGTCGGCTTGGGTGTCCGGCGCATGCGGGGCCACGGGTCCACTCCGGCCGGCTTTTTTTACAGCTGATTCATCTACCTGATTTGCGCTCGTCCAACGTGACTCGTTCTAGGTAAACTACCTTACTCCGTAAACTCCCTGTACGGAGTAGGCTTCTTCCCCGTCCAAAGGGAATCGTTTCCGACAACTCGCCATTGTCCACAAAAGGAAATCTCGTCACGACTGGTAATTCTGTAATAGGTAGGAGTTCCCTGCTCATACCACGGCTCGTTTCTCAGCGTCCTGAACCATCTGCAGCACAGCATCCGCCACTCCATAAGAGAACGCATATCCGCCACCCCCAAATCCATACGCCGACACCACCATGCGTTGACCGATCTCTTGCGAGTCCAACCGAAAGCCACCGTCACGTGATGGGCGAATACCGACGATATAACTCAGCGTATCTGGCGGTGGATTCTCGGGGACCACGTCGGGGGCCAGACGGTGCGCCCGCGCAATCTCATCCCGAGCGATTTCCGGGTCGGGGTCGGGCGATACGTTGTCTCGTTGTTTCACGCCTCCCAGCACTACGGCCTGGGACAACGGGCGAGGGATGATGTAGGTGTACTCCAGACCGTTCCGGAAGAACGATGTCCCCGTGAGATCCGTCCGGTACAACACATTCTGGCCGCGGTCCGGGTAACAGGCACTGTCCTGGACGTCGCGGAGGTACTTGCTGCCGAGACCGCTGGCGTTGACGAAGATGGACGACTGCGGAAACATCTCAAACAGCTCCTGCAGGGACTCGACTCGTTTCCGAATGAATTGACCGCCGAGTGCCCGGATCTTTCGGCCCAGGTAGGGCATATGTAAGGTCGGGTCCGTGACGATTGTGTCGTAAGACCATCCAGCGCTGAAATGGGGCGGGTACTCCTCCGGACTGAGCTCCCGGAACTACAAACAATTCTCTTTTTAGTATCAGCGTGAACTAAAAAGTCCTGTGTGACCTTACGTTAGAACAGACCGTCCTTCCCCACATCGATGAATCTGGTCCTGGAGGCTGCTCCAGATACTCCAGTCCGTGTACGATGCACACCCCAGAGTCGGGGTCCTCCAGGGCCATGCGGCGCAGGTGTCGATGAGACCTGGCCTGGAGATAGCGATGTTCGGGTGATATCCCGCCTGCGGCATGCCAGGCGGCTCCGGCCCAGGCGGAGGCGTAGAAGATGTCCTGGTCTCCCGGCAGGAACTCGGCCACGATGACCACGGAAAATCCATCGAGAAGGAGCTGACGGGCTGCAGCACAGCCAATGATTCCGGCTCCGAGGATAACGACCTGGCGCTGGGGGTATGGCACGCTTGTGCTGGTCTGGCCTGCGAGGCGGTCCATGATGATTTGGATGACCGGATTCTCACTGATCAAGGTAGCCTAGAGATAGCCAGAGAAAGTTCCCGAGGAACAGGAAGAAAACAACCCGAGGGGGAGGGCAATCAGGGATAACCAGATAACCAGGTCTCGAGGCCGTCGGTTTTATCTACGCCCCAGGAGATTCGCCGAGTGCCGCGTGGACTTTGGTGCATGATAGTATAGTGCAGGGGCGAGTGGAGAGAGCCCCCTCTCTGCGGAATAGCTTCAGGCAAGACGGTCGGCTCTACCCGCTGGGATGGAAGTTCATAGTATGGGCTTGATCGGACGGGCGGGTCATGCCGACAATGGGGTTTGATATTAGATCGATAAGGATCGCGTAATGGAGGGGGGATGGAGGGGGGATGGTGTCGTAGAGATACAGTGGTTGATATATATACTCTGTAATCGATGGTGATGCAGTTTCTCTCCATCTTTTGTAAAACAGGATTGTGGAAGTTTAAACGAGCTATGTGATAAAGAATTGTAGGGTATATTAAGATTAACAAAACAAGAAAACAATAGCGATCAAAAACGTGGATTCCATGAAGCCAATCGAGTAGTAGAAAAGCAAAAAAAGATGTTGACGAGAGTGGGATTTGAACCCACGCCCCTTTCGAGACTGGAACCTTACTCCAGCTGAGTGGTTGTTAGTGATTTGTTTTGGTGCGAGAGATGATGTAATGGGCTACTAACCGCCTTAGACCGCTCGGCCATCTCGCCGTTGTTGAAGGAATGGCCAAGGAAAGGTTTATATTCTAGTCTTCCACGCGACTAATTATATCTTCAAACGACTAGTTATGCACCATGACCGAACCAAGACAACCCCTACGTTTAATCCATGCCTGTGTACTTTTGTACAAGACGGAATAATATCTTATTTGACTATACTTCAGTAGTAATCATGTCTCACATACATACACAGTAAAGACCCTTGCATGACCGTGATAAGATTGATCATGATAGACTTTGACACAAGCTTAAAGCAAATTCTCCGCTACCTTACGGCGTACATCTTCTCTTCTTTCTTTTCTCTTTCTGAACTCCAGACGTCTCCTGTCCACATCGTCGGTAACTCTTGCAGCTCCCATGGCTCGCGCAGGGGATTCTTGCGCCCACTGGACGAGCCACCGTCTGGTGGATCCTGTCGTCGCAATCAAAGTTCAACGATTTTTTAGTCGAGTCTTGTTTTGCCGCCGCGTGGCTGTCGCTTTGCTCGTATGATTGCTGATGCCTGTCAGCCAGAATCCCCTTCTGCTCTGCCTCATCCGACCCGACTGACTGGTTCTCAGGATGACCTCCGTCTCCATGATTCACATTGGATTGGCGTGAAAACCTTCCGATCGTCACTGTTCATCTCATCTCATCAATCTAATCCCAACGTGCACTGACGGACCCCTGAGGATGACCGTCCCGGGTGCGACTGCAGGTCTCCTGAAACCGTCTTCACTAGTGTGATACTACTTGTATAGAACCGCCTCACCAAACGACCATGCCCAATCCTTTTCGGGAGAGGCATCTGGGTTCCGCTGAAGATCTCGAGGACAAATCCCGACCTTCCTCCATTCAGGTGGGTGTGAATCGTATGATCGTGCTGGCTGCCCCAGACGGTGGACACGACGATCCCCTTGAGCATGGAAGAGTCCCGCTAATTTAGTTCGCTGCTTCAACAGGGCGATATCGACCAGGATTCCCCAACCAATGATCCCCCGGCCATCCTCTTGGATCGGGATGCAGCCAAAATCCTTCCCTATGAGGCCGACAATTCTCCCTTCCCCGAAGTGCGTGCGGTCGTCAAACCCACCGACGATGTCTCGACTCCCGTCAACACCGTGCGTATGTGGTTCATTGGCATGGTCTTTACCATTGTAGGCATCCCATGCCCCATGATAAGCATTGTTATATGATAGGCTCACCTCGCACAGGTCGGGAGTGGCTTGAACCAGTTCTTCAGTCTGCGCCAGCCCAGTGTCACCATCAGCGCCCTCGTCGCCCAACTGGTCGCCTATCCGGTCGGATGTGCCTGGGCGCGCTGGGTGCCGTTGGGTTGGTGGAACCCGGATCGTTACTTCAATATCAAAGAACATGCCCTGATCACCATCATGGCCAATGTCTCCTTCGGATCCGCCGCCGCGACCCAGATCATCGAGGCCATGGTCAAGTTCTACCACATGCCCTCCCAGGGCGGATTTGAAATCCTCCTGGTCATCACCACGCAGATGTTCAGTTTTGGTCTGGCCGGTCTCGCCTCGCGCTGGCTCGTGGGCCCGGCGTCCATGATCTGGCCGCAAGTGCTGTCCAATGCCGCCCTGTTGTCGACTCTGCACTCGCGCACCAACTTCGTCGCAGATGGCTGGTCAATCCCGCGCCTCCGCTTCTTCCTCCTTGTCCTCATCGGCGGTATTGCGTGGTACTTCCTCCCCGGGTATCTTTTCACCGGACTGAGTACCTTCACGTTCGTCTGCTGGATCGCGCCGCACAATGTCGTCCTCAACCAGCTGTTCGGCCAGAAGACTGGTCTGGGCATGTCGGTCTTGACCTTTGACTGGGCGCAGGTCGTCTATGCCAACCAGAGCCCTCTGTTGGTCCCGTTCTGGGCGGGACTGAACGTCATGGGCTCCTTCGCCCTATTCTTCTGGCTCCTCTGCCCCATTCTCTACTACACCAACACCTGGTACGCAGCCTATCTCCCTATGCTGAGCCCGGACACTTTCGACAACAGGGGCCGACCCTACGATACCCGGCGCGTCCTGCGTCCGGACGCCTCCGTCGACCCAGACGCCTACCGCGCCTACTCCCCCATGTTCCTCCCCATCGGCTACGCCGTCACCTACGGCGTTGCGTTCGCCAATCTGACGGGCATCTTCGTGCACATCGGCCTATACCACGGCCGCGACCTGTGGGACCAGTGGCACGGCCGCTATCAACAGGACATCCATGCACGGCTCATGCGGGCCTATCGCGACGTGCCGTGGTGGTGGTTCGTCGGCGTCACGGTGCTGATGTTCGCGCTCAGCGTCGTCACCAACGAAGTGTGGGACACCGGCCTGCCGGCGTGGGCGGTGCTGCTCGCCTTCCTCCTGCCCATGTTGTACTTTGTGCCCATTGCCATCATCAAGGCCGTCACGAACATCTCCAGCAACCAGCTGAACCTGATCACCGAGTTCATCGGCGGCTACGCCTTCCTCGGCCGGCCCGTCGCCAACATGGCCTTCAAGTTCTACGGCTACGTCGCCGTCTCCCAGGGCTTGGAGTTTGTCGCCGACATGAAACTCGCCCATTACATGCACATCGCCCCGCGCACGCTCTTCGTCGCCCAAGGCCTGGCCACGCTCGTCGGCGCCGTCGTGCAGTGCGGCGTGACCGTCTTCATGCTCACGCGTATCGAGGGGATCTGCCAGCCCGACGCCCCGGGGGGTTTCTCCTGTCCGCATGGACATGTGACGTATTCTTCCTCGTTGATATGGGGTGCGTCCCCTCCCTCTACACTTGATGCACGGAACTGACCAATGTAGGCGCTCTTGGCCCGGCCCGCAACTTCTCCCCGGGCCAACTCTACGGCAATCTCCTGTGGTTCTTCCTCGCCGGCCCCGCCGTCGTGCTCATCACGTATGTGCTCAGCCGTCGCTGGAAAATCTTCAATTACCTCTCTTGGCCCGTGGCGTTTGGCGCGATGAGCCAGGTACCCCCAGCCACGGGAATCAGCTTCTCCTCCTGGTGGCTGGTGAATGTCATTTTCAATGGGATTATCAAGCGGCGGAAGCCGGCCTGGTGGTCCAAATACAGTTCGTCTTCCCATCCTCTGGAATATTTCCATGCTAACATCTGCAGACTACGTCCTCTCAGCTGCGCTCGATTCCGGCGTCGCCGTCGCTACAGTGTTCATCTTCTTCTGTATCATGCTGCCTGCCGGGCAGCTTATCTGGTGGGGCAATACGGTGTTTATGAAGACGGCGGATGGCAGGGGGACGCCCTGGCGGCCGTTGCCAGAGGAGGGGTTCTTTGGGCCGAGGACGTGGGAGTAATGGTACTTACACTGCTTGTAAATAGGCATATACCGGTAATAGATGATACATTCATATCCTATATACTTGTGGAATTGGCATTGTCTGACCGACAAGCCCAGTCGATGACGCAGTCCCACAACCCAAGACAGCAAATCTACTCCATCCTTCGTCTAGACTGCAGATCCTTCTCACCGGGCTCCCTCTCCCTCTTCCTCTTCTCCGTCGAACCCGTCTGTGGCTGACCCTGCACCAACCTCTCCACCAGCGCAGCAACATACCTCGCCCTGCTCCGCACAGGCGCCATCTGCACCCTCAACAAAGCCCCATACCTCTCCCCGCGGGCCATCCCCTCGAACGCCTCCACCGCACCAGGCGCCGCCTTCAACGCCGCCTCCAAATCGCCCGGAACCGTGACCCCGTCATACGCGCGGTCCCAGCGTCCATCCGCCTTGGCCGCCTCCACCTGCGCCAGCCCCGCGGGCCGCATGCGGCCCTCGGCCAGCAGGCGCGTCGCGGTGGTGACGTTCTTCTTCGACCAGAGGCTCCGCGGCCGCCGCGGTGTGAACCGCATCAGCCATGAGACGTCGTCGTGGGATTTGCTGCGGCCGTCGATCCAGCCGAAGCAGAGGGCCGTTTCGACTGCTGAGGCGGCGGTGAGGGTGGGGCTGGGAGTACCGGGGGATTTGGATTTGGATTTTTTGGTGAGCCGGAGCCAGATTCCGGGGGTTGTGGTGTGAGCGTGTTCGAGGAAGGCTTCGAGTTCTGTCGCGGTGGTGAAGGTGTGGATGGGGAGGTCTGTGGGGAGGGGTTGTGGCATTGTGCTGGTTATGGTTGTAGGTTGTAGGTTGAGGGATGGGATGGGAGGAGATAGGAGGGCTTGGAGGATTATGCAGGTCATCATCATGTGATCGTGCATGGTCTACTCTAAGTCTATAGATTCTTCTATCCTGCCATCGTGATTATATAGTAGTGTCTTGGTGGTAAGGCTGGAATAGCACGCTTGCCCGAGTATATCAACACATCAGATAGAGTAGGTGGTTACACCCCCCTCACCTCCCTCCCCTTGACAAACACTCGCACCATGTTGCGATCATCCCCCGTCATCAAGAACTTCTCAAACACCGTCTCGAGCGAATCCTCCTCCTCCACTGGCGTCATGACCCCATCGACCTCATCGCCCGTTCTCACCAGCACCGCATCAAACTCCATCCCCACCGCAAAACGCCCAACCTTCTCCGCCAGCCCACACACCCTCGCCCCGCCCGCCGTCGCCAGATAGAACCCTTCCGCAAGAGACAGCGGCTTGTCGCGGCCCTCCGTCTGCGTCTCCCTCGCCACGCTCACCATAAACGCCATGCGCATGACATCCAGCATCGACGACGAAAACCCACCCCCACAGTCCGTCCCCAGACCCACCTTCATCCCCCGCGCCAGATACTCCCGCACAGGCGCCACCATGAACTCGTCCATGGTAGTATTGGGCACGGGGCAATGCGCGATCCCACAGTCCAGCGCCTGCACGCGGTCCATCTCCCGCGGCGACAGGTAGATCGCATGCGCCAGCACGCACCGCGAGTTGAGCAGCCCAAACGACTCGTACAGCGCCGTCTCGTCCTGCACCCCGGGGAACAGGCTGCGCGTGAACGCCATCTCCTGCCGCGACTCGTTGAAGTGCGTCTGGATGGGCAGCGCGCGGTACTCGTCGCGCGCCGCAAGCTCGCCCAGCGCCCGGAGCAGCCCGTCCGAGCAGCTGATCGCGAACCGCGGCGTGATCACCGGTGTGACGAGGCCGTGCTCGGCGTCCAGCGCGCGCACCGCCCGGATGACGTGCTCCGTGTCGGAGACCGAGGCCGCCGCCGACTCGTCGACGTACCAGTCGACCGCGTGCCGGTCCATGTTGCATTTGCCCAGCAGGGCGCGCTGTCCCAGCGCGAGACACGTCTCGGCCAGGATGACCGTTGCCGAGGCTTGCCGCGAACTGTAGTAGCAGGCTGTCGTGACGCCCTGTTTGAGGCCGCCGCTCACGCACGAGCGGAAGAGTCGCCGCGCGTAGGCGTCGTCGCTGCAGCGCGCTTCATGCGCGAACGTGATCCCCTCCAGCCAGTTGAGCAGTGGGATGCCCCGGCCCACGCCGCGTTGACTCCATTGGGGAGCGTGAATGTGGGTGTCGATGAATCCGGGAATGAGGAACTCGGCGGGCGAAAGGATGGTGGTTGGGCAGCTGGTGGTGGTGTGGTTGTGCGTGGCCAGGAGAGATTGGATGGAGGATTCGGGGGTCTGCGGATGGAGTCCCTCTATTTTGCCATGTTGGTCAATTATGATCAATGTGTTGGGGAGGTATTCGATTGTCGATGGGTTGAGCGAATGGATTAACGTGCCATAGAAGGCCTGGGGGTGCAGAGTTGGCGACATGAAGGTTTGATGGAGGGAAGAGGACGAAGTGGAAGTGGACAAATTGATAAGCTGATAGGGTATGCGGGGTAATGCATGTACACTCTAGAAACAATAATAAAATAAGTACACGAACGAAACCACCATCAGAGGGTATAAAACGTCGCCATCTCCTCCTGAAACCAATCGTACGAATAGAACAATTGTTCGGCCATGGACGGATCCATCACGGGAATATTGCCTGACCCGTCCACCAGCAGCACGTCGTCCAGCACCGGGGCCAGCGGGACCGGCGGCGCCACCAGCATATGGGGTTGCGATTGTGACTGCGATAATGGTGGAGGCGCCGGGGGTTGGCTTTGCGGTGGAGGCTGGGGCTGATATGCCACCAGATGGCTGAAGATCGTCGTGCTTTGTTGACGGAATGTCTCCGCCAGACGTTCCACCCCCGGCCGCCGTTTGCCAAACTCCTCCATCAGGACGACAACCGCTTGGATCCCCCGGCGCATGGTCTGGTCATCCGGTTGCCAGGGTGGCGCTTGACCGTCCTGTATCGCGCGCAAGTTCTGATGCAGACACCACAGGATCGTGATGCCGGCGAAGTAGATCTGGCTCAGCGTCAACCAGATCCACTTCAATTTGCCTACCGAGTAGCTGTCCCAGTACGACCGAATCACCTGGATGCTCGCGTCGCCACAGCTGATAATGCTCAGAGTATCTGGCGTCGGGTTCCGTGGACTCGGTCGGTACATGAGCAGTACTGTCGTCGCAAATAGATAGTCGTAGTAGCTTGTAGAGTAGAGGAGGGCGGGAGGGTATACGGGAGCCGCGCGTCGCCAATCGTCCAGCTCCTGTCGGAAATGGCGCAGCGTGGCGGTGACTTCGGATGAAAGGGGTGGGGGCTGATTGTTGTACACTGGAGCATGTCCGTCAGTCGCAATTCCTCCTTCAAGTCCCGGATCACTCACGATATCGGTAGATGCGCGAAAAGATCCGACGTAGTCGCACCACCTGCACTGGAATGGTCATGGCACTCGACCCGGGCGCCTCGGTCCAGTCCTCGTTGAACTCGCGTGGCAACCCCACGGTGATGTCCTCGTCCGCTAAGCCAAGAGGTCGTCCTAACGTGCTGGCGATCAGTCGGTCCAGATTGTACAGACTCCAGAAGGCCCGTTTAGCCATCTCCTCTTCCACCAAACTGGCAGCGGGTCGCGCTTTGTGCAGCCCCAGACTGGTGGCCAGCCGCAGTGCGGTACCCAACACATGCCACACGCTCGGACCGCTTGTTGCAAACATTGTATACAAGGCCATACTTAGCAACGCGCGGACGGCCGCCAGGTCCTCATTCTGCAATGCCATCGGAAACGTCTCCTGACTGGCCCGATAGAACTCGATGGCCTGTGCGCCGTCGGCCGACCCGATGATGAGCGAGATGGCGATAGTGATGTGGTAGGTATAGTGGACCTCCGGGGCAACGACGCTGTCGGAGGTATAAAGCGATCGCAACTGCGCGAGGAAATCCCCGCGATGGAGAAAGGGATATTGATAGCCCATACTATCGAAGTACTGTGCGGCTACGCGTTCCGCCTCCGCCAGCGAGGCGAGTCGCAGCACGCGCGGGGTCGAGGCGACGGGACGAGCCACGGACGGTCGACGATGCTCCAGCTGGTCGCGGAAGATCTCGCCGACATTGGGCAATTCGGGTCCCACGGCGGATGGAGACGAGGTAGACGGGCTGGAGGTGACGCCTCCCGCGGCCGTCCCCGGCGCCGTGCGGGAGAGGTTGTCCCGGGTCATCATCAAGGCCGGCACCTGGTACCACCAGTCCGGGTCGCCCTCGCCATCGAGCGGCGTCCCCGTGGGCCGATCGGCGACAGAGATGCCCGTCTTCCGGCGCACCACTTCTTCGAGCCATCGGACACGATTTTGAAGAGTTTCCAGCTGATCACGAGGGACGGAGGCGCTGGCGACCTGAGGGCCGGGTGGTGGAATGGTACATCGCACGCCGGCGCGCGTACAGGCGGAACAATTGGGATAACGAAAGTCACATTTCTTCTTGCGTTTGCGACAGAAATCGCAGGCGGTGGAGACTCTTTTGCTTCGGACGGGGCCCGAGGAGGAAGTTGTTGTTGTTGTGGTGGTGGTGGTGTTGGGGCTGGAGAGGATGGAGGTGGAGGAGATGAGCGGGGGTGCAGCAGCAGCAGCAGCAGCGGGCGACGGCAGGGTATCGAGTCGAAACTTGCCCAGTTGATGACGGAAGTCGGAATCTCGGTGTGTCATGATAGAGAGGAGAGGAAGGGCCAAGCAAGGCGGCTCGAACCGCAGGCCATCATATCGGAAGTTGGAGAGTTGGAGAGAGAAGAGGAGAATTGATCAGGAGGAGAAGTGGAGTGCCAATTAAACTTGGCTTTACCGCGCCACCGGAGGCCTACTACTAAGTATAGTACGGAGTAGGTTGAGCGTTACCAGGCCTGATAAGGGTGTTAATTCAAGAATATTATACAGTATACCTGTATGGAATAGACAATTTGTTTAAGAAGTTGCCTGTATTAGGTCAGATTAGAGTATAGAGGTAACTAGAGTATTCTCGTATTCTGTGCTGTCCGTGCAGATTGCTCTGAGGCATGGGACAACTAGGTATACTGTACATATACAGGTAGTATGCTCTGGTGATAGCTTCCATTACGATAAAAACGTAAATACTGAGAATACTCAGTGAGACACCAGGCACAGTCAGAAATTAATTAATCACATTAGTCTATAACTAAACCGCACGGTGATGCAAATTATCTCATAGAAATCTGACGCACTGCCTCAGGCCACAAGGCTGACTCGGCCCCAATTTGGATGGCGCTGGACAACATCTTTCTTTTGAACAGCAGGAATTCCTTTCATTTCCTTTTCTCTCCGTTTCTCTGCTCCCCTCCCTCTTATGAACAGAGCCAGGGCGCTCCTTAACACAGAACACCCCGTACAGTCATCTCTGCTGAATGCGGAGATGCCAAGCGACTGGATCCGGATATCATCACAACTCCCCTGACTGCGCGCCAATTCTGACGTGGTCTCACTCGCTCGATCGCCTCTCCTTCGATCCCATCTTCTCGCTAACCATTAACTGAGAGAAGATGGCCGAAGAAACCCAGGTCCTCACCATTCAACAGCGCATCGCGGCCTTGAATCAAGCCCAGGCTGCGCAAAGCCCCGACTCCGCCGCGTCGCCGTTCCTGACTTCCTCCAAGCCGACCCCGTTGGCTTCGCGTCCTGCTCCTCGCGCCCAACCTGCCAACAACCATCCGGTGAATACGTCCGCTAACAATGAACCCGAGAAGTCACAGCCACGTCCCGTGCCTCGTGCCCCATCGACCACCCAGATCAGCGTCCAGAAACCTAAGGTGCCCCCGCCTTTACCGGCCCGAGCTCCAGCCCTACCCCCGCGCAGGCCGTCCGAACTCTCGCGCAAGAACTCCCTAGAATCTGTCGCATCAGATGCGTCACGCTCAACATCTACCAGCGCTGGAAGAACCACCGGAACATCGTCGAGTTCCGTCACCTCGGGTGCGTCTTATGGAATCCGCGCGCCGGCATGGGGCGAGGCAGAGCTTCCCGCTCTCCCTCCCAGGAGACAAGATATCAAGCCCCCTCCAAGACCAAAGACAACCGCGACAAATAGCACGAGAAGCGTCTCCCAGTCTCGGCCACCGCTACCTTCCCGCCGCGAGTCGACCAACAGCGTCTCTACCAATGATTCCGCCAGCTCTCGGCCACCGCCTCCTTTGCCTTCGCGGGGGAAGTCTCCCGCTCCCCCTTCGTCGTCCAGGAAGCTTCCTCCGCCGCCGCCCTCCAACACGGCATGGGAGAAGCTCCAGAAATCCGGGTTCGCATCAATCAACAAGAAGAGCGCCGAAAGCACAAACAATACACCGCATTCCAACCCGAACGGAACACCACCGCCGGTTCCCTTGGCATCCCGACCGGATCTCTCCAAGATCCAGGCCACCAAGCCGCGTCTATATTCTTCCAGCCCCCCGGCCACCGTCCCGAACACAGTCTGTCTGAAATGCCGGGATTTTACGGGACCAGACACTCACGCGGCTCGGTACCCACGACAGTCTCTTCCGACGCACGACCTGGCCTGGCTGGCACGCGAGCTGACGGCGCCGTTTCCGTCGTTGACCGACAAAGCCCGCGCCATCTTCACATGGCTGCATCATAATATAGAGTACGACGTACACGCATTCTTTAATCACTGCATACAACCGTCGACCCCGGCCTCGACGCTCGCGTCGGGACTGGCAGTCTGCGAAGGATACGCGAAGCTATACGCTACACTGGCTACCCACGCGGGGCTGGAAGCCCTTGTAATTTCCGGCCACGGCAAAGGCTACGGCTACACTGAACCTGCTCCTGGTGCCGCCGTCCCCCCGCGACGGCCAGACGGCCATGCGTGGAACGTGGTGCGGATCGACCACGGGCAATGGAAGTTGCTTGACGCCTGTTGGGGAGCGGGCTCCGTCCAGGGCGCCGGACAGCCCTACCAGAAGGGGTTCAACCCGGCGATGTTCACCGATACCAACGACGAGTTCGGTCTGCGGCACTTCCCCGCCAACCCCGGGCAGTTTTACCGTGACGACGGTCGTCCCGAGATCAGCTGGGAGGAGTACATCCTGGGCAACCCGAACTCGCCGCTATGCGCTGAGCAGCCACATACTTTTAGCGACGCGGATAAACACTCCATCGGTAAACGATCCTTCCTCCCGGCGGCCAAGCGGATTGCCGTGTCGCAGCCGGGCCCGATACGCTTCCAGTTCGGGCTCGTCTGCGAGCACTGGACGCTAGAGCACCACACTCGGGCCAAGCCGGGGTTGTTTCTGCTGATGATCCACGGGGTGGATGGCCGCCAGGACGACCGGCTGCCCTTGACTCATTTCCCGGGGTCGGGTCCTGCCGGTGGCGGCGCTCTCTGGTATGTGGATGTGCCGAGTGCGCGGATGCTGGGCGCCCCGGGCCAGAAGGTGCAGCTGGCGGTGTTGACCACAATCGGGGACATCCAGGATGCCCGCGGGGTGACTGCGGAGGAATATCGGCGACAGGTAGCCGAGTGGGGATGTCGTGGGGCGTATATTGCGGAGTAGGAGCTGTCTGAAGACTGGGTAGGAGGAATTTGCGGGCTTGGCTTGCCCCTCTCCCTTCCCCCCTTTTTGGGTTGCGCCGGGTTTGCATGAGATGATTTCCATTCCGCATTTTGTTTTGGCTGTGATTACGGTACATATCCATCAGCATTGAGTAATGATAATAATGACTTGATCGAGCTTGAATCGTACAATGCATAGTCCGCGACTGATAGAGAACAGCCTGAAAGGCGTCATTTACAAGCTACGTACATCACCGTATATCGACCTTACCTTTACAGAGTACGTCTCGGACGACAGTACATTTTGGACGAGAAAACGCCCGTGACGACGGTCAGACCATACGCTAGGCCAAGCGATGATGTAGGACAAGAGATTGGCAAAGCCCTCGTCCTCAGATGACATGGCAAGGATGAAAGAGAAGCTTGGTCTAAGCCTTGGTGGCTGCACCAGGATGTCGGCAGGAGCGTTAGGGGCCGGACGGCTGACCAGGGGTCGGTTAATAGGGTTGGAATTCTGCCGATATTTGCCCTGGAGTTGATGATCGGATGAATTTTCACGCTCCTTAATTAGCGGTCTGGTCTATAACTACCAACCAAGTACTACTAGTACTTGGCCGTTCCATGAGGGTGTAGATTGTCTGGGGGTAACTATCCCGGATTGGGCTGCTGTGAGGCATTAATTCCATGGACAGATGGCGCTAATGGCCTGGACGATTTAGGGTCCTCCGTATATGGATCGACACAGAACTGTCTGGAGTTGCCGTGAGACATTCGAATGTATGTAAGTCTGAGTTTACCCACTTGTCTGACTGCGTGGTAGAAGCAGACATAGGTAGTAGGTATGTTTACTCCGTATAGATGAGGTTGAGAGTTACTGTAGATTGATGCCTGAGATGCGTGGAATCCATAGGGGTCTTATGTAAGAAAATCCCTCGTGGCTTCTGGTTGGTGGGTATTCGCTTCTGGAAAAGGCTAGTGGAATGGGGCTCTGGCGGGCCGTCTTCCAATCAGCCGCCCTCGGTCTTCCTTCTTTGTTTTCTGCTTTTCCGGAGTTTGTTTCTCTTCTGTTTTCTACTCCAGACCATCTTCGGATTCTTCTGCCTTCGCTGCCTCCTGCATCCAGCCCGGCCTCATGATTATGGGTCCTCTGAAATTTTCCCACGCTTTCCCCGTCCCAAAGTCCATCTTCTATTGGCTGGTCCACTTCAGACCATCTCACATTGACTGAACGTTCCACGGGTCTGCTTCCCCTTCTGGGGTATTGGTCCAGGGTCTCTCTCTTTTGCCCTGAACCCCAAGAAAAAGAGGCAAATTAACTTCTCTGACCATGAAACAACGCTACCAGACTCGTCTGCTAATTGGCCCTCGTCTGCATCTTCTCCCCGAGGCCTGTTAGGTAGAATCTTCGGGATCGGCCATGATGTCACGAGAATCCTTCGGGTGACCCGTCCACACAACACAGCAGGGATGATTCGAGTCCGTCGCACCGAATCGGACAGCTCCTGAACCCGAACTAAGCATCCTTTTTGCGACACCTGCGACAGGTCACGCCGAAGCGCTGAGAGCTGACCGCCATCAACTGCGGCGCTGTGCTGTGCAGGCATGCCGGTGCTGTGCGCCACTGCCGGGAATGGCAGCCTACCCTGCCGATCCGTGCTGATTCGGCCTTGTTCCAACTACGGCGTAGGCGAATCCTCCGTCTTGGTAACACCATCATCGGCCCATCACCTCGTCGTTCTCGGCCTGATGGCTCCATTTTTCCTTACCTTCATTTTTCTCCGCTTAATTTAATTTTCTCTGGGTTTCCCCCCCTCGGTCTGGTGGAGAGGATGACACTAGTGTCACCCGCGTGCGCTGGTTTTTCCCCGGATCCCTCCACGGTCGAACTCGGGCTCGTCAAACTACCCATCCCCGTACAATGGATGGAGTACAGCCAACCCAGGCCAATCTGGCTTGTGAGATCTCCTCCTATACCCGTCTGATGTTGCATTCGGCCATTCCGGTGGGTAGTATTCAATATTCACATACTCTCCGTTGGTCCTTTGTGATCTACCTGTATCTCTCCAATATTCAGTCATGGAGATGCCTGGCCTCATCCTCTTTCAAACTCCAACCAAGTCTACTCCGGAGTCTCTCCGGACGAAACCATGTGTTACTTGCCATCGGCTTACCCCGTAAAGTCCACCTTCTCCAATGGACATCCCGTTCCATGCCAACAGAAACGGCTGGCCGAGGAACCATGTCCGTGACATGCAACTCGGTCCTTGGCGCGCATTTCGGCTGCCATCATCCTGTCTGCATGCAGCAATAATTGGGAACCCGAAAACGCATGGAGTGGTCAAGCCGTCTTTCGCGGGATGCAAACTAATTTCGTCTGCCACGGACCCCTCCGTGGTCCCCATCCCGTACATCGGGTCGGCATTGGACGACGCCGTCGCCCGCAAAAAGATTAGTACTCGTATCATTATTTATTTTTTTTCCCCTTCCTCATGTAGTTTGCTGCCCCGTCTGGTCGGTTAGATTTAACCGGTCCGCATCTCCTCAATCTTTTAAATTCCCCATATGCCCCCGATCGTCCCTTTCGTTTCTCTTTTCTTCGACTGTTCGCGGCGACTGGTTTCTCCCCAAGCTGGTCCTCTCTCTCTATCCCTTCAAGTAAGAGTGGACCTGTAGGCGCAGGTCTCCCTTCACCATGTGGCAGATCGGGAACATGTATGCCATTGCGGCCATCGCCGTCATCGGTGGTGGCCTCTTTGGTTTCGATATCTCTTCTATGTCCGCTATTATCACCACTGAGCCCTATTTGTGCTACTTCAACGAAGGCCCTATTGAATACAAGGATGGAAAGCCCAATTGCAAGGGTCCTTCGGCTGATGTCCAAGGTGGTATCACCGCCTCGATGGCGGGTGGCTCTTGGCTGGGCGCTTTGTGCTCTGGTTACTTCTCCGATATCTTTGGCCGTAAGCATTCGATCATGATTGGTGCTGTGATTTGGTATGTCTCCCGATCTCTCTTTTATCGTCTCCATTTTCTGATGGTCGAACAGGTGCATTGGTTGTATCTTGGTCTGCGCTTCCCAGAACATTGCCATGTTGATCGTCGGCCGTGTCATCAATGGTTTCAGTGTCGGCATCTGTTCTGCCCAGGTCCCTGTCTACATCTCCGAGATTGTATGTCTTCCGAGAACCGCTTTTGTGTGGCCAACGCTAATGTTCATCGCAGGCTCCCCCTACTAAGCGTGGCCGTCTGGTCGGTCTCCAGCAGTGGGCTATCACCTGGGGTATCATGATCATGTTCTACATCTCGTACGGATGCAGCTACATCAAGGGCGTTGCCGCCTTCCGTATCCCCTGGGGCCTTCAGATGGTTCCTGCCATCCTTCTTTTCCTCGGAATGTGCCTCCTGCCTGAATCGCCCCGTTGGCTCGCCCGTAAGGACCGCTGGGAAGAGTGCCACGCTGTTCTCACCCTGGTTCACGGCAAGGGTGATCCTAACTCTCCCTTTGTCCTGCGCGAGTACGACGAGATCAAGGCCATGTGCGAATTTGAGCGCCAGAACGCCGACGTTACTTACATGGAACTACTCAAGCCTAACATGATCAACCGTACCCACATCGGTGTCTTCACCCAGATCTGGTCCCAGCTGACCGGCATGAACGTCATGAGTATGTTTGAACCCACGATTCCTGTTGGCGCATCCCTAAGCTGACACGATACCTCTCTTTTAGTGTACTACATTACTTATGTCTTTGCGATGGCCGGCCTGGAGGGCAACAATCTACTTGTTTCCTCCAGTATCCAGTACGTTATCAACGTGGTGATGACCGTCCCCGCCCTGCTGTGGGTCGACCGCTGGGGTCGCCGTCCTACCCTTATTATCGGGGCCCTGTGCATGTTGACCTTCTTGTTCGCCAACGGCGGTCTGATGGCCTCCTACGGCCACGCGGCGCCCCCCGGAGGTTCCGGACCCGCTGCTGCGCAGTCCTGGATCATTCGCGGCCCCGCCAGCAAGGCGGTCATTGCCTGCACCTATCTCTTTGTCGCCAGTTACGCCATTACCTGGGGACCCGTGTCGTGGGTGTACCCGCCTGAGTTGTTCCCCCTGCGTGTGCGTGGCAAGGCCAACGCGCTGTGTACGTCCGCCAACTGGGCCTTCAACTTCGCTCTCGGCTACTTTGTCCCGCCCGCCTTCGTCAACATCGAATGGCGTGTCTACATCGTCTTCGGTGTGTTCTGCACGGCCATGTGCATCCATGTCTTCTTCATGTTCCCGGAGACTGCGGGTAAGACTCTCGAGGATGTCGAGCAGATCTTCACCGATCCCAACGGCCTGCCGTACATCGGTCGTCCCGCCTGGAAGACCCGCAACGAGGTGTCACGTGCTGTGATGATCGAGCAGGTTGGGTTCGACGATGAGGAAAAGCGTGCTGGCAGTGTTACGGTGCATGATGAGCATACGGTTTAACGAGGCATTTGACGAAAAGATGGGAGTATAGACGTCACGTGAGCACAGGGAGGGCCGGGTGCCCGTTGACCTGTGCTGTGTATATTATGTTTTTCTTTTCTTCTTTTTCTTTAGACATTGGCCCTTCCTGGTCATGTTCATATATACATTTTGAGTATCTGATAGTGTCGTGAAATACAGAATCTACTCCGTATAGACACCTTTCTGATGCCTCGGTCAAATTCCTGTAGATGAGTGGAGTGCCGATCGGTGGAGATTTTTTCCTACCCCTGGACGGGCCTGAAGAGGCAACTGGCCGGTCAGGTGAAATTTCCCTTTACTTAACTTTCCCAGGCTCATTTCGTATCACGAATCCCTCTCGACTACTGCTTCGCTCCCTCAGCCACTCCTTTCCCCCGTCGCATTGAGCAGTTTCTTTTCTGTTCTTTTCTTCTTCTTCTCCTGATTGAATTACTTCTCTTTTCTTTCCCCTCATTCTTGCATTCCTTTCTGTCCGGAGTTGTCCGCGTGTTGGAGGTCCACGTTGATTGCTTGACTTCCTTGGACATTTCAGGAGCCCTAAACACTTAGCGCCATAGAACGATCTTAGCGTGTTAATTTCCCTCTTGTCCCTTCGCCACCATGCCTCGTGTCCGGAGAAAGTCGAGCAACTTGGGCGCAGACATTCGCGGTGACACCAGCGCTCCCGCCATGTCCACCATGAACGAGTTCAGTCCAATCGAGCCCCAGGCGCCCAAATGGGATCAGGTATGGTTCTTGAATGGGGGATCGGATTAGATGTGTTCCGTTCTAATGCAATGCTCCAGGTCGCGCCGTCTCGTTCGTCCTCCAAGTCGCAGTCGAAGCGTCGCAAGAGTCGGTCTCTCCTCCGTCGGTTTAAGGATAATTGTCTCAAGCACACATGGCTTCTTCCCCTCCTGATCTTGGTCGTTCTCCTGTCGGCCTACGCCGTCAACCCCACGCCTTCCAACCCCCTCCATAGCGCCATCTTTCTGTCCTACCCGCAACCTCCGAAGACCCCCGGCGGCCCCGTGATGTATGGGAAAGGCCCCAAGGATATCGCGTTCGTCGCGTTCTACACCATCGTTCTGTCATTCACTCGGGAGTTCTTGATGCAGCGCATGATCCGGCCGCTCGCGGTGTGGTGTGGCATCCGCGGCAAGGGCAAGACTGCCCGGTTCATGGAGCAAGTGTACACGGCGATCTACTTTGCGATCTTTGGTCCCTTCGGCTTGTACGTGATGAGCCGCTCCGACATCTGGTACTTCAACACGACGGCCATGTTCGAGGGCTTCCCCCACCGTGAGCACGAGGCGCTGTTCAAGGCCTACTACCTCCTTGAGGCGAGCTACTGGGCTCAACAGGCCATCGTGCTCATGCTGCAATTGGAGAAGCCCCGCAAGGACTTCAAGGAGCTTGTGGGACACCACATCATCACCCTGGCGCTGATCGGCTTGAGTTACCGGTTCCACTTCACCTACATGGGCATTGCAGTGTACATTACGCACGACATCTCCGATTTCTTCCTTGCGGTATGTCCCAGTTTTGTTTCGTCTGATCGCTTGCTGATCTGTGGTAGACCTCCAAAACCTTTAACTATCTCGATTTGGCTATTACCGCTCCCTACTTCGGCGTGTTCGTTGGTGTATGGATTTACCTTCGCCATGTGCTGAACCTCAAGATCCTGTGGGCGGTTCTGACGGAATTCCGCACCGTGGGACCCTTTGAGTTGAACTGGGAAACGCAGCAGTACAAGTGCTGGATCAGTCAGTACATTACGTTCGCCTTACTGGCCAGTCTGCAGGCGGTGAATCTTTTCTGGCTCTTCCTGATCCTCCGCATCCTCAAGAACTACCTCTTCACCAACGTGAAGAAGGACGAGCGCAGTGAAGACGAGGACTCTGAGGAGGAAGAAGAGACGACCGCTCGTGCGACGGGTGTGGAGTCGTCCTCGATGACGGCCCGCAATGTGGGCAAGGAGAACCAGGCGCCGCAGGTGCTGGTCAACGGACAGCCCCTCCACTCGAGCAAGAAAGACTAGTGGAGCGCTCAATTCGTTGCGATTGGCCCTGAACTTGCTTATATTGAAGATACTGCTTTCCTGCGGGTGTGGCTGGGCGACTACATCCGGAGATCTTGTCTTGCATCTGCCTGGGTCGATTCTCTGCATCGCCCATTTTCTTTGTTTTATATATTCGGTCATCTGATGTCTGTCGTGACGCAGCTGAATGGATATAGTGATGATTGTATGAGAGGTACCGGACGCAGCTTGTTATTACATCTAATCATAATAGAGTACGATTCTTCACTACTGCTGGGACTGGATTTGATGAAGTGTCACAAGCGTACGCGTAATCTTGGCAGGGGCTTGCACTAGATACTTGCATCCGCCGGTGAGTTCACGCCTATTATTGCCCATTTTTGATCCTACCGAGTCATCATTTGATGTATGCTAGATGTACACAGTGTACCGATGAAGCGCAAGCGCAATTACCCACAGCAGGATCCCATCAAGGCCCGAGCAAGTACCATCCTACCTTGCCCAACATCAACCCCGCGAGCCAAGCCCACACTACTCTACGGAGTAGACAGGTCTAGGCCTGCGGCCGTTCCGGGGAAACGCTCCCCTTCACCTTGACAGTCTCGGTCTCGCCCTCGCCCTTTTCGCTCTTCCCGGGCTCGTTCACGTACGGGTTATCCGAGCGGCCCCTGTCGACCTCCATGGTTGTGCGGCCGGGGTTTTCAGGGACGTCTTTGGACGATTCCTCCTCCCCTTGCTGCTGCGGCTGCTCCTGCTGCTGCGTTTAGCATCTATCCAGTACGGTCCCAGGGAAGGAGACATACCGAAGTTACCTTCTGCTCCGCATCACGGTCTGGCTGCGGTGCGGACTCGCCGGCGGGGGCGTGGGCTTCTTTTGGGGGCCCGTGGTCATCGTGGCTGGCGTGGTGTGCTTGCTTTTGCGGTCTGTTCTGGAGGAGATAGTAGAGGCCGGGGCCGAGGAGGGTGGCGGAACCGATCATCCTGTGGCATTGTTAGCGGGAGCTGTTGTGGTGGTGAGGGAAGGGGGTGAGGCTGTAGGTGTAGGTGTAAGTACCAGGGGAGATTGCTAGACGCCTGGACACCATGCGATGCTGATGCATAGGTTCGCCGGGCGAATTGCTGCGTGGGACGGCGGGTGGTGGTGCGTGCTGGACGGAGGGCTGAAGCACGGAGGAGATGTGCGCGTGAGAAGGACATTGCTGCGTTTTGAGAGCTGATGGTGGATTGGATTTGTATGGAGGTGGTATGAGAAGGTTAAAGGAGAGTTGAGCAGCGATGAGAAGAGAAGAGGAGAAAAGAGGGGATGAACCTGCAGCGCAGGTACCTCGTGGTACATATACGGCATCGGGATCTACGAGGACTGGTGGTGTCACTGCTCGTACCAACGATGCATGACGGGAGCTGCCGGGGTGACATCATCCCTGCCCCCGTTCATGGACCGCTTTGGCCAGGTTTTATCCCATCACTTTCTAGTACTTCTGCTGGGAATTATCTGGAGTTACCTGTGGCGGGGAGATATCCGTGGCTTGCCGCGTGTGCCATTATATCACTATGCGCGCATGTTGAAGTATTCAACTTTCCTCCTTGCTCAACAGCTCTTCCTTCTTTAGCTCTGGCTCTTCGCTAGTAGCTTCGCCACATCGCCAATTGCACGTGGCCGATCTAGTAAAATGCATTATAGCTTCAGATGCGGGAGAAGCGCCGTCTTCTTGCTCGAAAGTCGAAATAGAGCCATTTCTACAAGTCGCGTGAGCGTAGGCCGCCAATGCTCATCTACTATATCCAGATGCTGGTGGACTATGTAAGAGAAGGCGAGACCTCAGCTGGAGAGCTCTTTTGTGGAATATATATAATATTTTCTCTTTCATTTAGCTCATCTTAGAGTCGTTGGGACATAGCTGGATAGAACAACAGCTTATATAGTTCCCTCAAATTCTGCCTCAGGCCGCACTCTTCCCCGCCTCACCACCTCATCTAATCTTGCTTCGTGAATCATCTCCAACTTTCTCCTCCACTCTTCCTTATACCCTCCACTCTCTGTCCCCTCCACTTCATCGCGCATAATCCTACATACTCCCTAATCTCCATACTCAATCCCCGAAACCATGGCCGACCGACAGGCGGTGCAGCAGAACCTCAACGGGCTGCTGTCGAAGCTCGATGACCCCGACCCCGATATGCGCTACATGTCTCTCAATGACCTTCTCGGCATCCTCAACAACCCCAATTCTTCTTTCCTGTCTCATGATCAGTTCATGTCCACCCGACTGGCCGACGGTCTTCTTAAAGCCCTCGACGACCAGCATGGCGATGTCCAAAATCAAGCATTGAAGTGGTGAGTGCGGAGAGCGCTCCCGCATCCACTCCAACGTCTAACGCGCGTATCATCCAGTCTCGGGCCTCTCGTTGTCAGACTACCCTCCGATAATCTATCCTCGATCCTAGAGAAGCTCTCCACCTTGACCGCATCCCAAACCATCGACACTTCCGTCCCCAACACGGCCCTCCGAGTTATCGTGACCGCCCTTCCTCGACCTCAGTCTGGACAGCCCGCTAGTACCGAAGCTTCGGCCGCGTATTCGTCCGTTTCTCGGGTCCTGATCCCTCGTCTGGTCGGTCCCACTCCGTCTCCGACAGGTCGACGGGGGTCGGTGGTCAAGGGAATGCTCGAGAAGGATACCTCGAAGGGCTTCAGCAGTGATGCAATTGACGTGCTCATCCAAGTCGTCACTTGTTTCGGTCCATTGCTGAGCGAGCAGGAGCTGACCGATCTGAAGAACTCGGTGATGACAATTATTGACAACGACACTGCTGGAACTGTGGTCACGAAACGAGCCCTGGCGGCTATCTCCGCTCTGGTCCTCCATTTCTCGGATAATCAGCTGAACGAGTTTGTGGGCGAACTTGTACAGCGCTTCCAGTCCCCCAGTGTTGTGCACCAGCGGCACCTCATCGCGACAGTCGGCAGCATTGCGAGAAGCGTACCCGCCAAGTTCGGTCCTCACCTGCCGGTTTTGGCACCTTTCGTTTTTTCTGCAGTTGACGAAACTGATCTAGCGCAAGTATGCTATGAACAGTCACTCTTCCAATGGATGAACCGTCGCTAATCCTCGCAGTAGACGATCCCAAGCCCCCCAACCTATACTGTCGCCTCGGCTGCTTGAATGTTGATGGAGAACGAATGTCATATGCACTTGCCAGGTGGGCTTGCAACACCAGCCGTCTGGTGAGAAAAAATTCTCAGAGATACCGGGCCAGGCGCCCTTTACACTGAGCGATTCGGCGACGCTTTACGTCCATTTTATTGTGATAAGATATCAAGACCTAATGACGCAAGCCAGAAACGAGATGAATGAAAACTCTTTAGATCCCAGGATCTTTCCTCGGTCGACGTAGAAGGAGCCGTCATGGCCGTTTCTATGCACTTTCCCTGCTATACTCCCCTGGATGGTACCTTCTCAATCCCTCCCACCTTAGGCCCATATGATAATAAACAATGGATTCCAACTTCTCCTCTCTTCCTCCCTCTCCACAATCTCTTCACCATAAGTATTGCAGCACATCTGGTACCCGTTCTTTACCACCTTTACGTTGCATCGTCCTAGGCCCTGCATTATTCTATCAACATGCATCTTCGACTTCTATCTTGCCTGGCTCTTATGACACGGATAGCATCTGGCCACTTTCATGAGAGCGCCCCCTACACCCCCGACGCTGGCATTTCTCGCGGACTTGAACCCAGCGCTGTTTTAAATGGGTTGTTCGACCGTGCTGAGGCACTCTGTGGTCCTGGAGTCGGAAACTGCTCAGACGGGAACTGCTGCTCTAAGGCCGGTAGGTGTTCCACCGTGTTAATGTATGGCCAATGTTAACTTTCAGAGACAGGATACTGTGGGAAGACCTACAGTCACTGTGGTTGGCCAATCTGTCAGACTGAGTACGGCCGCTGTGATCCTCCAGTACCTCCCAGAGGCCCATCGACAGACATCATTTCTCGTCCCAGACTCGGCAAAGTCCCATATGGCCCGCTGTCGATTCGCTCCTGCACCGTCCCAGGGACCGTCGCTCTGACCTTCGACGATGGTCCCAACAAATACACCAGCGCCTTCCTCGATCTATTGGACAGATTCGATGCTAACGTGACTTTCTTCATCACTGGCAATGAGAATGCCAAAACCAACGGCGTGGGGAAGATCGACTCCGAGCCCTCATCTACTTCAATCCAACGCATGCACACGAGCGGTCACCAAATCGCCAGTCACACCTGGTCCCATCTGGACCTCAGCGTGATGTCCAAAGAGCATCGCCATCCTCAAATGATCTGGAACGAGATGGCTCTTCGCAACATCTTGGGCGGATTCCCGACCTATATGCGCCCGCCATATTCCAGCTGCACTGGCCAGTCGGGATGCCTAGATGACATGTCCGAGTTGGGGTATCACATCATCTTGTATGATATTGATACCGAGGATTTCCGTTACAACGACCCGGCCTCAATCCAAAAGTCGAAAGATATCTTCGACAAGCATATCGACCAGAGCAAACATCTCCAGAAGCCATGGCTCGTCATTGCCCACGATGTACACGAACAAACTGCTTTCAACCTCACCGAGCATATGCTGAAGAAATTGTCGGCTTCTGGTTATCGCGCTGTGACTGTGGGCGATTGTCTCGGGGATCCCAAAGAAAACTGGTACCGGACAGATCCCCGCTACATTAATGGTCTTCTCTCGGGCCCTTCATCTCATCGCTCGCAAAAGATTTCCAGCGATCCAATTGTCCCCTATACCGGGCCGGATGACACACCGTCGCACCCTTCACACAAGCCTCCTTCGAATAAGTCTGAGGGTGCTGCGCTGCGAGCTGGATCATTTTCCGCGGGTCTGGCCTTGTTGTTTAGTGTGGCTTTGATGGGATAGGACTCATTATCTATGGGTTTGTGGCGTTTCTCTTTATTCGTTGCTCGATGAGCTTATTGTTGATACATTTTATACTGGGTTGGAGTTCTTGGTCCTCATTCACTTTTGACTCGTTCAGTTTGTAGGGTAGCCAGCTCGAGCGGCTGAATTAAAAATGTGTTTTTTTCTGATTCGATTCAGGGGACTTTATAAACATGGAACAACAAGTAGCAAGTTCGTATCATTCCTAAGGAAATTCTTTTCATCGCTAGTAGTCGGACCGCTGAAATAAGATATAATACAGGATAATGGTATAATCCAGCAACTCATACGCTTCGTAAATGAAGAATGTAACACGAGTACACATATGCAGTAGTAAGGTGCGTGCATATGTAGTTCCGGCATGATAATGCAACATATCGCATGAACACCTAGATGAGATCAAAGGTGAACAGCACGAAACAGACAGAATCAGCGTCTGACAATTTTCAGAAGCGGAGCAATTCGTGCCCTTCGACTTAGCCCAACACGATAGGGCACCTTGCTTGTAGTGGATATGGGGCTGTGCTTGGTAGGCCCTTTATTAGACATTGATAAAGGATCGGGGGTTTGTGGTTCTGACTTCTTCGGCGTCACGGGTGGTGCATTTGGCGGGTTGTGTTCGGTTTTGGTAGGAGAGGAAGGCTGAAGGTCTGGAGGGAGTTCGGTATTGTTCGTTGTCGATTCGTCGGGTACAGTCTTGTCGGCGTCCTCAGGGACGACTGGTGTTTCTGGTTCTGTTTGGACCGGTTCTGCAGCTGGGTCTGCGGATTTTTCTTCTATGGGTTGCTCGGAGGTTTTCTTTCTCTTGCGGCCGCGCTTTCCGGGCGCAGGAGCAGGTTCGGGGTTTGTTTCGGATGCGACTTCGACGGTGTTGTTATCAGGTAGAGCGTAATTGTTGGGCTCGTCGGCCATGATGTTTGCGGGCCGTTCGTCAACCCATATCACGTCATCTTCGACGTCGGATGCGTATGTCTTGTGCAGCGTTAGAGATGTGGTTTTTCCGCGCTTGATCTTCTTTTTCTTGGGTTCCCTGGTTGTCGGATTGGGTGGTTCTATTGGGATGGTGACTGTTGGTTGTTCCGCCGTGGCAGACGCGCCATTTTGTATGGTTTCTGGTTGAGGGTCAGTCTCGGCGACCGCATCCGCAGCATCCTCCGTCTCCTTTTTCGCATTCTTTGGCGGCCTGCCTCGCCGTTTCTCCGGCAGGTTTGGAACCACAGATGTAGCGGTGGTTGTGGCTGGCTGGGCCAGTTCGTCATCTTCGTCAGCGTCCGGTAGACTCTGTTTCTTCTTCCGTCCTCTTTTCTTCTCTACAGGCGCTGGGGGTATTTCGATGGTAACTGGAGGTGGAACGGAGAGCTCTGCGATGCTCTGGGTCAGCATGGATTGCTGGAATTCGGCCAGGGCATTGTCGCTTCTTGCTCGGATAATGGAGGAGTTGGGTTCTGTGTCGTGGGGAGATGAGATCATTTCGCGTGCTGAGTTGCATCTCCGTGGGCTGGGGTGTATGCGTTCGGGACCTGTAGGGTTGTGCAAAGGGAATGGGTTGCTCTGGTCGTAGGACGTCGTAGACGGCTGGAGGGACGAGTCGAAATAGATTGTAGGATGGAGCGGAGCGGCTGTCGTCGTTGCCTGAGAGGATGCTGTGGGGTTGGGCGTGGGCGTCGAGTTGCTGGGGGTAGGGCGGGCCGGGATAGCCATTGCTTGGTCCGTTCGTGTACGGAATGGTAGGGGGGCAGCTGGCATCCGGATGGCTGTAGTGTATACTCGGCACGTCCGGGCCGGGGTGATTTGCATGGTATGTCTCGGTCCCCTCGTGGAAGCCATTCTGCACATCCACATGCACTGCGTGCTGGTGGGCATGGGCATGGGCATGATGCGCCTCCTCTTCGTCAAAGAGGCGTTGCTGCGCGAGACCAATCTCGTTCATCATAGTACCTGATACGGGTTGCGATCATCAGCATCAGTGCTCCCAAGGCGGTTGAGAATATCACGCGACACGCACCGATTGACCCGCCCTCACCGTTGGCGGGAATCCATCTCTCCTCCCTCCGCTGCTGCGATGACGTGAGTCGTGGCTGGGCCGCTTCCTGCGACTGCAGGAACTCGTCAAAGTTGACTGCGATCTGGTTGCTTGCGCCGGCGGATTCGTCGTCTACTGCGTCTTGGTTCGCGGGGTTTTCATTGTCGCGTGCTGGTTGTGGTTCTTGCGGCCTCGCGGGGGGAGGAAAGTCCGCGGCCAGCGGATCATCCTCGTCGTCGGAGTCCTGGATCACGCGATCCCAGGTCATTTGTACTGGTTGGACGAATATGTTGGAGAATATAGGGATTATGTGTGCTGTGAATAGCAGATCGGACTGGAGTTGGGGATCTTATCGGACGCGATGGTGACGCGCTGGCACGTGATGATAGGACTACAGTATGGGCTAGGGCAATCAACATCAACTGAATGGGTATGGATAATCGCAGATTGCAAGAAATATCATTCAAATACAGAAAAGGCAGAGGTATCATGATCAATAGTTGCATGCGTCATTATTCCATGGTGCTCTGCGGCCGCATCACACCCCGTCCGAAGAATTCACTAACCGTGCCGAAGCGGTCCTTCGAACGCTGCAGTTCGCCTTTGAAGAGTTCGTGCTGATCAGCTGACTCCACCTGTCTCCGTCGAATTGCCTTGATGGTGGAGTTCTCCGGGGCGCAGACCGGACATTCGGCGTCCTCATCTACTTTGTTGAGGCAGCGTTGGTGGAAGGAATGCTTGCACAGGAAATGTACTGTAGGAAGGTCGAGGGCTCCGCCGCAGGACATACACCGTCGAGCTTGGAAGACGACGGGCTTGCTTCCCAGCTGTTCCAGTTCCTGCCTCTTCTTTTCGGTTTCTGTGCTGTAGCTCTTGATTAATCGCCGATTCTAGGAAGGTGTTAGCTTTGGCCAGGAGGTTCTAGGAGCATCCGGAGAAACCAACCGATGAGATCTCCTTTCGTTCCCGCTCAATGTTCTCGCTCAAGTACTTCTTCACTCTACCCATTGTCACCACCGCATTGTTGCTCAGTGCCTGAATGACCTGGAGCGGAGACATGAGTCCGTCGTCGTGGATCCGTTTGAGTACAACATCCAGTTCTTCTCCCGCCTCTTCGAGGATCGCCGGGCTCGAAGCAAAGTACGTTAAAGCGTCAATATATAGTTGCGGCTCTTCCGGTCCATACTTCTTCAAAGCCTTGATGGCTCCACGAGTATCTTTCGCAGACGTGAATGAGCGGAAGATATCTGAGCGGAGGCCTTCCTGTTCCCGCACGAGCGTTGATCCCTCGCGGAAGCCCGAGAGATCCGACAGTAAGAGGACGCTGGAAGTGGAGATTGGGATCTAGCCGGCGTTAGTTTAGCAAAAATGGAATGAACCACGGTTGACATACGTCTTTTCCTTCGATGAGCTTTTTGGCTTTGTTCTCCCACTCTTGTTTTTCAGCAGAGTCTTTCTGCCGAGAAGATGCATCCAGATACATCTCAAACAGAGTAGTGTAAAGATCCACCTTGTCCTCCTCTTTGAGCGTCTCCTTATTGATGAGAGCCTCGAGAAAGGTGATGAATTCTTGCGGATGACCCACAAATGCGGAGAATGCCGTTCGTGGTTTCGGAGGCTGGTACTGGGACACGGCGTGATCTACTTTGTCTTCCTGAGTGGACTGCGGTTCGACAGCCTCAGACTTTGCTCCAGCACTTGAATTAATGAGAGAAAGGGGGAGAAATGCCGCCAAACTTTGCAAATTACTGCCTGACTGCGTCTGTGGCTCGGGCGGTAATTCGACCTCTGTTCTAGGCTTGTACTGTCCTTTGTAATATTCAATGAACAGCTCGGTGGTTTTCTGGGGACAATTGGACAGCAGGACCCGAGCATATTTCATCAAGTTATCGTAGGCCTGTGATACTTAGCACAATACGTATGAACCAGGAAGTATCCACATACCAGTTCGGGGTCCAGTCTCCAGATATACTCGACCGCTTCCGCATACTTCTTAGAATCCTCAACGAGAATGTCGACGACCATGTCATTCTCGCCATATTTCGTAGCCAGGTAAGCAGCTTGTTCGTAGTACCCGCCTTGCCGACACATTGCGATGGCGGTTTCCAGATCGAACTTGAGCTCCCCAGGAGCCTTAATGAACGCATCTAGCTTGCTCGTATCTTTTAACTTGGCGTAGCAATTGAGAAGCAATGTTGTATGGTCGACCGTAGCCTTGTCGTGATCGTGCAGTTCTTCGAGATACTCAATCAGGTTGTGGATGCGTTGCGTGTCGAGATACTGTTCCCGTTAGCATAGCGCATTTGAACTGGTTCGATATGTCGCCTCGCCAACCTTGCGAATAATTTGTGAAGGTTCTGTATTGTCAATAGCCCGAAGGTATTGCTGCATGGCTGTGTCGTAATCTCCTTTCTGGTAGAGGAAGTCGCCATACTTTCGGTAAATCGCATTCTGTTGCAGGGTATCGACGCCTTTCTTCTGTGCCAGGTTGATCGCTAGGATGTAGAGGTTCCGCTGATACAGAATCTCCAATTTCTGCTGTAGGCTCTTCTCACGATAACGAAAGATCTGGCAAGGTCAGCCAATCATCCAAGAATTTTAACCCCACACATACCTTGCCGTCTGTCGTCAGAAGAAACAGATCCCCCCACTCCATGAATACCCGCTTCACGGAGGAGGCCACGGACTCCGAGTGAGCAATGAACTTGAGGTCCGTGTCCAGCAGCGTAAATGTGGTCGTATTAAACATGCCGTCAATCGGCAGGTTTTCAAGCGAGCCACCGTTCGGAGACCTCACTTTCGGAGGACATACTAAGGCGATATAGTCCTTGAATATAGTGAGAGAGCTCTTGTTGCTCTCGAACGCATAACTGGGTCCACGCCCGTGCGGCCCATATGTGTAAATCGCATCCTCTCTGGCAACAAGGACATCGCCCGTAAAATCATCCAAGGCCATGCAGCCCACCGCACAGCCTGTATCCTCAAGAACCCGTGCAGGCTGGCCCTGTACTCGGCCCGAGATGGCCAGTGCTAATATCCGGTTCGTTGTCGAGATGTACAGAGTGCCCGCTGATCCACTTTGCATCTCCAGGCCGGTTACCGGTTCTTCTGACTCGAACACCACGCGTTGCCGCGCACCGCGATCATGGATAAGGTCTCCGCGGATGACCGCGACAGAGCCATTTCCGAAGCCAACGGCTACCTGAGACAGATCGGGCAGGGCGCCGAATGCGGTGACCTAACCGCAGAATAAAAAATTTAGCCAAGAATGGTATGTGTTTGAAAAGAGTGTACGTACGGGAAACAGTCTTCGCGCGTTTTGGATCGAAGTTGTGGACAGACAGCGCGGGGCACCGGTCTTCTTCTCGGTCGTATCGAGCGCCCAAACCTTCAGAACGGGTTCATTGAGAAGATCCTCCGATATTGTCACCAGAAACGCGCTCCCTTCTATCTGTTTGACGTGCACGATGGAGCCGGTATCGGAGGCTTTGAACGATCGCACGATCTTGAACCCGGAGGAGATGATATGAACGAAGCCGTCAGTCGTTCCAAGGAAGAGGTTGGCGGAGCCGGTACATAGAGAAGAGACATCAGCCTATTTCCATCCATATGAATTATTAGCATAGGGGTCGATCGGAGGAACGGGGAAGAAGAATACGTTGAATTTCGATAAGCTCTCCTCCGGCAGCTTGACAGGAGAGACGTCGAAGAAGTTGAAAGCTTTCCACTAATCGAGTTCATCAGACAAAGCGATCCAAACAGTTAATTCCGCACTTACTGATGTCAGAGCCATTTGGACGTAGCGCGCGCCATGGACTGATCGCAACAAGGTGAGAGAGCTGTTGATGTGGGAGTCGCTGCGGTCTCCAGGTCGGGGATATCGCGAAGCTCCGCCGCGCTAGTCCCGCAGCTCCGACGCTTGCGGCGGTGACCCCAACGTCATTATTCCAGGAACTTCAAGATATCAAATTTAGGCTGAGACGAGAGACGAGACCACAAACACTAGTAGATTCTATTATAACTCTTCTTGAATTCCAACTGGTTGTTACTGAGTATTCGGAAGTCACATCTGCTGGTGCCTGAATATGAAGAGTATATATAAAACATCTATAGGTACAATATTGAGGTATCACTGAATGTGTATCTATCACATGCGCGCAATGTACATATTGCGAGACATCTGCCAAGCTAAAGGCCCAAGGGGAAGACCAGCTTCTGCCCTGCAGCCATTACCCACGTTGCTGTAAGTAAAATAGGGATGAGACTGAAACGTCGAGAGGTCACCACTACCCCGGAATGTCCAAACCAAAAGCTGATCGCCGGGTATCTTGCGATGCGGGAGGTTGGGATTTGTCCTTGCGCTGCTGAAGATCCTTGGTGAAATCAAAGCTTTGCTGAAGCCAGCTCCCAGCTTCCGCGATAGCCTGAGTGAGATTGAAACTGTCTGCCCCAGGATAGCCGCCTTGGCCATCCTGAGCTGTTGGGGGCGTTGTCCCTGTCAAAGTCATAGGCAACGCACTAGGCTGAGATTCAGTAGCGTATCCTTGCACCTCAGGAGATCGCCGAGGCATCGAGTCTGGAACCCTTTCAATACCAGATTTCAGTGGCTCTGGAGCATTCCCCCCCAAAGATGGGGTCGAAATATTGAAACTAGTAGCCTTTTGTTTGCCTCTACCTGTGGGTTTCTTCAGTGATGTCAGACAGTAGTCATTCTTGTCTGTCGACTTCTTTTCCGTGCTAAATGCAAATGGGGTGGCGGCATTGATCATATATTGTGTGCTCAGCATCTGATCTCGCGAAGTGTCTGGTGCCTTGGAGTGATCGGTTTCTTTGGTTCTGGTAGACAAGCCAAGCTGGCGGAATGGTGTGATGGTTGCACCGGGGGCTGGGTCTTTGCCTGGAGAGGCGTGTGTCTGACCTTGGGAGGCTGCAAGAACATGTTCTGGGCTTTCGAGATCGTCCTGAAAGGATCTCTGTGCGAGAAGAAGGGCTGCCTGTGTTGAGAATTGGGGATCCGGCATCGTACCTTCATCCGCGTTGCTTTTTGGGGCAGCCGTTGAATGTAAAGATGTCACGTAGCCGGTCATGGTAGGAGCCCCGCTCACTTGTTGAGCAGAGGGCATTCTCTCGCTCATATGAGCTCCTGTCGGGTTGGTGTCTCCTCGAGAATTTCCCATGTCTGACTTCGAGGTGTTCTGAACTGTGTGCGAGTCGTTCTCCACGGTGGCAGATTCCTGAGCATTCGGATCTAGTTGAGACTTTTCTTGTAGGCCGTGTTGAGTTTCGACTTCCATGTCTTCCAATGTAGGGTCCACACCGGACTCGTCCTTGCCATCCTTCATCACAAATGGTTTCTGAGGCGATGAACTAGCAGGTACGCGGGACTTCCGACGGAATTCGAATTTTGGTAAATGTGATTGTGAGGGCAAAACATAGAGCGAGTTCCCAGGATTGTTCGCATTGAAGGTGCCTTTTGATAAACCCGAAGGAGAAGAATGTTGTCCTGCGCTTATGTGTGACCTAGGGCTCGTGCCTTTGGCAATTTTGTTCCCAGTCGGGACCCCAGGTAACTTTCTGGGAGATGATGTAGCCGCCCCTTCCCGAACTCTCGACAATAGCTCCTCATGCATATCATTAGCGTCCTCCGGCTGGTGTTGGGTGCGAGTGAGCTTCGTCGGGCGATTCCTCATCTCAAAATGACGGGAGGAGATGGATGTCGTGGGGGAGGTGGGCGGGTCAATCGTTTGAAACCCCGTTTTCTTTCGATCCTTCTTTAGCCAGCTTTCACCTGTATGTTTGACAGGAGTTGGCTGGTATTGAAGGGGACTCGGCTCCTTCGTCCGCATCCATGGCAGGGTTCTCTTCGCTGTAGGCGGCGAGACCGACGCTCGGCTACGTTTGTCGGACAGGGCCTTGATATGAGGGCTACTACCTCCTGCTAAACGGGGCTTCCTATGTTCGGCGGTTCGCCTTGCTGGACTGGGAGAAGGTCTCGCATTGCGGGACTCTGGACCATGGTGTTGTCTCCGTTTGCGGGGGTTGGTCTCTTCGACGACGGGGCTATTGCTCCTTTTCTGGTGGTGTGGCTGTTCGACAATAGGTGTCGTTGCGGGCCTTCGCCTGCGATTCTTCTTCCACGGATTTACCCATCCGTCGTCGAACGGGCCGCGCAGAGAGGCGGATAGAATAAAGAGCGGCTTTCCTTCATTGTAGGCGTCGGCAAGCTTCTGAATTCTCTGGCGCTGGGCTGCACGACCCGCCTTATCCAACTCCTCATCGGAACCGACAATCTCGTCGATGTCATTGTTTGAAGGTGGAGGCGAATATGTTTCCAGGGAAAGCGGGGAAACCGCTCGACCAGGCGGCATGAGGATGAAACGGCCTGCGACGTCATGAATGGATCGGAGGAAAGGGGACGAAGGTGAGGGCAGCAGTGGAGGACTGGCTGCATCCGGGTCACTGAGAGGAAGCCTGCAGACGTGAGAGACTCATGTCATGCGGGAGGGGCTTTGGAGAGACGTCATGGTAAGGTGAGGCTGTGAATGCAGCCGAAGTCGCCAGACGAAAACCACTTAACGCGTGTTTGGCGCCGCTTCCCGGGCAACGGATTATGTCATCACATCCCTTGCCATTTTGGGTTATATAGATAGCTCTCCCTTCAAAGTCGGACGTGGGTGCAGTGTCCTTCGGTGAGAAGTCTTCTTACAACAGGGAATAAGTCATGTCATCCCTGTAGTTCTACACCGCCTGGAGTAAGAGTGAAGATAAGCCCGTGTATACTACCGAACATGGTTATGTGCGTTGGACGGTGGACCAGCGGACGGACTGCCACCTCAGAACAGCTCCATATGATGAGCCTATCAAGCTCTCTATTAGTTCATCTCACCTTCAAGGGTTTCGTCAAGTGAAACTAGCCCTGTGATGGACGCAAGGAGTACGCGTCTTGAAACCGGCTCAAATAAGGGAATGTAAGGTACGGCTGTGTGTACTGCGGGACAAAAGTACTCGGGCCATATATTAGAGGACCAGGAGGAAAACCCCGGACTGATTCAAGAAGAAGGAACAATTTCTCGCACATGCAAGCGTCCTGATATCAAGTTATCAACCGTGGAGAAAATCAAACCGCGGGGTTGCCCGGACCACCCTGGTTAATTTATTATCTAAGATCGATCGGGTGGTTGGTTCCACCTGCGCGCAAACCATCAGCTTCATCGGCATCATCATAACAACCGCATATAAACAGGCTCCATGGGCTCCCCCTTGTGTCTGGATCGGCCTTAATGATATGACTTATATTTATAGTGATTGTTATTATTACCACTGCCATCTTTATTTCGGTCCTTATATATCCTTCCAGTGGACGGTCGATCGGGTCCGTGGATGGAGACTGTTGTGATTTGTCTTGTGCTCTATACGCGCCGATGAAAACAAACCATGGGCAACCAACCATGGCTCGACAGTCTCTCCGACGATTGGGTTTCTCAACCCGGAACTCCCACCAGCCCAGTCCCTTCCCGATCCAAGAGCAGTCACTCGCGTCGGTCCAGTCTTCAACAGAACTCGCCTAGTCGCATTCCAGTCCCCGCCCGTCGCTCCGTCGAACCCTCGCCATCCTCCCCGTTCGACAAGAAAAAAGTCTCTCGACCCTGTCACTTCGTCAAGAGAGAACCGCCGACTCCCAAGACTCCCCGAACCCCGAAGACACCCTCGAAGCTGCGCTCCCCCGTCCCCGACAAATCCTCCAAGAAGAAACCCACCCCTCCCTCTGCGCGCAGGAAACAACCGGCCATGGATACCAGGTCGCCTTTGCGGTCGGTGTCCAATGTGTCGAGCCAACCGGGAGAACAGAGTACCGTTCAGGTACGGCCCAAAAAGAACCGCGACAACGAAGGGACCCCCGAATGGCGCAAGCGGCTGGTGCAGGGAGAGATACCCCCCGGCGAGCAACGCGACCTTTTTGCGCCCATCGGCTTGGAGAGTGTCTTCAAACCTCCCACGCCCGGATCAGCCGAGCAGCAGAACAACGCGATCCCCAAACTCAAACAAACAGAAGATCTGTGGGCTTTTGATGACACGATCCAATCGAAGTCGGAAACGCGCCCAACATACGATAACGACCACCCTGACGATAATGATTCCTTCCTCTCACAACAAAACCCGCACACAACAAAGCATCCGCACCATAACAATGAAAGCCCGGCCGCCTCCCCTCCAGAATCACCAACGGGGACTCTGGCTATAAAGAAGGGCGCAGAAAGATCCCAGGGGCGCGACGCGGATGACCGTGACCTGTCGCAGGATGATTCGCAAATGAGGACGGCCAGTGGCTTGGAGGACCTCCGTAATGAAGGGATCACGCCGATCACATTTTCGCGAACCAACACTGTGGATGGCAATGCGACCTCAGAAGTTATAAAGTCGGCTCTAAAGCAGGTGACGAGCAAATTGGAGAAGCTTTCATTGCCCGAGTGGGAGCGCCCAGATTCAAGAGCGAGTGACAGCATTCTGCTAAACCAACCGACCGACTATGCTGTCGATACCTTGGCCGACGACGACCTTTTCGACGTGACAAGCCACTCTCTACCGCAAGATTTGTCTACAGGCACATTGGACTATCCACAAAACCTCAGCAGGGAGCAGTATCTCAGTGAAGCTTCCCTTCGAAGGAGAAGGCTACACCCACCGTCATTTCCTTCCCAACGCCTTTCTCCGTTCCTTCCCCCAAACTCTAGAATCCGAAGCTCTCCTCCCTTCTACAATCGCGCGAATCCTACAACCGACCGGCCTTCGTTTCCCCGGCCTTCGCCGGCACATGCTAGACCATCGACCGCAGGCCAGGCGGAGGAAATCAAGAGAAAAGCCATGCCGTCCTCAGGGAGTCCCCTTAAACTGTTTGGAAATCATGACACATTTACCAACAACCGTCTAATGCGCCGCATGAGCCAATTTGAGGAGACATTTGGAGGAGTGTCGGAAGACGATGAACCTGTCTCCCCGTCCGAGGAAGCTAGGCGTAAAGGGGAGTCCCGAGGTCATCTCAGTGCGAAGCATGACAGACATGACCGGCCGCGATCCCGGAACACGGCCAATCCTCGTCTTACTAGGTTTGGCGATGGGCAACTTGATAATTTCGATTTCTCCGACACGAGTCCGTATGAACCGAAGCTCCTAAACCACGACGCTCAAGATAGTGCGGTCCGTCCATCGTCACGACGTCGCCGCTATCTTCGTCGTACCTCCCATCGAGAGTTTAGTGCAGATTCTGCTTTGAGTAAATCAGCTTCTTACTCAACATCCCAGTCAACTTTTCAATCAAGCACACGCCTCAGGCCTAGTGCAGGCATGGCTTCTCAAAGCCTGGGTACAGGTCACTCCTCCAACAGTCCTGCAAAGGAATCCACTCCAAAACGTCGCAGAACAGTCTTGCCATCTGCGAGCTCCCAGGAAGGTGGTTTTGGAACTGCGGAGCCATATGGCCCTCAAAGCGACCATTTATCATTATTGCAGAAGAGCCTGATGCAGCAGGGCTTGAAGTACGACGACAGGGATCTCCTGCTCCCACCGGAATCAACCCAACGACCAAGAACTCCAACCCCCAGCCAGATAAGGTCTTCAACCAGGCAAAGATCCTCGCCAACCCGTCATTTACCACCACCAGAGCCTCATGGTGACGGGGAAGATTCTCTGCCGGACGCAAACGTCCCGAAGGTCCGAGTCACTGGTGTCAATGAGGAGATTCGCAAGGGCTCTATTACTACACAAGATTTTCTTAACGAGGCCACGAAGATTATGGACATTATCCGGTCCAAAGGGAGGAATACTGGAGGCCTTCCGAACGTTGAAGAAACCGAGTCCGAAGCAGACGCAAAAAGCGAGAGCGAAGACTATGAAGACGAGTCTACTCAGGAGGAATTTTCCCGACCGCCAAGCCGCGATGGAGTGGATATGCGAAAGTTGCGAGAGCCCAAAGAACCAAACCCACGCGTCTTGAGCCACCTGAAAAAGTTTCAAGAACAGGACGATCTGGAACTCAGTGTCAATCTCCCTGCGGAAGGGATTCTAGCGGACCATCGTAAGCGAAAGCTGGGTACCCAGTCGTTCGACGATGACAATGACTTCCTCAACACGCATATCTCGTCGAAGAGCTTCAGCACCCGTTCGATCCCCACTGGATCCTCCCACAGCTCCCATGCGAAGGGCGTTTTGCCATCAGGCCTGGTTTCCCATTTGATTCCTGAGCAGGTCAATGGGTTTACCTACGATCGGTACAAGAAGCAGTGGGTCAGAGAGAAGCCCAGACAATCGCCTGAGAAGCCTAAAGGAGACGACAGTGAGGATGATCCATTCCAGGATATTCCGGACCTCAGTGTCGACGAGCTCCAGGAGATGATGAGGATCCAGGCCTCTCTTTCTGGAGAAGGGACTAGCGACGCCGGCTTCTCTGATGATGCTGCTCCGTCGAGCCCAATCAACACTGGTCCTGGTCAAGAGCGCCCTCGACAGCAGACCAAAGACGGGGACCAATCCGGTATCTTTAGTTCTCTACAGTCCAAAGTGACGCGCTCTACCTCAAGTTTCCCAAACTCTGGAACTGGGGCAACATCCATAGACTCCACTGGAGGTAGGAGTCGAGATGCTTCGAGCGAAGTCAGCCATGAGATTCACCTGCAAGAAGGACGGATTTCGAAACCCCCATCGCTCCAAAAGGAGCGCAATAAGCAAGCTCGCGTCGTCACCATCAGCTTTTCGTCACCACTTGTTTCACAAGTTGCATATAGCGACAACGAAAGCCCCGCTAAACTTCACAAGATTGGAAACGGACAAGACGCCGAAACAGACGAAGGGGCGAACGGGAAAGAGTCTGGTCCTTCCCTGAACAACACGAGTGAACAACCGTTTCTCAAGCGCTCTATGTCTAGAATTGACGAGACAAGCGAAGAAGCAGCCGAAAACCTGAGTCTGGTTCGAAGAAATCCCGAAAATACCTGGTCTACGCCCGGCAAGGAAGGCCCAGATGGGTCGCTCGCTTTCCTCCGGAATGACCAAGACACAAGCTACAATAGCTTCCATCTCAGTCCTCTACCTGATTTTACAGTTGACCAAATCGACCAACCCTTACAGCTTGAGGTGAGCTACGTGGCCCAGCGCACCCATCCATCATCCTTGCGTCAGGTACATGGAACATTCGCGCTGGCAACGGAGGAGCTCGTGAAGCATATTACTGAAGCGGAGCCATTTGAGCCTTACTGGGAGCATGTTCGACGGTTGGTCCTCCGCCGTAAAGGTCTTATCACCCTCCATAAGCTCTCCGATTTCTGTCCTCGCCTGGAATATCTCGATGTGTCGTTCAACGAAATTGGTCAATTGAGTGGAGCTCCATCCACTCTGAGAACCTTGAAGATACAGGACAACTTCCTTTCAAACCTGACATCTTGGGGTCACCTGGTCAACTTGCAGTACTTGAACGTTTCGGGAAATGAGCTAGAGAGTCTGGATGGATTCAGTGGCTTGATCCACTTGAGAGAGCTCAACGCCCGTAACAACAAGATCCGCGATGTCGATGGCGTTTTTGGATTGGACGGACTTCTAAGTCTGAAATTGGGAAACAACAACTTGACTGCGGTGGATTTTGAGGGAGCAGAACTGTAAGTGATATTGACCCATTCCCGGCTAGTTTCGTTGCCTAACCATGAGCTATTATAGGACTCGTCTGCAAGAACTGGACTTAAGCCACAATCAATTAATGTCGATTCGGAGCATCGAATCACTTTCGGCTTTAACGACCCTCGATCTCAGCTCCAATCATCTTAGCACTGTCGATTTAGCTTCGCCACTCAGCAATTTGCGGTCCCTGAAGCTCTCAAACAACCAGTTCTACAACTTGGATGTCGGGGTCTTCCCATCGTTGACATTACTTTACGTGGACCAAAATTATCTGTCGACAGTATCTGGGCTCAACCAGTGCCGCAACCTGGAGATCCTCTCGGCTAGAGAGCAGACCATGTCAGCTGAGAACAACAACGGTTTCTTTGACATTGATCTCGGATTGGTGAAGGATGTTCGGAAAGTGTATCTGTCCTCGAACCGTCTGTCTCTGCAAAGTCTCTCGCCATCAACCCCTCTTTTGAGCTTGCAGCTATTGGACGCTGCATCGTGTAACATTCAAGCCCTGCCTGCCGATTTCGCACTGAACTTCCCAAACGTCAAAGTTCTGAATCTCAACTTTAACTCTCTCACGGGAATCAACGAGCTGGTGGGCATGAATTGCCTCTCTCGCTTGACGGCCGCCGGAAATTGCATCTCCCGCATGAGAAGGCTCTGCCAGGTTTTGAGTGTGATCGGGCGGACAAACAAGAACAAAATCTGCTCGCTCCACAAAGTCGATGTCAGAGGAAACCCTCTTACTGTGAGGTTTTATCCTCCTGCCGTCACAGGGAATGGGAGAACAGGTGGTGCCAAGCAACTGTCAACGAGGACAGAGAAGCCCGCTGTGCAAGAGGGTAGCGGGCTGGATATTCCATCTGCCCTCGCGGAATTTCAACATGAAGACCATGACCTCAACCGGCCAATCTTTGAGGGGGAGGAGCCTGATGTAGATGATGAGCATGAGACTGAGATCAATGATCCCTACACTCTTCCCCCAGCGGACATCCAGGCTGATCTGAAGTATCTCGCTCATTTGGATCGGCCGACTCGTCTGCGGCGGAGTATCTTCGAACTTATGCTCTATGCCGGTACGGGAGGTTCTGTGAAGGTTCTTGATGGACTGGATTTACGGCCGGCGCTTGAGGATGGTTCAGATATGGACCGTGCTTGGGTGAAACTCGAGAAACTTGGCGTTCTCAAGAGGAAGGCTATCACTTCTTGATTTGTGGTTTTTGTACTCGGTGGGATTTAGGAAGATACCCGACGGTTCATGGGCTTAGCATGGTTATTTGTTTTTACTAGCGGTCGACTGCATTGTCAGATGGCGTTATTGTCAGATTACTCTTCATATTTCAAACTGGATTTTGATTTTAGCCGCATGAATGCAGAACTCCATGGGAGCCCTTCGGGCAGTAGACTGGTATGTCTGACGTACACCACACGATTGACGCCAAACATCGCCGGACATATTTCTACTTTTTAAGGTATCTGAGTCCGTATCCTCTTACCACTATCGTACAAATTCCGAAGCTCAACCATCAGAACAGAGAAAGCTAGTACACGAAAGACCATCCATCCTAGGTTATACTCTCCCCCAAACGCCTTGAGGCGTCGCAGCTTTTGCCCCAAGAGCAATGAATCCGCCAGCAAGACACATGACGCCACTGAAAATAGACATCTGAGAGAACCCGCCGTATCGGTCGACGAGTGCACCGTTGACCGGCGGTCCTATCAGAGCAGCCACTGAGGCCACAGCCATTCCCATCCCGATATATGCACCCGCCTCCTGGGGATTCTTGATACAAACCGTTAACGCCGCAGCACACCCGGAGATAATTGTCCCTGAGGAAAAGCCAACAACAATCGAGTAAACAACCAGACCTGCAGTGGACGTGGGCTCGTTGAAGCAGAAGACCACGATCCCAGTGGCCAAACCCCCGATCACGAAGACGTTTAGGCGACCAAATTTGTCCGCCAGCACGCCGGGAATGATGCGGCCGAAGGTTGAGGCCGCATTCACGATCGCCAGCAGATACGAGGCGAGAGTGGCCTCTACGCCTCTTGAGACGGCATATGTGGGGATGTAGAACAGGGGCGCAAACATGGCAATGAGCATGAAAAAGAACGCAGCGACGATGAGATCATACCGCAAGTCCTTGAAGGCGGCTCCGACGAAGAAAGTCGTCTTTCGCGGCGGCAGACGAGGCCGCACAGTGAGGCTTGCGAAGCCCAACAGAGGGATCAGCACGAAACCCATGACCCGGACGGACCATCCAAAACCCAGACTCGTGCCGTTCAGCATCTTGGACAGCGCAATGGGGATGACCACGCCGCCGATGGACGATCCGGCTGTTACTAGCCCTAGTGCAGCGGCTCGCTTCTTATCGAAGTACTGCGTTACCGCAGCCATGGCCGGAAACTGCAGAAACCCCATCGAAACACCCAACAGGATCCCCTGCGCGAGCATAAATTGCCAGTACTTTGTGCAGAGACTCGTCATCATGATAGCGAATACGTAGACGACGGCGGTGGGTCGGATAACCTGGTGGATGTTAGTATGCTTCTGCAGGACCAGAGAGCGGGATAGAACAGAACGTACCCATGCACCAAACCGGTCGAACAATGGTCCCCCAATAGCGCCAATTGCGAACTGGAGGAATGTTGCCATCGACCCGATCCAGGCGACCTTATTCGCTGTCTCGCCTTGCAGCTGATGCGCGAGATAGTACTCTTCGAACACGCCGAAGGAGTTTGAGAAACCCAACGCAGAGAAAAAGACGCAGGCGCCTCCGGCAGCAACAAGCCAAGACTGTGTGCCTCCATCAGGAGCTGGTTCGAGATCGTTGCAACCCTTCTCACTTGGCGTTGAGGGCTCTCTCTCTTGGTCTAGAGATGAGCCTCGTTTTGGCTGTTGTTGGTCCATGCTATGATATCTGATAAGTCCTTCTAAATTATAGAAGGTCTGAGGGTAGAGGAAGGGAAAATTGTACAGAGGATAAGTGTGTACCTTCTTGTGGCAGAGAGCATGACTGATTCTGTTTTATACTTCGGACGGAGTGTATACAATCGGAGATAAGACGGAGGCGGAGCGGAAAATGGGAGGCCAGTCGGACCACTTGCGCACTTCCCGAATGTCGTCTTACATGGACCCTCTGCTTTTCTCCGTCTTCTTTCCTGTAAATTGCATAAAATCTGTAACGACGGACTTGTTATATGGATATGAATCCATCAAGAGCGAATCCGACGGCCGAGCCCGAGCGTCGGCGCAGGAGACCGCCAGTGTGAGTACTCATGTATTCCGGATCTGGAAGCCATTCTGACGAGAAGTCCAGCTCGTGCTCTCTCTGCAGAAGACGGAAAATCAGGTGTAATAGGCAGAGTCCATGCAGCAATTGTATCCGGTCCAAGAATACGGAGTGCGTCTATGAGAGTCTCTCACCACCTCCGGCGCGACGTGCGAACTCTGGCTGCGTAGGTGATCTAGAACGCCACCGTCCAGTAGCCCTTGACCCATCTTCCACAACTGGCAGAGGCACGACGGACCCAAGCCTCTCATCCGCATCAATCGTGTCTGGCTCCACCGTTCCTTCAACACCGGGCAGTCTACCGTCTACTGGGGAAATAGAGCTGCTTAGATTGAAGATCAAACAGCTTGAGGAGCAGCTCTCGAAAGCCACCCAGATAGTCGCTGCTTCTGAAGCGTCCAGTCCGAGTTTTGATACTAGAACAACAAACTCTCACCTAACTGGGGCGATTCATGTTCGTCGTGAGCACCTCGGTCCCGGCCAGGCCGCAAATACCACCAGCACCATCATGCACAAAGGTCGGTTCTTTGGTCAAACCCATTGGGTGCACGGTGCCGCTGAAGTGAGACCTCAAAGTAGAGAAGCCCCAGTACAATATGGCACTAATGCGCACTACAGTACCTAAAAATGATGGAGACCGTTGAGCCTCTCCTCCTGGATGAGACATCAAAAGTCCGCCATGACGTACAGAAATCTAAGTACCTGAGCCAGAAAGTCAAGTTGCGTCGGACTCCTCCATGGCCTACCTCGCCCACAGCAGAGATGCCTCCGAAGGAAGTAGCTGATTCGCTCGTGGAGATCTACCTGCGGACATTCGAAAGCGTCCGTCGCGTCTTGCATATACCCTCATTTAGGCGAGATTACGAAACTCTATGGGCATCAGATGATCCACCAGACATGGCATTCGTGGTACAGCTGAAACTAGTGCTGTCTCTGGGAGCCGCCATGTATGATGACAATTTCTCTTTACTCCCGTCGGCTGTCCGGTGGGTTCGCGAGGCCCAGACCTGGTTCTCTGAACCGGCATCCAAGTCTCGCCTTACCCTGCAGTTTCTCCAGACCAATATCCTGTTGATCCTTGCTCGTGACGTCGTGGGAGTCAGTGGCACTTTAGTTTGGATCTCTGCTGGGAGCCTCCTGCGCCTGGCAATATTCATGGGACTGCACCGTGACCCTTCCTATCTACCAGGGAGGAAGAACATGTTCACCGCGGAAATGCACCGGCGCCTCTGGAGCACCATCTTGGAAATCACGCTGCAGACGAGCCTAGAGTCTGGCGGACCGCCGCTCCTATCGCTAGATGACTTTGATACCCAACCGCCGGGTAATTTCGACGACGACCGGATCACGACGGAGGATGCTGCCCCCAAACCCCCAGAAGAATTTACCCAGATGTCCATAGCACTCGCCTTGCGAAAGTTATTCCCCCTCCGTCTTGCCATTCTGAAATTCCTCAACAGCATCGACGCCCATAAAAGCTACAACGAAACGCTTCGCTTAGACTCCGAGCTGAGGTCATCCTACAAATCCATCTGTCGCGCTCTCCAAGCCTCCCGTTCACAGAGCGGAAAGCATCCCTCACAATTCCAGACCCATAGCTTGGAGTGGCTCGTGCAACAATCTTTCCTTGCTCTCCATGTCCCATTCTTTACCGCCACCATGCACGAAACGGCCTTCGCATTCTCCCGCAAAGTCGTCATCGACTCGTGCATCAAGGCCTGGTGTGCCATTCACCCGGCGTCCTCGATCATGAAATCCTCCTTGCAGGCCGACATAGCGCCCACAGAGCTGCAAGACATGCTCCGACTTGTCACCTGTGCATCCGGGACCGTGCGATACGCCTCCATGATGATCTGCTGTCTCGTCAGCGCAGAGCTCAAGACCCAGATACAAGAAGAACAGCTAGGCCCCGTGTTGTTGCGACGCGATCTTCTCTCCATCCTGGACGATGCCAAGGATTGGATCTGGAAGTGTATCGGGACAAGCGAGATGAATTTCAAAGGCTATATGCTTTTGTGTATGACTTGTGCGCATATTGATGCCCTCGTGCGAGGTACTCCGAAGGAACTGATTCCGGGGGTTCTTCTCAAAGCCGCGGAGGATTCTGCGGCGAGATGTCTAGCTTTTTTTCAGGAAAAAGCTGGCGTGGATGAGAGCGAATGCGGGATCGATTTCGAAGAAATGAGTGCTTTCTCTGGTGATAATTTGCCGGATGTACTAATGGGTGACTGGTGGTTCTCGGTAAGTTTTATGAAATCGGCGTTTTGGAATGGTACTAACTCACATTGTTGTTAGATGCCTTATGTACAGCCGAATTTCGATGTCACGGACTCGATGAATTGGGTTTATAATGGCATGGCTTCATCGACACAAATGCAGTCTACGCGCTCGGGAGAGCAAATTTGGTGAAATCACTCTACAGACCATGACAGTATCTAATGAGGTATCTTACAAGTTCCAATGATGAAGTCATTTTGATGTTTGGTGGTAACTAGGTAGTCTTGTTGAACTGTCTGAGGCCATGCATCGTCATTCATCGCAGCGCTAAATCGAGGGAAGTGACATATCGTGTAGCCCGCCTTCTAAAAAGAAGTATCATTTTGTTTCTGCAAAAAATCCCTCCCACACAACTCGTACCGAGTCTTAAAATTCCGTGTCTAGCGATTTTAACTGCCCAGCAAAAGTCTTGCGGACCCATTCCATATATGCCTTCCACTTGTGGTGCTCGCTACTCGCCTCTGCATTGGGGAATGCCTTGCATAGCTCGCGACTGATCTTGAGTACACCCATGGAAGCTTCTTGGGCTTTCTCAAGATCTTGCTTCACTGCATTATCCTTGGGCTTGAAAGACAACACCGCGCTGTAACGCTCGGAGAGAGCGTCCAGATAGCGTTGGGTTTCTTCAGGTGCAAGGGTGATAAGCTTGGACGTCATGAGATTGCAAATGGTGCGGATGTCCTGTTCATCGTCAATGCCGGCTAGGATCCGGTCAAAGAATTCGGAAACGTGAGAAAGACTGAACGTCGTGTCAAGCGATGCATAGAGAGTTTCGTATGCGCTCTGTTCCATGTTAGATAAGACAGGATGTTGCAAGTAATGCCCGATCTGCGTACCTTTCGCAATTCCAGGCCGTCATCGACCCGGTGCTTAAACGGACCCATTTGGACCTCACGGATAAGTTCCGGCTTGATCTTAGTGTCACCGAATACCGCAGGCAACAGCTCACTGAGATGTGGGAGAATAATGTCCATTTTGTTGTGGATCGCAGAGTTCAATGTCGTCAGGGCGAGACGGTGATTGCCCAAATCACGATCGCTGAGCATGTTGACCAAGAGAGGCACTATCATTGGTCTCAAAACGTCATTGTAAGTGTCTCTCGAATCGGACAGGGTGTAGCGGAACGCAGAGATTACAACCCCACGAATGCTTGGATCGGGACTTGACAGGCATTCCTATACAACGCAACCTGAGTTAGAAAGAACCATGCCGAAGAAGCAACATGCGCGCCGTACCTGGAAGTGTGGGATATACGCAACAGGGTCAATCAGAGCAAGTCGACCGACACACTCTGCGCCGACGGCCCGGTTGTCCTCCTCCTCAGATACAACGAGTAGCGCCTGCCAGAGTTTGAGTGCTGAAGGTGCCACATCCGGTCGGACTATTTCAGGATGCTGAAGCAGCTCCTTGACGGAGTGAAGAAGAAGATAACTCTGAGGGTTAGACTTCTCGAGACCACCCAGAATGGTTGGCAGATAAGATTTCACGTTGCCGGCAGCGGCATTGCCAAGAGCAACGGCGGCGGACAATCTAACCTTGTCTGATTTGGAATTGAAGTGTGAGATGAACAGGGCAGGCGTCAGCGAGCAGCCAGAGCCCATACGCAGGCCAATTTCACCAAGGATTGCCAAGGCAAGACATTTACGCTGAGCATCCTGGGCCGTTTCCAGCTCCGCCAGGAAATCCTCCATCTTAACACCCAACTTCGGACCTCCATGGACTAACAGAGTCCCGATTGCCCTTCCAACAACGGAAGTGTCGCCGTTGATACCGACATCCCTCAAAAGCTTCTTCATGAGAGAGGCGCCTGCACCCTCCTCACCGATGACCTTGACAAGGAGCAGCAGTGCCTTCAACACCGTGCCCACCAAAGGCGAGAGGACGATCGAGCAGATCGTAGAGACTAGGCTTTCGTTGACCAAGAGCTGGGAGTTTCCTGGGATCAACTTGGCGAGGATAATGAGAGCCGGAGCGAGGAAGTGGAAATCTTCGGCGCTAATGAGGGGCAAAATGCAGTCCTCCAACTTGCTCATCGTCTCATTATCATAATGGGCACGTGTGGAGGGGTTCATAGCCAGGCTACGGAGCGCCTCCAAGCTGGCACCTCTCAGAACGCGGTCTGACTTGCGTAGCTGAGCGCCCAGCTCTGTTGTGACTTCACTGACCCAGTCTGGAGTAACGTCTGCATCACGCTCGCAGAGAACCGCAACGTCGTCGACGGCACGGACAGCTGCAAGGCGTGTGGTCTCGTTCTTAAGACGATCGACCAAGATCAAAAGACCTTTAGATCGACGGTCCGGAGACAGGAAGGCTGCGCCCTTCTCGCCCGAAGTGCGAGCCAGTAGTACTCCAAAAACATGAATCGCCCGTTGGCGGACTTCCAAATCAGCACTGGTGTCGGTGATGCGGCTGAGAACAACATCGTACAATTTCTCCAGCTGTGATGCGAGGTCTTGTGATGTTGACGACACACGAGGCGGGGTGAGAGCCTTCACGATCTGTTCCACGGCACCCAGTGCTTCACTGCTCACTTTGTAATTTCTGTCGTTGACCGTCCCAATGACACCAGGGATAAGGGCGATGAGGAACGGGAGGAGAGCGTCAGAGGTGTGCGTTTCCGCAATAGCAGCAATTAGGCTGAGAGTCTCGGTTTGCAGGGTGCCCGCACTGGCCGAAGCGCCTGCGACGGCCGAAGAACCGCCGGACACGGAGGACTTGAGCACATCCGCGATGGGGTCTTCAATCTGTTGCAGATGATCGGCGAGACCACCATAGCGTACGAGAGCGAGGCTCTTGAGCAAGATGATGATGGCTTGTTTCAAGGGCACGGACGCTGACTTCCACATTTTCACTAGATTCTGAATGATAATGGGCACCGAACGGGCCAAGTCGGCCTGAGCGCCAGACTTGGGAGACGATGGGGCAATTACGGGCGTGCTGACTGCCGAAGAGGTTCCAATGCTTGGCTCGAAGTCAATCATGCTGGCATCGCTGTCCTGGCGTCTTCTCTTCCTGGAATTCTTTGACCCGCCGACAGACTCCAGGAATCCATTTGACGTCATTATAATGGCCCCATCGCCGGTCTTGCGAACGAGAGCAGTCATTGTCGATACAACTTCCAGTTTGACACTTTCTTCACGCTCTTTATTGAATCGAGAAATGAGAGCAGGCGAGATCTGTTGGTAGAGCGATGCGTCGTCAAGCGCGCGACCACGGCCGTAGGACGAGATGACTGTGTAGAGAAGCTTCGCAGCGCATCGACGAACCTTCCAGCTCATGTCGTCAATGTCACTGTACCCTCCTTCTTCCTCAAAATCTTCGAACTCATCATCATCGAGGTCAGGTTCCTCTGTCTCGTCATCGTCGGAACCAGCTTCCTGGGTGCCCCCCATTTCTTCGTCTTCCTCCATGTCGGCAACATTAGGGTCATACTTGAGGTATCTGAGGGCCGATCGAATGGTGTTGGGCAGGTAGGGTTGCATCTGGGGACCGCAAGCACTAATCAATGTCTCGAGGGTGACCAAAGCGGTCTCGCGGAGCTCGTCCGCCTGGGGATCGTGATCGTCATCTTGGGAGTAGGACGACATGGGGTCGCACGAGATGAGTAAAGGACAAGGAGAGTTGAGAAAGGGCAAAGGGTTAAAGAAGAAATGAGGTGGACAGATATGGTTGGTGTCGAAGAGGCAGTGAGGTCACTTCGAGGCCAAGAGGAGAGAGAGAGCTTCCCCCGCGCTAGTCCCAATCCAATCAGCTCGGATGAACTGCCCCTCCGATCTTGGCATCAAAATAGATTCAAGCCAACAGCAAAGGGATTCACTACTGGAGAAAATCGAACAGATCCAAAGATGATCCAGTAGTACTCTGCTTTTTTGATGCGAGTAGAGCCTGCAGCCCACCCTGTTTGCGGGCTTTGGCGCGTTTCTTGCTGCTGGCGTTGTCGGAAGCCTTGGTAGTACTCCCGCTCTCTTCCACTGGAGAGGCTACCGCAGAAGTTGAGGTGGTTGTCGATACTGATGATGTAGTGGAAGTTACTTTGGAGGGACCATTAGAACGGGTGGGTTCCTTTCGAACGGGTTTAATTGTCCGTCGACGACAACGAAGGCATTGCGACACAACCGCTCCATCGCCGGTTGTTCCTTTAGTCCCAGCGCGTTCCCCTTTCTTGGGTCCAATCTGAATCGTCTTCGTGTACTCCGGCCGGCGAATACTCCCGCATGCTCCACAAGACAATTCCTGTTGTCGTGCCGTCAGAGGGCGGGACTCGTCGAGGAGAATACCGTGATGGACGGTCATGAGATGGGCCGCTGTGGACGGGCTCAGCACACTCAAGGCGTTGGCTGTGTCTTTGAGATAATTCAGTCGGGGCGTATGATCACTGAGAGGCATGATTTGAATAGTAAAATTTATGACGGGATATAAACTCAGACAAAGGCGATAATAGCCATATACTGGGCGGCAATCGGAACGGTTGATGGGGGATTTTTTTTTGTTCTTGGGGCGGATCAGATAAAAAAAATGCGGAACTTTCAAGATTTCCCTCACTTCACTGTCAACTTCTACAAACACAACCACCTCCTTCACTCCCCCTCTTCTCTTCTCCTCCTCTCGTCTTCTGTCTCCTTTCTTCTGCATCCATCTTCCTTCTGTTTGACAGTAGATTATGATACTTCTTTGGAGCCTCTGATTCCATCCCAAATCCATCTCCCTTCCTATCTCTCTTCCTTTCCATCCATCCACCCTCATCACAGCCATCACGATGGAAGCGTCTCCCAAGTCAGCTTCCATCAGAGTCGCCCTTGAAGGATGTGTAGGTTTCTTCTATCCCTCTCTTTTTCACAGTTTGGTTCTACCTTCTTCCATGTTATAATACTCACCCTTCGTCAGGGCCATGGCTGTCTCAATGATATCTACGCCTCGGTCGAGAAAGCCGCCAGTCTCAAAGGCTGGGACGGTGTGGATCTCGTGATTATCGGAGGTGACTTTCAGGTAATTTTCTCATATTACCAAAATCTTCTATCTCCAAACGGCTTCGTGCTGACTTCATCCAGGCTGTGCGCAATTCCTATGACATGGCATGCATGTCAGTCCCCAATAAGTACAAAGAATTGGGCGACTTCCATGAGTATTACAGCGGCAAACGCACTGCCCCTTACCTGACCATCTTCATCGGAGGTAACCATGAGGCTGGTAATCATCTCTTCGAGCTCTACTACGGTGGATGGGTAGCTCCCAACATCTATTACATGGGCGCTGCAAATGTCATTCGCTGTGGCCCGCTACGGATCGCGGGAATCTCTGGCATCTGGAAGGGTTATGATTATAGAAAGCCCCACTTTGAAAGAATCCCGTACAACCGCGACGATATCCAGAGCATCTACCACGTCAGAGAGCTCGATGTGCGCAAGCTATTGCAAATCCGCACCCAAGTCGACCTGGGTCTTTCCCACGACTGGCCCAAACAGGTCGAGTATTCTGGTGACTACGAGGCCCTTTTCAGAATCAAGAGAGATTTTAGGCAGGACTCACGAGACGGAAAACTCGGCAACGTAGCCGCAAAATACGTTCTGGACCGCCTGCGCCCGGCTTACTGGTTCTCCGCTCACTTGCATGTCAAATTTGTCGCATCTATCGAACATGGCGACTATAAACTACACGGCCGCTCAAACCGCACAACTCAGGAGACTGCTTCACAGACGAGCCAACCGCAGTCTAGCGCCCCATCTGCGTTCGGAATGGACGGTGCCGTCGCATCCTCCCTGAAGGAGGTCTTTGACCCTGAAACCGATGCCGTGCGTCCAGCAGAAGGTGCCCAAGGGGTCCCATCCCAGAGTGATGCCGTCGCCTCGCAGCCGGAACAAGCGATGCCTACTCCTAATCTTGAAGTCGAGACCCATTCCCAAGCCCAGCCGTCAGAGACCGTGGAGAGCAGAATCTCCGCGTGGAACAACTTTCATGCCGTTGCGGCCAGGAAGGAGGCTGCTCAAAATCCCGAAGACTTGCAAGCACGGGATGCAAATGATGCCGAAATGGCCGGTTTGAGACACAATTTGACCTGGCGCAAAGTTGAAGTTGATATGGATGGCGCTGGACGCAAACTCACTGGTGTCGAGTGGAGTGGCGGCGAAGGGCGGGATGTTAAGAAGCAAAAGACACTGCATGAGCCGAAGCCGGTCAAGAACGCCGATGAGATTGATCTAGACTTGGACAGTGATTCTGATCAGGACTTGCCCACCAAGAACCCTCCAGCACCTGATTCTCGAGGCTCCCTCCCCCCCGCTGAGCAGGGCCCTCAACCGAATCAGACAGAAGTCTCTGAAGAAATTCGCAGTCAGCTCCCTGCTAGTTTTATGCGACCTAAATCCGAACCCGAACCAATCAACGGCCCCCTGCCCGAAGCCATTACCAACCGTCGGACGGATTTCCTTGCATTGGACAAATGCCTTCCGAATCGTCACTTCCTTCAGCTTGTGGAGTTCCAGACGATTTCTGATCTTGAACAAGTTCAGTGCCAACGGCCTTATCGTCTGCAGTATGACAAGGAATGGCTGGCTATCACGCGCGTCTTTGCCCCTGACCTGCAATTGGGTGACCCTTCCGCTAAGCCGCCAGCAGACAAGGGTGATCTTGCTTACAGGCCACTTATCGAGGAAGAGGAGAAATGGGTGGAAGAAAACGTGGTCAAGGCGGGGAAGATGACCGTTCCTGAGAACTTTACCCCGACTGCTCCGTTCTACGATCCCTCTGTTCCTATCACCACTGATCAGATGCCCCCCGAATACACCAATCCCCAGACTGCACAGTTCTGTGAGCTTATTGGCATCGAAAACAAATTTGACTTGAGCGACGAGGAACGGCAGATGCGCATGGCCGCTGGTCCACGCGAAGCCCGGCCTCAGTTTCCTCGTCGTGGCGGATTTGGACCGGGTCGTGGTCGCGGCGGTCGCGGTGGACGTGGCCGTGGCCGTGGCGGCGGCCGTGGTAATCGTCGCTAATAATCCCAACAATCGAAAACTATCAGTCGCGACGAATATCCCTTTCACGAAATCATAATGTGGCTCGTTTTCTCTTCGGTTTCGCACACATATACCAAGCGCTGGGCGCTCCTCTATGTTGATTTTTCGAAATCTCATCTCAATGTCTGACAACAGACCTGAGACCTATGTGCATCGTGTTTTCGGCCCGCATATTTCTGATTTGAAGTTTAACCCAAAAAGTGACATGCATGGGAAATATCAGCGAGATCTTGTCGTGATCCATATGTGCTTGTGGAGCCCAGGAAGTTTCTCCATCATGAGGTCATAAAATCACGATCAATTTCATAACCATGTACAATATCAATGGCAATGGATCAGTAGACTAATACTTGCAGCCAACATTTATTATGATTTTATTTTGCCCTCGTAAGGTATCTCAGATGAACAATATGTCAATATAGTTTCGTGATAACCTACAGTGCCCGTTGTGATAGCCTCCTGCTTCGCCGTCTGCCCAACCCAAGGATTTATTCTATCTCCTCGATCCTCGGACGTCCTTCGGTCCTTTCCGCCAAAGGATCTACTTGAAGACCAGCAAGCCGATCCCCAAGTTCCAACCTGGGCTCATTATCACCTTCACGGGCCCCGATGCCCCATAGAAGCGACTTTTCTAACCAGGCTTCCAAACTTTCCACCAGCACCCGGATATGGCCCCGAACAATACTATCAGTTTCCCGACCCTCGACGAAGTGCAAACTGTGCAACATGTACGGGATATTCCCAACCGTCGCGGATCCGCCATCCCCAGCGTTCTCCCTAGATGCATCATCCGAGAGGGAAAACCCGAACCCCAAGGCGTTGCTTCCGCGCGTCTCCCGCACTGCATCGAATGCTTTCAATATATCGAGAAGCAGAACAACGCTTGCACGCCGCAGAATCGCAGACTCCTCCTCCGGCTCTAGTATCAACGTCGAGAGCGCCAGGTCGACCGCGGAACGAACCACAGATAGACCGAGACCCGCGATGTTTGTCTGGACCGCAGTCGCCAGGACAGACAGTGCGGAGGCCCGGACTCTCAGATCATCCGGTTCTTCGTCGGAGGCCGCACCCGCAGCCCATGCCGCGACGATATTGGCCGAACGGGCAGCCTGTTCGGCACTCTCAGGCTCCGAGCCGTCGCCCTCTTCGTCGTGGTTCGACGTCAGCGCAGGGGAAGACATCGTCCAGCCCTCCGGCATCGCCGACTCCTTCTGTCTTTTCCGTTCTTCGCGCTCTTTCTCTCGCTTTTCTTTGTCGAGCTGTTGCTGTCTGCGCTTTTGTGCCTGTGGCTTGTGCGCGCGCCGTCCTGCGACAGCGATCATGCCCTCGCCCAGAATCTTGGCGGTCTCTCCTGTCAACGCTTCTCCGAGGTCTTGGACGGTGCGGAGGATCGATTCGCCGATCTTCAGCCTTTGGTCCAGGGTTGCTTGTTCGCTGCGATCTGTGTAGCGGTCGACGAGTGTTTTGACCACGGTGCGGGGGTGTCGCGAGGCCAGTGTGCCGATGAGTTTGATGGCATTGAGATAGATGAACTCGTCGCTGGCGGCGGTTTCGGAGGTATCGGTGAGGATCGATAGAAGGAGGGTTAGCGTGGAAGGGATGTCGAGAACAGGAGACGCTTTCTTGATGAGATCGGATAAGAGGGAGAATCCCTCTGCTTGGACAGGAGGTAGTTCGGAATTGAGATGGGACAGTGCTCGGCGGTGAATATCGAAGTCGGTGGTTTCGCTGGAGGACTTTTGTGGGCCATGTTCCTCGGGAGACGAGATCTGGATTTCCAGGAGCATTGATGCTGTCGTTGCTGGCTTCGCGAGTGATGATGCAAGATGCGGGATGAGCTCGTCCAATGTGGATTTTATACCTTGAAGTAGGGTTATCGTGTTTGGAGTTCCGGAGAAGTCGGGGGAGGCGAGGATTGTAGAGAGCAGACTGAACACTGCTGGTAGCGTCTCTGCGGTATCATCGTTTGAGGATGAATTTTCTCCAGTATCCTGGGACGGTACTATGTTTGCAAGAGACGATAAGGACATCTTTCCTGACTGGCGAACGCTTTTGTCCTGCCTTTTTCTGACTTGACGACTGTATTCTGCACCGATGATCTGTTTGATGAGCTCGAGAACCCTCAGAGGACGTCGAGATAGACTATCTTTGAATTTATTGAGCAGTGCCTCCGCTAGTTTGGCACTGATCAATTGGCGTTTCATGTTTTGGAAATGGTTGGTGTCTTGTGCAGGCTCGTTCTCGCCGACAGGAGGCCGCACTAACCACGTCTCACTGACGTAGAGGAAAACTTCCGCAGTGCACTCTTCAAAGCTAGGGTCGGCCTCTAGCGTTTTGATAAATAACTCAGTCCGGGTCTGCAATGTGTCCATGAGCTGTATCACATTCACATTCACGGCATTGGAATCTGCAGAGGCTCGCTTTACCAAACATACTTTGTGATCTGGCTCAAGACCATATGTCCAGCTAGCTCCCCCATCCCAAAGCAGATTATCCACCAATTTTTTGAGCGGTTGCATTCCAACGGAGATGCCAAAATATGTTTGCAGCACAGTCATGACCTTTTCGTGCAGGTCGAGACGCTGGTTCTGCGACGTGAAGGAAGCTAGGCCCCAAAGAGGAAGAAGAATCGGATATACAACTCTCTTCACGAGACCTGGGTTGGGAGGTTGAAGCACAAGACTCCGCAACCTGTCAATAGCCCTCAGCAACATGGACTCATCGACCAGAACTTTATCCGATGACGCTCTGCTGGAAGCGGAGGGAAATCTCATGTACTGCCGGGACAGCCCATCGAGCGCTGCGGTAAGCGTCTTGAAGATGGGCTCCAAGAATATAGAATGACCTATGGTTCCTGGAGCCCCGTATGCTCGCTTGCATAAGATCCCATTGCCAATGGCGTACGCAGCGGTTTTCCTCAAATCAGGATCGTCGCCATCAACCAGAGCTAGCAGTTGAGGTGCAATAGAGGTGAAGTATTCTGCGGGTTCCATCCCTTGCGGTACAGATGAAAGTAAGCGCGAAGTTTGCATGATAGCTTGGACGGTAAAATGGGGGCCATTGGAAGTTTGATCTTGCGAGTCATGTCCAAGGCTGGGAGAGAATTGGGATGCGAGGAAGACGATTGTTTGCAAAACACCATCTTTCCGCAGAGGGACTCTGGATATCTGGCTTGAGATTACAGATTTGAACCAGGGTGCCGTGTCCGATTGAAGAAAATTCGACAGAGTTGACAACAACACAGGGGTCGGTGTCCTGGGTTCTTTTAGTATGCGACAGAAAGTGATGTCGGTAGAAACATACCCTTCGATGACTTTTGCGAGCACACCGCGACACCATTCTTTGCTGTCCGGGGATAAAGTCTGAGAATTGAAGGCGAGGTCTGTAGTCCCGCTGATGACATCACTCAAGATACGACCTCGAATGACAGGCTGGATGCTAGATCGTGGATCAAGCAGTATTTCGGAGATGCGGTGCAATATGTACTCCAGAAGCGACTCGTCTCTAGCATTTTCACGTGCAGAGGCCTGCTGTTGTTGGGCAATGACCCCAGCTGGCAAGACGGAGATCACACGCTGTTGAAGTGGGATACCAGCTCCAGACGACTGTGATGGGTAAATGCCCTCCAACGAGATCAAATCAAGAAGGGCATGGAGCAATCTTCGTCTCTTGGCATCCTCTAGAGCAGCATCCTCCGTCTCTTCAGTAACATGAGAGATATCATTATTTACCGGTGTAACAAATGAAAGATGAATGCGATAGAGGATCTCAACAGCCCTTTCGATGATGAGGCGTCTTTTAGCATTTTCATCTTCGGGAGAGACCGATGAACCCTTGCCCAGAATATCTATAAGAGAACTTCCCCGAGATTTTTGAATTTCCTCTTGGATCTAGTCAGTTATGTTGTGAGAGTGAAGTTGTGGAGTACGAATTACACGTGCCTCGTTGGAGAACAGGATTCAGAAACTCGCTTGCTGCGTTGAACGCTGCTTTTATCTGCTGCGGCTCACCCATATTTTCCATCTCATTGAGCAAAAGCCCGCGATCTGCTTCATTCTGTGCCCATAGTGACGAAGTTGATTAAGACTTGATGTTATGTCCTGGAACTTTTTGCTGTAGCCGGTGATGATCTCAGCCCCACGTGACCCACTTGATATGCTGACTAATGTCGTTGAAGAAGAGGATAGAAACAAGAGAACGTGAGAACGCAATTGAGTTGACAGGTGATGTGAAGTAGCAGCTATATGAAGAAAGGCACTTATGGTTGAGGTTCAGCTGCTGTCCAGCGTATACCATAACTGTGTAATCAGGTGTAGTTTGGTCTCTGAAAACATATATTTACAACGAATGTAGTTTTATCTTTGCACACAAGGACTCTGATGAGTATACAAACAGAGTTGTCCATACAATGCGTAAGTAGAGGGCTGGAGGTCATTTCCGCCATGTAGGCGTTACCCTAGAAGTCTGATAGAAGTGCGTCCGCCTTGTTCTCACCTCACAGCTGATTTCGTCCAAAACAACCCTGATGCCATGTCCAGCATCGCGTGATGTAAGGAGTAAATACAGATTACTGAGAGGTGAAAATGTAATGTGAATTATATGTCAGACGAATCCGTACAGCGAAGTTGACTAGTATTGCTGGTCACATTTGCGTCGACTACACTCAGCGCCCGAACAGAGCGGCCAAATTGTCACTGATATACTTGATACCCTCGGCCCGATAAAAGTCGCCTTCAACGTATTCCAGGCCGCTCACATTGAGGCTGAAAACGAGATTCTCCTGATTCTCCCAGCTGTATTGCGGCCAAATTGGCCGTGTACCTGGAAGATCAACGCGTCAGCTCATCTGCCTAAAAACGGAGCAGAGGTAATGGGACATACTTGGTGTATGGTTCGGATCCAACGTCGCAATAAAACTGACCCATGACTTCGACATCAGTGTCGCAAGCTCGTAATGCGGATTTGTTCGGCTGTCCAACTCTTGTGGGTTGTGGAAGACGTAGGGGAGTTCCGCCCCGTGGTCTGCGCCTGCATACGGGCCACTCGAAGGGTTGGCGACATCAAAAAGATAGCTGTACACGGGAAGGCCGTGGCTAGCCCATACCTGGGCCGCCAGTCGGCGCGGAGCGTGTACATTCACATCCCCCTGGAAGGCGGCGCCACGCTTGTATTGTTCACCATACCCAGCGGGAGGTCTGCCAGGCATGACGGCTGGAATACCGATCTCCGGGATGTCAGGATAGAGGGCAGCAAGAATGTCCACGGTAGCATTGTCCAGACCCCAGCCCCTAACTACCTCTCGGAATTGCTCATTGGCATCGATACCACGTACGGCAAAGCTGGTCCCTTCGTCCGAATTGGCCCCAATGAGGTAGGGGACCTTGACAAACTTGCCTGCTTCCATCTGCGAGGTCGCGCTCTCCTGGACGAAGTCGCCGTCGATCACCTGCACGAACTTGGGCCCGTCTTGGCCGGAGAGCGTATGGGGTGGTATGATAGTCGAGTTGTTAAAAATGCTGAGGAGGATGTCAGTTGGAACTCTGCGGAGACAGTCCAAGGTGTTCGGGGCGGAGCTGCAGTTGGCCGCGTCTACGACCGCATCATAGTACGGTTGCCAGTCGTCGACGGTCTGGTAGCGGAAGTAAGTACTGGGCGCACCACTCTCGCTGATCGCCCCACGGAACAGGCCATCGTCCCGTCCTCCATAGGCGATCAGCTGCGTACCGACGCTGTTTCCGCCAGCGCTCTCACCCCAGATGGTCACTTTCCGAGGATCGCCACCAAAAGCAGCAATGTCTGTTCGACAGTGAGCAGGGTAGCCCCGGGGATGGCGGGGACGGACACATACTTTCTTGGATCCAATGGAGCGCCAGTCGCTGGTCTCGGAACCCCAGATTCGCAACGCCTTCTTCCTTGATTTCCTTGCTCCACATGTACCCCCAGCAATGAAGACGGTAGTTCAGACTGACCGCAACGATTGGAGTTCCAGAGTCGACGGACTCGCTCACAATATAAGACAGGTTATATGCCGGGTTAGAAGAGCGCCCTTCCGTAAACCCTCCGCCATAGATCCAGACTAATATGTCGCGGGTTAGTCGGTTCTCCCTGACAGAAACCATGTAGATAGGAAGGGAGGTATATACCAGCCACCGGCAAATCGTCGTGAGCGGACACGCCACTCGGGCGGACGACGTTGAGCGTCAGGCAAGATTCAGAGGCCCCCAACGTCTGGCCAGGGCCCAGACACGCAGGGGAATACTCGGTTGCGTTTCTGGGTGCCGTCCATGACACATTGAGGGATCGTGGCGTTCGTAGGCGGAGGTCTCCAACGGGTTGCTGCGCGTAAGGCATTCCCAAGAAGAGATCCTGGCCATAGTGGTCATTATGGACCCCATAGTATGTGCCATTGAGCACTCGAGCGGTGGGTTTGTGGGTGGCTCTCGCGGAAACACCCCCCAGGTACAGAAGCAGATAGGCAAACGCACATCCCCGAAGCATATTGCTGAGCCACTGTTGACCCGGCATGACGTTGGATCCCAATTGCGTTTACGTCGAACGACACCCAATGTTTGGTCCTCTGTATCCTCGCGCGTAGGGGACAGCAGCAGAGATATAAGTGTCGCCAGCTCTACGGCTCGCACGGTTCGCAATTGCCGATCAGACGGGGCATTTCTACATAGCACCCTGAGTCGGCTGATCTTGGTCCCTCACCTGCCGATCGGATATTGTATGTACCAGCAGTATTGGGCACAGGAGCGGGTATGTTCCGGATATGTTCCTAAATGAGCTGACTGTTGATATCAGAATTCATTAGATTGTATTTACATCCAATCATCGTACGTAGCGAGATATATCCTCTAAAACCCTCAATATGGAGGTTTTTAGACAAACCCCTTTCCCCCCGGGCAATTCCAACCATGCCAATTCGGCAGATAACTAGCATCACTGCATGATTCATCGGGGGAGCGTTGTGGATGACGACCCGTGTCCCCAAACCGATTGTCTTACCATCAAACACGGACATCCGTGCCAGAAGTACCCTGGGGCACCGACAAGAGTGAGGCACTAGCCGGACCATGTCGGGGGGCTTGGTGACAAGACTGTCTGCGTCACCCTTAGCGGAAGCGTGACTGAAGCCACACCGCAGAATTTCATTTCGTCCTGCTTAAAATAAAGCATACTTTGGCAGATCATTGAGTAAAAATCAAGGACACGCTTCTGACAATCCTCGATTCCAGACACACTCAGACATGCCCGCACTGTCTCCATGCAAGGGATCCGACTTGAAGATAGCAGTTGCGCTACTACACTAAAACATACCGCACGAAAGGCCCATAAATGAGTCAGTGACATCGCCACCGGTAGGCTGCAAAACCATAGTGACGGTTCCACAGCGTCACTGGCCCTCTGCGAAACCGGACACACTGTTCTTGGCCAAAAGAGAGGGCCAGGGTTCACCGCTTGCAACGATCGTTCCCAACCGTCAAGCTCTCGGAGAGCATTTGCCAACACTGTCAGGATGCCCTGGGACGCAAAGATGTTCTCTTTACAAGGAAGGGAGTTTAGGTATTGGGCCTTTCTTAGGAGAGAAGGAAGAACAGAACCGTGACTTAGGAGTGTCTGGTAGGATGAGGGTTCGTGGCATGCAAAAGGTATGGTCCGCCACTCATATGAGGACAAAAACGTATTTTGGCGCGAGATGCACGCCTCCAGTATCTATAATTATTCTGTCAGTAGCTTAAATCCCTACAGACCATTGAAGGATGGGAATAACGTATAGATGCGTACAATTAGTGGACGAAAGCCGACAAAGAGTTGCTGCGAGATCGGTTTGGTAAATGACTCTGGCCGGCAGAGCTCCATCATTCGGCCGATACCTCTGATGTGAGCGACCCAGCCCTCTCTAGATGTGGGGATTAACCACTTGTCATTCTCAGTGAATGATGTTTCCTGGGCATTGGACACGAAGAGGGAGAAACCTACCTCGGCTATACATAAGCACATTATAGCGGCAGCCGATTCATCGCACACACCGTCAGCTTCAGCCAGTCTATGCTTCAAATATTGTACAGCTTTTGCGTATGACTGTGTGCGACAAATATCCCACCGGGAGCGTGTGGGGCCTTGATCACCCTTGCAGATGATCGAGTAGCCAAAGGTTCTAAGCGAGACAGACAAAAGAGGTGTACTTCGGCTCCGGTCCAGAAGTAGAGGGAGTACCTCCAGCCAAGGACTGCAGATAGCTGAGCAGGTCTCATCGGGAAGGGGAGTTTGCTGAAAGCCATAATGTTCTGGAATAAAATATTCGATAACCAATGCAACGAACTCTTCATCAGTAGACCAGCGGAAAGTGGAGAAATTGAGCATGAGACATTCAGTGTGAGGTCGAGAATTGAGCATTGACGTCTCAATTGGCATAGAGATTTCCGCCGAACGCTTAGAAGGGCTGAGCGCTTGCCCAGCGGTTTTTGGCGACACAAAAGTGACGCTCTCATAGCCTGGGCAGCTCCTCTTGGTGATCAAACATTGAGAACACGCAGGGCGTTTTCCGTCACACTAAATGAGACCACATTAGTAAATCCTGGGCAAGGAAACCCCTCCGTAGCGGAGCAGCAACGACGAAGTAGATGTCCAGAACTTACTCCATATTTCCTTTGCCGACAATTTTGACACACTGACCGGCTCTTTACTTTCATTGTTATTCGTCGTAGCGCGGGGGATGGTGTCAGAGGCAGCCAGGGAGAATTAAGTAGAGGGATATCTGTGAGTGGATGGATGGGGCCGTAAAGTCTTGGCGGCTAATGCTTCTGATTAGAGTTAGCTTGGAAAGCGGGGCTGTGGGTCGGCCAATGTGGTCGGGCCAATGCCCTTGTCCGAGTATGCACGTCATGATCATCAATTCTTACGGAGGACACAGGGCCCAAAGAAGCTGGGAAGATAAAAAGGACATGGTAAATGTTGACCAAGAATGTTTGAACAACTGCCATTATACATGCCGGTGCAGCCGGTCCCCTAAGCCGTCCCGGCCTACAGAGAAAAGTTTTCTGCATTTATATAGCTCCTGTCCTCCCCAGGTATATCTTTGGCATTTTAATTGCTACTCCACGTCACGGTTTGTGAAGCCTCACAATCGAGCCGACATGAAGAAAGCCCTAGTCTTCAGCAATAATGCTCTTCCAGGATCAAGATCCAGACGCAGGTTCGGCCCCTTCGGGGATAGGCCTTCTCCACATCGGCAATTCATTCATTGATGGATCCCGTTGGACTACGGATATAAGACTGGCCCTTATCTTAGGACTGTTGGCGGTGCCCAGTGCACCAAATCCACTCAATCAAAATGTACTACCAACCTGGCGTGACCGAACACAACCTCCCGTATAATCCAGTCAAGGTACTCCCGATATCATATTCACACGTCGTGACAGCTCTGACATTGACAACAGGCATGCATCGTCCCCCGACCGATCGGATGGATATCGACTAAAAACAAGCGCGGCCAAGCGAACTTGGCTCCATACTCGCAGTTCAACAACTTGACGTTTGACCCGCCTTACGTGATGTTCTCCTCGAACCAAACAGACTCAGGCGAACGCAAGGACACAGTAATCAACGCCGAGACTACAGGACAGTTTGTTTGGAACCTAGCTACATGGGACCTACGCCACGCGGTCAATATTTCCGCGCAGCCGTTTCCCTACGGCGTGGACGAGTTTGACCACGCCGGCGTGACCAAGGAGCCTGCAACTACTATAGACGTGCCTATGGTAGCTGAGTCACCTGTGAAGTTTGAGTGTCGCTATCACTCTACGGTGCGACTCCCGGGAAACCCCCCGATGGGGTCGGTAGATATAGTAATTGGGCGGGTGGTCGCGGTGCATATTAAAGACGAAGTGATTACTGATGGGAGGTTGGATATACGTAAAACGCTGCCAATTGCGCGCTGCGGGTATTACGAGTATACAGTGATTCGGGAGACATTTGATATGGTGATCCCCGGTATGGACGGGAATGCAGAGAAGGGCCAGGATATGAGAAAGACCGCTAAGGCGGTGGAATGATGATTGAGTTCAGATCTCGAACTTATTATGCTGCGGAACTTTATCAGCCTATAGTCCCATGGGGTTTGTCTCTGACTAATAGCCTTTATTGCTGTCAGATGATCACGACCTAAACATGTTGGAAAACACTTCCGCGGAATGTCGCATTCCGATAGGAATGAACGGCGAGATCTAGACCGTATTAACGTAGCAGAGATGGTCACGATTACGAAGTACCCAAATGCTTATATAATTTGGAATCAGATCGGCTCTAATGTATCAGAAGATTCCTGTACAATACTGTCTCCATGCAGGACGTTTCAAAGATGTGCCACCACCAACCCTATCTTTTTGATATACGCCACTGATGCTATGAGTTGACCCGCCGCTCGGAAAACTCTATGCACATCCATCCGCCACTACGATTTCACCCCTGGATGAGGATAGTGTCAAACGAAGTGCCATGCCTCCGGCCTCGGAAGATGGATCGAGGGTGGCAAGTATCATTGCCTGTAATAGCATTATGCTTGCGCTGGCTTCCTTTGGCACTTGTATCCGCGTTTCAGCCCAAATCTACGAGCGTCGCTTTGATGCAGATGACGGTTCGTGAGCATAACTCCTTGATAGTGTCGTGTTAGCTTATTCCGACCTAGGGTTCTTCCTTTTGAGTTGGGTGTGCTGTGCCCCTGGCAGTGATCGATAATGCGCTCTCGGCTCTATGCTGACATGGTTATTGCGGTGATTAACTTAGGTCTTTGCCTTTGTGCTATGCTTTACCTCTATGTGGAGTAAGACATGTGTTATAGATGAATCACCGCTGCCATGTCTGACATTCTTGCAGTGATTCGGTATGGCTATGGAAGGCACTTCACCTCCATTGAGGGCGACACAGAGAAGATTGCAACTTTCTTAAAGGTACGTGGTTAAGCCCACAATGTTCCTCTCCTCAAGACTTATGACGATCAATCCAGTTGGACTTTGTCACTGGAGTTTCTTATCTCGTCTCCTTGACATCGATCAAGATATCCTTCTGCCTACTATACCTAAAGGTGTTCAAAACGACTCGTCTACGATGGCTATATTATTTGGTCATGGCATTCGTGGTCTGCGAATTCATTGAAGAACTGTTCGTCTTTACATTCCAATGTTCTCCTCCCAGCAAGTACTTCTACCCTAACAGGCCGGGCGTCTGTATGGATCTTTACGTTTTCTATCACGTTTCATTCGCCATAAAGCTGGTCACCGACATTGTCTTGTTTCTTTTGCCTATTCCGCAATTGTTGAAGCTTCAGACCTCTACCTGGATCAAGGCAGGTCTGATTGTGATGTTTGGGCTGGGATTATTGTGAGTCTTCTTTAACGGCCCCTTATTCGCTTTTCTGGGGTGTTTCAACTAAGTATGATCTAGAGTGTGTGTGACAAGCATTATCCGAATCACTTATATTAAACATTTCCAAGAGGACTTTACCTGTTTGGCTCCCCATCGCTGTCTTTCCGTTGCATTTTCTTTTATTCGTTAATGCATTTTTATCAGGGCTACTTGTCAACGCCTTGAACTGGTCAGCCGTCGAGATCTGCACCGCCATCATCATTGCATCCATTCCGTCCTTCAGAAAGATAAGTAGTCGAATATGTCTTGCCCTGCGGAAGTTCCACCTTCTACACACGATAACCGGTCATTCGACACGGGTGAATACGAACGACGAAAATCATGCTGCTACCGCTGTGGCCCAGAGACGCCCTGGGAACCCCGACCATATCCCGTTACCTTCTCCAGTTTTACGCCCTTTCAATTCAGGACCTATGAATAGTGACGCAGGACAAGCTACCTCGGACGATCCATTCGTTACTCCTGGGACGCGGGACGAGCTTTCCGCCTCTGATCGGTTGAGCTGAATGGTTTCTAAATGGAGACTTCTCAATAATTCTGAATACGTTACCTTGGAGACGGGAGTTCCCGTGTCTGGAGACTACACGCCGATAACATACTAAACATCGGGCCTGTAAAAGAGACAAGATCTTACCAGTAGCTAGGTAGACTGCCCAGCCTACTCCTAGTAACTACCATACCCGCCTTTATGCCACTGAAGAATTATATCGTAAGTAGGACCAGCTGCCTAGTCGGTACAATTAATAAAGTTGATCAGTAGAGTCGGTTAGGGCATAGGGCCAGTAGAGCGATCCTATAGTTCTTCTTTTCTCAGCTGCAGCAATGGAGCATCTCAGTTGTCGAGAAGACAGAATGCCCCGCAATGCCCTCCACACCGCTGTGGAGAACCCAAACGAAGACACTCTGGGCAATCACGATGTAGTATGAACGGCACGATTCCGCATCGTGAATTCCGACGGGGAATCTCCGGCTGTGGGGTAAAGCTCGGGGAGGAGATTCAGTCTATCGGCCATTTCATTCCTATCTATAGTCTTCCTCCCCCTCTACCTCCCTTCCTCTTGATCCTCTTCTTATTAGATGAGCATACTCGCTTGACACCTCTACTTCCTGCTCTCCACAACCAAACAAATCACAATGAGAGCCGTTCGCTTCCACGGACGCGGCGACATCCGCGTCGACCAAATCGAAGAGCCCACCTGCGCCGCCGGACAGGTCAAGGTACATACCTACACCTCCCTACCCGAAACCAAGCGCCACGCTCACATGCATAGATACGACCTGCATTCGTGGGAATCTGCGGAAGCGGTAAGCACCACAAAGCCAGCACCCAACACACACACTGAGACAGCAGACCTGCACGAATACCTCTCGGGCCCGATCACCGTCCCGCAGACGCCGCACGCGATCACGGGCCAGAAACTCCCCGTCACCCTGGGCCACGAGTTCAGCGGCACCGTCGAGGAAGTCGGCGCGGGCGTCTCGCGCGTCCGCGTCGGGGACCGGGTGGCGGTCAAGCCGAACCTGGCGGATGGGACGTGTCCGTGTTGTGTGCGGGGACGGCCGAATTGCTGCCGGAATCTGGGGTTCATCGGGTATAGCAGTGAGTTACCTACCTAACTACCTATACTTACTCGAGCATCTAAAGCTGCTGACTCATTCAGGTGATGCAGGTGGCTTGTCGGACCATGTGGTGGTGCCCGAAAAGCATGCCATCCCGTTACCGGGATCCATCCCCCTGGACATCGGAGGTAAGTCGGGGAATATCTGATTTCCAATCGGGCCAGCCGACATACAACCGCCGCTGACAACACGGCGCAGCGCTCGTGGAGCCGCTCACCGTCGCCTGGCACGCCGTCGACCGGGCCCCGATCGAGACGGCGCAGACGGCGCTCGTCGTCGGCGGTGGCCCCATCGGGCTGGCGGTGGTGCAGGTGCTGAAGGCGCGCGGGGTGGAACGCATCGTGGTGGCGGAGGTGTCGCAGCAGCGCCAACGTTTTGCGACGACGCTGGGAGCCACGGACGTCGTGGACCCGCGGAAGGAGGACGTGGTCGCGATGGTGCGCGCGATGACGGCGGGGGCTGGGGCGGACGTTGCGTTCGAGTGTTCCGGGGTGCAGGCGGGGTTTGACACGGCGATGAAGGGGATCCGCGTGCGCGGGACGGTGACGATTGTGTCGCTGTGGGAGGAGAAGCCGGTGATTGATGCGTTCGATGTGGTCTCGTATGAGAAACATGTGGTGGGGGCAGCGATCTGTGACGAGGGGGATTTTGAGGCGGTCATTGAGGCTATTGCTGCTGGTACGTATCGAAGGCACTTGGCCCTTTCTGAAGGAATATATTGGCATGTGTTAACGTGGGCATCAGGCAAGATCTCTCCCCAGGCGATGATCACTGGGAAAATTCGGATGGAAGACGTGGTGGAAAAGGGGTTTGAGGCGCTGGTTCGCGAACGGGATCAGCACGTCAAGATCCTGATTGACATTTCGGCGTAGGAATCGGGTGACAGTGGTGAGTTGGTCACACGGGAATCAGATGAAGTAGTATGTATACGAAGTTACGAAGCATGTGCAACATGGCGATCTATCACCTGTGAATGGAGTATATACGATGGTCAGGGGTTCTTTAAAGCCGTAAGTTCTGGGAGTATAGTGCGACTCGGCAAACAATTGTTTATTGATCCAACACCGGTTGGTGTACGGAGTATGGGTGATTGGAGCGACCTCCTTGGACTTGAATGCAGACAGCGCTACGGAGGACCTCGAAGGGGTTCTGGTGGAGACTGTCAGCACAATGAGAATGGAAAATCTCCGACAACAAAGCGACAAGAGTCGGAGTAGAGATCCCAACACGTGTGGAATATTTGAATCTGGACTGGAGTCATCATCAGATCTCACCCGCTGGACCCTTCTGCGGTAAGACGTAGACTGCTTATTTGCTGACGTTTGTTAGGCCTTGAGGTCTACTCTGACCAGGTCGCTTGGAGTATCCTCTAGGGACTGTCTCAGTTGCCAGCGTGTGTTGGTCTGACTGCAGCACTTCGAATCATCCTCAACCGCGAGCCAGTCATTCGAGACAGCCCGCGCACCGTGGCCATGGAGCGGCGGAACGAGTCCGACTGCCCAGAAGTGGGTGGCACTGCGGGCTGCAGAGGTCAGGATGAACATGCGTTCGATCGCGCCACGGCAGCAATGGGACGAGCTAGTGGGACGCCACGGACTTCTATAGATAGCTGAGACTTTGGGTTATTAACCTGTCACTCTTAATAAATTTAGTAATGGGGGAATTTCTCGTAGTACTGGACTCTGTTTCAGCCGGAGGTCGGGGATTTAGGGGTGCATGGTTTTCACAGAATCAATTCGAGTAATGGAAGTTCTATCCAAATAACTCTAGGTAGAATTAGGGCAATGTAGTCAATACCTATAGAGGTCTCAGACAAACTCCACCAGCAATTGCCTTCCATCACGCCATAATCCATGAGAGTATATACATACATCAGCTCTGTCGAACCGCCTAGATTCTTTCTTACGACTCGCCGCTCGTCTACTCTTCCCGCTTCTTTCTCTTGCATCCTTTCTTTTGCGCCCAGTGGACCACTTCCCAAAGCCCCCCACTCCTAGTTTCACCCTCGGGTTTGGCGCATCTTGGTTCAGATCTGGCGCTGGATCAGCCGCCCTCTCTTTATTTTTTCTTTTCTTCTTTTCTTTTCTTTTCTTTCTTTGGGCGGCCAGCTTTGTTCTCCTACTCTCTCTTATTTCCTGCCTATACCTGACCTCGTGTCTACTGGAAGACCATCGGGTCGAAATGCTTCTGGCCTCCTCCCACCTTCGTTCTCACTCGTTCTTGTGACGATCGTTTCGATAACTCCGATTCTCAAGGATATATATATACGCTCGCTTGCGATCGATCGGCCGACGGCCCGAATTTTTGTGGAATCTCCATCGATCTGCAAAAGCATGTCAAGCTGACCACCCCCCGATTCTTCTACCCTGGGGTCTTCTATCGTTTCTCTTCCCCCATACCCTCACTCCCACGCATCTTCCACCATGGCGACACCACTCGGCGGCACAGCCATCATCACCGGAGGAAACGGCTCGCTGGGGTCCGAAATCGCCATTGCCATTGCAAAATCACAACCCTTTGTCCATCTCCTTCTGCTGGCCCGCGACATCCGATCCGACAGCGTCCGCGAGCTGATGGACCGCATTCGACTGATTGGGTCGCGGTCCGTCGAAGTGGCCCGCGTCGACCTGGCCAGCGTCAACTCCGTCGTCAGCTTCGCCCAAAACACCGTCGAAAGGGTGCAAAACAAGGAGATCCCACCGGTGACACTGCTGATCAATTCTGCCGCCGTGTCGTCATATGTGGCCGACCACGTCACACGAGATGGGCACGATCCCGTCTACCAGACAAACTGCATCGCGCCGTTCCTCTTGACCGTCAGTCTGCTCGAGGCCTTCCGCGCCGGCGACGGAACCCCCAATGGCGGTGCCAAGGTGATCAATATTGGATGTTCGGCCATGGCCAAGGGCTCGTTGGACTATTTTGACAAAACGGACCCGGAGGTGAGCTCACGGCCGGGAACCCCGTTGAGCTCCAAGCAGGGAAATGCGCGCTTCGGGAGCAGCAAGCTGATCATGAGTGCCGCGATGTATGCCCTGCGACGAAGTTTGGTTCTGGTACGCCTATCTTCCAAAGATAGATAACGACGAGGACCTCGGTTGGCTGACCTGAATTTTTTTATAGACTGGAAACATCTCGCTTAATATATTCACTCTCGATCCGGGCGGACTAGCCGGAGAGAGCCATCTGACAACAAGCGCCCCTCGGTCCGTCCGAATGGCACATCAGACTCGGTCTGGACTCCGACCTTTTCTGCGGGTATTCTCCAAAAGCGCAATCAATAAGACCAAAGTCCCCGCCAAGGTGATCGCGAAAGTCGCATTCCAACGCGACACGGTGGAGACCTGGGGCAGGGAACGATATTATATCTTGGACAGCGAGTACGAAGCCGGATCCGTCATTCCGGTGTTGCGAGACCCGCCACAGATGGACGCCTTGCTCCAGAAGGTGATGCGACAGGTCGAGATTGGAGTCAAGGGGATGGGGTCGCCGGAGTCTCGGATTTCACGTCTGAGCGCACATTAAAACAACTGAGCATTGCATGTGGGGATTGTGCTGCTTTCTTTGCTTTTGAGCGGTTTCAGCATTCTTCGGGAGTTTGGGCACGGGCTTTCCTGAATTAGCCAAGGAGTTTGACATAGAATTCAATTGTGTGACTGTTGGACGATGTAAATAAGACGATCTGCAATTGATACGGAGAAGAGCACCAATCATCCGTGACAAACTGGCCTCTGAAGATCCTCTACCGGGGAGACGAACGAGGGTTGCATGGCTGCAACCGGACGGGCGAGACGTTGTTCACTGCCGGATTCGGGGTACGGAAGGCGGACGGCAAACCCTGTTCCACAGCCCCAGTGAAACACCGCCGGTCGCCGCCTTTTTGGCCCTGGCCCACATCATCATCATCCTCCTCAACGACGATTACGACCGCTCTGGGTCTTTTCTACCCTCTCTTCCCTTCTTCGCTCGTTTGCCTCTTCTTTTTCTTCTCTTCTGTGTGTTATAATCTCTTTGGGAAGGATCTGCGATCCTGACTATTGTCATTCTCACCACCCCTCGTCCATTAATCCTCCCTTTGTCGCACATACCGCTGTGGCGTCCGAGGCTCCCCAGGGCTTGTAGTCGTCGCCGCTCCAACGCCTGGCGATTCCAGGCGCGTTATTGTCGGAGCCGGTGTCCTACTTACCTACACATGCTTGAGTCTCTGGAGAAATGAATAGACACCACCACGCCCTGGTGAATGGCTACACTGCCTACCCTCGCGGGCAGGGTGGCACTTTTTCCATCTCTCCACATCGGTATGGGGCATAATTTTTGTCAGGCCTGGATCCTAGTCGGGCCATCTCGACTTCGTCACTAACTTGTTATCGATCATAGCTTCCAGCCCCGTTCGCAACCGGCTCTGCGACGTCGACGACAACTTTTTCAACGACTATGCTTTATCGGCGGAATCTCCATATTTCTACTCATCCTAATATTTCCATCCTGGAGGGCCGCGATCATCCCGTCGATCTCGCTCGGACTCCTCTCCTCTTCTGCGGATCTTCAAATCCAGACCGTCCGATATTATGACCTTTCCAAAGTCCAGGGTTCAGCTAACGGCTGGGAACAGGAGGAGCGGGTGCTCATGTGCACCCCCCTCCGCGATGCCTCTTCCCACCTGCCCATGTTCTTTTCGCATCTCCGCAACCTCACCTACCCGCACAACCTCATTGATTTAGCGTTCCTGGTTTCCGACTCGAAGGATGATACCATGGGCATGCTGTCGCGCATGCTGGATGAGATCCAGAATGACCCCGACCCAAGCATGCCCTTCGGCGAGGTCTCCGTCATTCAGAAGGACTTTGGGCAGAAAGTCCAGCAGGACGTGGAGAGTCGACATGGTTTCGCGGCGCAGGCCGGACGCAGAAAGTTGATGGCTCAGGCAAGAAATTGGCTCCTGAGCGCTACGCTGCGTCCGACCCATAGCTGGGTCTATTGGAGAGATGCGGATGTGCAGACCGCTCCGTTTACGATTATTGAAGATCTCATGAGACATGATAAGGATGTGATCGTGCCGAGTCAGTACTTGTACGGATATGGTTTTCAAGAACGCTCACTGACGTGAATAGATGTCTGGCGGCCGCTCCCGGATTGGCTCGGTGGGGAACAACCATACGACTTGAACTCTTGGCAGGAATCAGAGACAGCACTGGCTCTTGCGGAAACTCTGGACGAAGATGCGGTGATTGTGGAAGGCTATGCGGAGTACGCGACGTGGCGGCCTCATTTGGCCTATCTCCGCGACCCCTACGGCGATCCGGACATGGAGATGGAGCTGGACGGTGTTGGCGGTGTCAGTATCCTTGCCAAGGCACGAGTCTTCCGCGCGGGTGTCCATTTCCCAGCATTTAGTTTTGAGAAGCATGCCGAGACCGAGGGCTTCGGAAAGGTGTGTTTGACTGGTCCCCTCTGCCATATCACCCAGCTAACGTATCATAGATGGCCAAACGGATGGGTTTCTCGGTCATCGGCCTTCCCCATTACACCATCTGGCATCTTTACGAGCCCAGCGTCGACGACCTGCGCCATATGGAAGAAATGGAGCAAGAACGCAAGGCTCGCGAAGAGGAGGAGAAGGAGCAGGCGGAGCGGGAGGAACGCGTTCACAAGTTGTTCCGGGACCCAAAGACGGAGTGGGACATTGACAATGCGTTTGTTCAGGATTCGATGAGAGAGGAGGCGGAAGAGCGCAAAGCGGCCGAGCCTTTCAAAGACGAGAGCACTCCACGCGCTCGAGAAACGCCAGAACCCAAGTCAGGCAAACCCGCAGACCAAAAAGAACCGAAGGAGCACAAGGCACCGCAATCCCCAAAGAACAAGGGCACGGAAGACCAGGAAGAGGCCCCCGCGATCAAGCCGGCGGAAAACCGAGCTGACGGCGACAAGGCAAAACCATAGGACTGGAGGCAAAGCCGTTGGTAATAGGTTCGTTCAACAACGTGCCTGAAAAACTTTCCATTGTTGATTTCCTTCTCGTTTACTGTGCTGGTCACAGGGTGGTCTTGATTTTCTGTTTGGTTATATGCCTTGTAGAATTGTCTGAGAGTTCGGGGTTGGCTCGAGCTATGCATAGCATGTCCCTATGTTTGGGAGGCTACTTCGATGTATTGATATATCATGTGTGTTTTGAATAAAAGGATTTTGAACTACAAAGTACACTGATTCCTGTAGAACATTGAACCCTCGGCATTAAGCAGTGGTCCGTGCGTCAACAGCGACGCGCGCCGCGTCGCAACTAATTTATCCATTCCAGAACAAACCTCTCTTCGTCAACCCGGACACAATCACCCACCACAACACAATGTCCACACAAGCCGCGCGGAGCATCCTGTTCACGCACACCTCCCCGCAGCAGGGGTTCAAGCTCCTCGAGCTGCCCCCGGAACTGGTCGAAGCCCTCTCGTCCAAGGAGCCACCGACGTAAGCCACCCACCACCCACACACGATTCGGAATACCCCCAATAACAGACCCTGCCCAATGAACAGGATAGAATTCAAATCACCGGCCCCGTCATACGACACCGCCGCCCTCGACGCAGAAGTCTCCTCCCGCGACTTCGTCAATCTCTGCACCCCAACGCACACCTACCAGGTGCGTCAGGTGCAGTCCTCGAACTCGATCCACATTATCCGCCCCAGCAACGACGACAGCGGCGTCCAGCGCGGCGACATCAACATCGTCGTCGCCGGCGAGCAGGATGACGACCTCAACCTCGTCGAGACCATGACCGCTATCGCGAAGTGCGCGTCCACGCTGGAGCTGCATGTGCCGCCTGGCGGTTTCTCGGCCGTGCCGTTTCTCGAGCGCATGCTGCGCGTGTACGATGAGGGGAGTGAGATGGGGCTAGGCGAGACACCCGGGTATGATGCGCAGCAGCGGGTCATCCGCGCGGTGTTTCGCGATGTGCCCGTGGCGATGGCGCTGTGTGAGCGTGACTGGGTGGAGATCTGTGCGTTTGTGTTGCGTGGTGGTGGTGAGGGGCCAGGGGAGTGTCGACGGCCGTCGGCGCGGGCGAGGCTGCAGGTGTGGAAGAGGGTGGTGGAGGGGGCGGTGCTCCAGGGGATTGATCTGGGAAGTCAGTTCCTGGTGTCGGATTTGTGGAGAGCGGTGCTTGATGAGGATGGGGAGGCGCCGTTTCCGCGGCCGCTGTTTGATGCGGTTGTGCGGAGGGTGTGTGAAGGGGAAGATGCTGGAGTGGGGAGGTTGTTTGGCGAGTTTGAGATGAAGTGTGAGTGCAGGTCCTAAAGTATTATGTGCGCAGGCTGATGATCGTTGCAGGGGCGAGTATCGACAAGGACGGCTGCGTCAGATGGGTCGGCGAGACGTATCTAGAGGCCATGGCGCCGTCGTCGGCCGCGTCACTCGGGAGAAGCGAGTATCTTAATGCGTGGAAGGACCATCTGCCCGAGTCCTGGACGGGCGATGTCGCCTTGTCCAAGTTGCCAGTATGTGGTCATTGTGATGCGTCGCGCTACGGCCAGCTGACTCTACGTAGGAAAGCTCATACAAGTACCCTGACCCGACGACGATTTGCTTCGTCAACGAGGTCGACCGGCAGAAGTTGAAAAAGAACGTCTCGACGGATGCTAGTGCCGCCACGGCCGCGAAGAAGACAAGAAACTGGCATGAGCTATTCAAGAACCAAAAGAGACAGAAACGCTAGGACAGGTTCCGCCGGCCTCACAATGCTTGATTACCGCCTCTATGATTTTTGACTCGTTCTAACCCGCAACATTCGCCGGCAAGTGCATGTCCACGTCCGTTAACACCACGCATACTTTTCATTCAAAAGCCATTCCACGTTCCCGTTGGGGCCTGGCTCAGGGCCCATCCATCGCAGACAGGCGATGCTCTCCTCTTCTCGATGAACCACCTTGGCGGAAGGGTCTAGCAAGGCCACTGCCTGCTCCAGCAGCGGAGTAGGGTTCCAGAATTCGACAGTGGCCATGTTCCATTCATACGCTTCGAGCTGGGCCCGTCGCAAAAGCGCTGCCATGGCTTGGACAGTCTCTTGGGTCTCTTCGGCCGACGCTGGCTCGTTGTAAACCCACCGCAAGATGAACAGGGTGTTTTCCTGGGGCGTTTCGCCGAACTTTCGGTTCCAGGTACAATACACTCCAGACGCATCCTGGCCAGCCCCTTTGGTCACTGGCGGAGCCCGGCCTGGATGGAGCTTCTTTGCATAAAACTCCTCTCGGGCCCAATGCCATGAGTAGTGGTCGAAGTCAGGGGGGATCGCTACTTTGGGGCCCGGAGACTTCTTCGATGCTACTTTCAGGAGATCACGCTCTTTCTGAAGCACCTGATCGCTGCACATGCAACGCTGAACATCCTCAGCCGTCAAAGCTCTCGCCGGCGGCAAGTCACTTCGATCATACTCGTCCTTGGACATGGGTGGCAGAGCGAAGTGGGAAGACGGGAAAGGGTGCCAGCCGAACTGAGCATAGAACTTCTTTCCGATATCCGAAAACAGTACGCTGAAGAGGGTTCGACTAGCGGCCTTCTCCATCTTCCACGCGTCCATCTTCCGGCTCAGCTCCTGCAGCATTCTCTTTGCGTACCCTTTACCCCGGAACTCAGGACGGCAGAAGACGCTCCCGACGCCGTAGGCAGTGGCATCGGATACGTGGCCGTCCTGGGCACACCATGCTTTCTTCCGATAGGTCTCGCACGAACTGAGAATGGTCCTTTCGTCTTCTGGTTGGCGACGGTCCACCAGCACCCAGCAGGCCAAGTTGCCTCCCCTGGTCAAGGGCTGCTGCGCGAGATGGTCTTCACGTGCCAGATATGAATCCAGATCCAGGGAACCCTGCCAGACGGCACTATTCAGCTTGATCGAAGCGATTCGCTCCTGTGGCGTGGCCAGCACCAGGGCGAGCTCGGGGGAGTCCCCCGATGGCAGGCTCGCGTTGTCCGCGTACGAGGTGTCAGCAGCGATCATAATGAGTCACGAAGGTTCAATTGGACCAGGAAGGAGATTCTGGTACAGCAGCTGTCCAGGATACTAGGTAGGTATAGACTGTTTGCGGAGAAGAATGGAGGAGATTGGACTGGCTCTGGGAAAGTCGTTCTGGGGAAGTCGTTCTGGCTGGTTGTGGAGATATCACCGGTAGACTAGGCGGAATTGAGGCACTGGATACCACCCTCCGGCGGGGAATTGTCCAGCATATATCAGCGCGGGATGAATGACGACCTGAGCATCGATCACGATGGTCACCCCTTGCTATAGTTCCACAGATGGCATTTCTATTTGTCACACTGGCCGATGACAAGCGGTGGGAAGCGATACGCTTGCTCACATGAGGGCTGTACCTTCCTGTCCCGGTCCGACGTGACGTAGTTTCTAGGGTTATCTTCGGTCCGTACCGTATTTACCGTATCTAATTCCCCATTAGGCAAGTTATCCCTCTGTAGCAGGCGGTGCGTTTCTGCCGCTGCTTTGTTGATTGATTGCATTCTCCTCCTCTCTCCTCTCTCTACAGTCACCACCATCATCATCCGGAACTCCTTCGGAGAACCTTCTTCAGACGGTCCAGATTCCAGACCCCTCGAAACTCACCAGATTTGCCCTCCAGCTGTCCCGTTGACGCTCGGAACGGCCAGTATGACTGACCCCACCATCAGGTCCGTGAGACCGCCTTGAGTCGCATCTTGGCCTTAGACAACGCCTACCATTCTCTCACTCATGACTGTGGTAATTAGTCGCGAGTGGAAGGCTCGAAAATCTGATATTTGGCACTGGAGCACAATCGGGACTAATTATTCGATTCTTCTGTTGAGACTAAGTAGGTTTTGCCGATTCTACTTCATTCAACTACTCGGCCTCCTCAATCTATACAATATGGAACATGGTTCTATTCATTCCGTCAGCTATCTCTATATACGGTCTCCTTCATACATTCATTCGTACGTCATGCTATACCGGGCCAACCGTAAGCTCGCTTTTCCGTCATTTACGGTAGAGGCCAGTCTCACTCTTCAATGTCCGAAGGAACCGCCAATTCTATATCAACTTCAAGTGGCCGACATCTACTGACTCCTCACTGCCGATCTATCATCTCCCAAACCCGTCAGGTAGATTCTTCTCCCTCTCCTCATAATGGCTGGGACAGACTCGATGGATTTCGACTTCAGATTCCCCGCTCCCGGGCTCGAGAACAATTCCATGGCCATTGACGATGACAATGTGAACAATGCCACACCCCCACTGCTCGACGACAATCCACGTCAGCGGTCTGTCTCTCCAACACGGGCCAGAAAGAAACAGAGGACCGTCGAGCAATCTAATCAACTCACGACCTCTTTAGTCCCCATGGCACCATCGACTGACACTGGGACTGACACTCCCACTCCTCCGCTGACAACTACCGCTGATCTGCAGGCTCAAATCCTCGGCCTGTTCCCGGACATCTGCGCAGATTATGTGGCCCGATTGATTGAGCCCCTACGCAACTTCTTATTCCAAAGCCATGATCAATCGTTGACTTGGGCTCGGTTTATCATCGCTAAGGAGAGCATCATTGAGCAGATCCTGAATCAACAATCATATCCAAGACAGAAGCGTAAGCGGGGTTCCGACACCGTGGAGTACAAGCGTAACGCGGATCGCAAGAAATACCTCAACCGTCCGAGAGTTGAAGACAGACTATACCAGGATCGAATGTGAGTCTCTTTGCCTACACTTACGGACCCTCGCGTGCTGACCGTTCGCAGTTTAAAGATACTAGAACAAGAGTTTCCACTTGTTCCTCACAACGCAATCTGGAGTGTAATCAAGGAAAAGAAGTCTCTATACTTGGCGTATCAGGAGCTGTTCACACAGGAACACAGCTTCGAACAGACTCAGCGGCCGTACGCTCGACTGGAGCATACGAGGCTACCGTCAATGGACAAGGAATGGGAAGTTATCCAAGCATACGAATACCGTTATGGTGCGGATGATACTATCGAGGAGTTGAATGCCGCAAAGGAAGCGACTAGGCTCGAGGCCAGTATGTTACTCCTCTTTGTCTTTTCATTGGTCCCCTTCGTCTTACCGAGTCTTCGCCAGATGCCATGCGTGAAAGAGCGGATAAAGAACTGGCAGAAAGACTCAACGAGCAAGAACACGTCCAATTGGGTAGGCTCGTAGAATGCAAATGCTGCTACCGCGAAGTTCCGTCAAACCGACACGTCGTCTGCGATGGCGCCGACGCCCACGTCTTCTGCTTCACGTGCATTCGCAAGTCTGCGGAGACCCAAATCGGCCTAATGAAGTATGAGCTCCGCTGCATGGATGTAAGCGGCTGTGACGCGAACTTTGTCCGCCTGGAGCTTGAAATGGCTCTTGGTTCAGAATTGTTGGGCAAGCTGGAAGCTCTCCAGCAAGATGATGAGATCCGCCGGGCGAACTTGACGGGCTTGGAGAGCTGTCCCTTCTGTGACTTCAAAGCGATCTATCCGCCCGTTGAGCAAAATCGCGAATTCCGCTGTCTCAATCCGTCGTGCGAGATCGTCAGCTGCCGTCTATGTGACATGGAGAGCCACCTCCCCCAATCTTGCGAAGAGGCGCGGCAGAAAGTCCGCGGTCTAGAGGCACGACATCAGGTCGAGGAGGCGATGAGCAAGGCCTCCATCCGAGTTTGTCCCAAATGCAACGTGAAGATCATCAGGGAATCCGGGTGCAACAGCATGGTCTGCTCGAAGTGTGGATGCAACATGTGCTACCTGTGTCGGAAGGAGATAAACGGCGAGGGAAATCATTTCGGTTCTCCATCAGGATGCCAAGGCAATAATGTTTCACCTCACGAGGTCACCGAGGCACAGGAAAGCACCATCAAAAAGATCCTCAAGGAAGATTCCACCTTGAAAGAGGAGCACTTGCGGGTGTATCCTTCAGACAACGGCCCTAATTACAATCCGCCAAACTATCTGCTAAACGGCACTAATAGGCTCATCGCCCCTTTTTCTCCAGCCCTGCCACGATACCCACCATATCATGTTAACACTCTGTCCGCGATGCAACAGCCTTGGGCGGCGGATGGATTGCGCCCGACAGATCCTCCGCTTCCTCCGCTGGCCACACGTGGTCTTCATCCTCCAGCTACTCCCCAAACTACCCCCTATTCTGTGCAAATCACGCCCCGGGATCTCAACGTCGCAGGCTCTACCCCCGGGGGCACAGCCCCTGGGCCGATGACGGTTCGGCCTGTGGTCTCCCTCCCAGTCAGGCCTCGGCCAGACTTGCCCTCGGGAAACAATAACGCCTTTACTACTGCATCCCAGCAAACGGCTTGGTCGAATCCCACTCCTACCCCAGATGGACCAGAAGGACTCGCTCTAGCGACACCAACCGGGGCACCTAGAGGCCCCGAGTCGCAGACACAGATGCAGACAGGGCCGCAACAGTGATTCGACACCTGCGGGCGAATTGCGTCCGTCGATGGGAGGGGCGTCGTGCTCCTCGGGATTTGCATAATCCATTACTTTCGACACGCATCTGCGATGCGTGGTTTGGCTGGCAATAGCCATCATGATTGACTTTGACTAACAATTTAGAGCTTTGGAAGCAAAAGACTGGTGATCATAAGCCCATGCTGTCATTCGGTTTACTTGGATTCTTTCCGTTCTTCTGTGCAATGCTCCGGTACGTGGAGTAATATCTAATCTAATATGTCGTTCTCATAATCCAAATTGCACGTACTTTGAATCTGGCCGGATACCAAACCATAGCGGTAGTCTACCTCCTACAAAGGAAGGCAAATGGACTGAGGAATCTCATTGTACGTCTAAGCAAACGTCATACATGCATCCATCGTCGAGGGGAATCTTCCCGATGTTCCCGTGGCATAATCAATCCTCCACCATCAAACCAATACAACTTACCTCGTCTGTCGTCCCGCGGACAGGGTAACTCACAATGCAAACCAGACCAGACCAGACATATCATCAGAACGTAAGAAGTACATGCGGAAAACAGATGCAACAAAACGCAGGGGGAATTACGGACAACACTCGGACGTCTCCGTTGACGGCAGATGGGAAATGCAGGGGGCCTTTTGCAGCTAGATAGTTGAATTTGCTAGGACCATGTAGTAGGAGAGAGCTCAACAAAGGAGATGAGAAGTACAATAGGAAATGGTATGGCGAAACGAGGAAAGAGAAGAAAAACGGAGACAATCCGAGGAATGGAGAAGAGTAGTCAGTAGGAAGGAAAGGGTGGGAAGAGAAATGAAAAGATGAAGATGGGGGAAAGGAACGTGACGAGAAAGGAAGAACAATGGAAAAGAAAGATATGAACCAGATCTATGTAATGCCATGCGAGTCCCAAAAATCGTCCGCTCCCCATTTTATGTATTTGCGCCACTCACTCGGACGACAGTTCCTAAATCCCTCATCCATCATGTATGTTCGATCATTGGTCACGCTAAAACAAGAATGAGATAAAGCGAGGAGAAAAGAGGATGTAAGAAAAGAGCAGAAACATGTTGGAGAAAACAGGAAACTAGACAAACACAGGCAAAAAATGACGTGCAAGAAACGCAAACAATGAACAGAAAGATCGCAAGTTCATGGCGGATATTCCGAGTCCACCGGTTCGTTAAATTTCTGTCGTGCCTCTTCCACCCATAGTTCCAGACGCAGCTCGCCGGCTTCTACGCGTCGTACTGGCACCGTTTTGGCGCGACCATTGGAGACGCGGGGAGCTGGCGGTTGCGGCTCGCCGTTGCGCAGTTTGGAAACAGAGTATGGAGCGGTACACGATCGGAGGTGCACCTTGTCGGGTTCGGCAACGATCCACGTTTGTTCCTCGGTGGTGGTCCCCGCGGGGGGGAGGGCGTCCTCGCGCACTTCGATGCAGACGGTGAAACTGAACTCGTCGTCCCGCGGCAGGGGAGTCAGTCGGGCGCAGGCGGAGGCCAATCTCGCGAGACAGGCGCGGAACTGGGCTTCGAGGTCGACTTGTCGGGAGGCATCGTCCCGTTCTTCGAATGTGGTGTTGACCTCGCGGGGAGGGATGTGGGGGAAACCCGACAGGTCAAAGGCGTATCGTTCGAGCGGCTGGTTTGTGCGCATGGAGGAGATGATGATGCTGACGGCGGTGATGGTGCCTTTCAAGATTTCGGTCTCAACGGCCATGGAGGCATCGTTGATGTAGTCGCATACTTTCGGATGGCGAGACTGACGGACGGGATAGTTGTAGGCTCGGACGGGAAGGAAGGTGGCTCGCGGATAGACCGACCGCAGATAGAGGATCTGATGTATCGAGACGGTGAGGAACTTGGTGAAGGATGCGGCCAACGCAGTCTGGGTGTTGGGCATCAAACGGGGTGCGGCGACCGGAGCGGAAAATGTGGTCATGGTGGTGGTGACGGAGTTGAGGGTGGTGCTCTCACTGGCAATCGGCATTGCCGTCGAAGTGTCTGGTGTCGTCGTTTCCACGGAAAAGATGGTCGTGACGGGATCTCGGAGATTCTGAGTGCTGTTCCACCCTGAGGCTAATCATCGCTCTGCCTTTTGGACACAATGGGTCAACAGATGGATCATCCACGCATATGGTTCTGTGTTTGGTTTCTCGTTGGTTCTTTCTCTCTTTCTCCCTCTCTCTGTCTCTCTCTCTCTCTCTCTCTTTGTGGGTGACTTGGTAGAATGTGGCCTCTTGGTTGACTGGAATCGGCAATTGTCGTGCTTTTCGGATGCTTCTCACCCTGCGATAATGGGGAGAGGGGAGGAGAAGGGGAGTGGATTTTTCGGAAGATGGTGGGGTGGATTAATTGGGGAGGCGAAAACTGGTGGTGGGAAGAGTGCTAGCAGGTGAGGGGAGACGGAGTGACCAGATCCAAATCCGTTCCCGATATTGATATATGTATATATAAGAACAATTTGAATAAAAAAAAAAAAAGGGGGGAATAGCGAGAGATAAGAATGGAACGCGGATGGAGAGAAGTCGGAAATGACCGATGGTTGGCGGTGATGTGTAGGGGGAGATGGATGGAGGGGAGAGGAACACCAAACTGGGGG